TGTAGATTGATCTAACAATCAAAGTCATTACACACAACTATTTACACGGTTTTATGACTTTATGAGTAGATCGTCTACGCAAGAAGACATACATGGTACATTTTATCTTTGGTGTTCATTTTGAGAGATGAGTAATAAGAAAAATATTTTCGAGCCAGCTAGTAGAGTTTGTTGCAATGTGTTGTTGAAAAGTTAGAAGTAAACATACCATTACGAGAGAGGGAACCTTGCGGTAGAGAAAGTCGTGGCGCTTTGATCATTGGATACGATCATATTGTGCCAACAAATTTCCAAAGCTGGTGTGAATGCAAGTCATATTTTGCAATCTCCGGTAGACAGATTTACCTGTACAAGAAGAAGAAGAAGAAGAACACTTGAAATGGGAAGGTTGTCTTTTTGTAACAGGAGTGAGTCTTGCGATTTACGAGATGGTTTCAGAAACTCAGAGTCTTCGGACGTGGGTCGGTCCATTCGGGTGGCCTATGGCCCTCGTGTAGTCTAATCTGGAGGACTTATGCATGAACTTTTTGTGCATTCAGTTAAAACTTGAAGTAAAATCTGATACAATAAAGGGAGGCAAGATTCCTGCCGGTGGATAAAATGATTTCAAGGTTCTTTCTCGACCCATTGATGAATCGAACCGCTGACAGGAACTGGCTGCAACTCATGTAACCGGCCTTTGTATTCTCTTGAATGGATGACTTATGAGAAAGATCTGGTGTTGGGATTCCGTCAGATCCTTTTTGCGATATTACTTGGCCCCACCTTTCTCTTAAAAAATTGGGATTCAGTCATCAGCCCAAAAAGAGCCAAAAAATGTCTTTTTTTTTGTTTTCTACGTCAGTGTTTTGCTTTAACTTGAAAGCCATCAGGCTCAAACTATAAATATGGAAGATACGGGAAGGGTTTGAATCTCCATGTACTTTACCGTCTCATTTTTATCTACTTCGGGCCTCTCGCGCCTCTTATTCGATTGAACGTGTCTGCATCGAAGCTGATGTCCGGTATTAAACCCATCCCTCCGTACATCATACGACCCCAGCGATGTGTTCCGTTGTGAAGCGAGTCACATCGCCTTGAGTTTATTCGTCCTGCAAGTGAAAGAAACAACCTTAAACTTCAAATTGGCGAGCACGCCGACATGCCGAAAAATCTTTTGCGACGAGAACTTTATCTGAACGGGAGATGAGTTCCAAGGCCCGATCACGTAGGTAATCTGGATTGTTGTCCGCTCCCCCCCATAGGTTCAAGGCTCTCTTGCTCGACATGCCTCCTCCTCCTCCATCGTCCATCGTCCATCGTCCGAAACTTCGGTTTCTTCGACGGGCGTGAACTCCATCGTTTTCAAATCCATGGACTTACTTTTCCTCGACCTGCATTTCTACTTTTCCCCGAACCCTGCCGCTTCCGCTTTACAAAAGAATGCCCGTTCTGCGCGCACTCGGTGATCGGCGAGACGGACGAAATGGGCGGAGCCCCAATGCGTTGCAAGAGAGGAAGAGGAGGAGGAGGAGGAGTGGGGTCCATCTTCGTTTCTGGGGCATTGGGAAGCATCTGGACTTTGGCACTTGGCATCGAGTCGAGCAGACCAGAAGCGCCAGCGGCAGTGGCAGCGGCAGGTGGGCGTGTCCCATTCGGCCATTGACGAAATTTTTGAAATCACTGGAACGCTCAGATTCAAGATGTCGACCAGTACACGTTAGATTTTTGTACCAGACGTGCTGTACACGATACACTGGCACGGACGTATTTTGTACGATATATATGTGATCTTTAAATACAATACATCGAACGGATATGGTAGAGGTACAAGCAGGGGTCCATTGAACTATACATATTGTTGGGAGAGGGGCCGAGTAAATAGGAAGAAGATATGAGGTCCAAAGGGTAACATAGTCTAGCCCCCGAAATTATCACCTTATTTTTTATTCATGTAATTATTCAAACTGTTATATATATATATAGATTTTAAGGTAAAATAATTTTACAAACATAAATAGCATTATATAAATCATGATTATATTGGATTGATCTCCTCAAGTAACTCCATATATATTGATAGTAAAATCATTCCGTGATCAAAAGGGTTTCAGAGGGGAAAAAAATAATCGACTTTAGATAAAGTTTGTTGGTGATTGTAAATTATCATATTATAGAAGGGCTCATCTTTCTGGTTGAAAGATTAAAATGCAACATTGATGTATAGCAGAAGATTTCTTGTTTGCTGTGGAGTATATACCGAAAATTTTTATTTATCTAATTTTTCAATATATTTTTCGTTTCTAGATTTTAAATCTTTCAATCATTCAACAAAATTGCGAATGAAATGATCTTTTACTATTTTTTCATTAAGAAATGAATAGACCAGAATGTAAAATTCTTAATATACATTTATCTTATTATGGGTTTGAGCTAAGTACGATCTGTGTACCAAAATTCGTAGAATTCAAGTCTATTTAACTTTTTCAGATTATTAAATGTTTTTTCATTTGATACCGATTAATTATGGTCTTCTTATTGGTATTATGCATAGACCAGAATCCTCAGCATAAGTTTTTGTAAGCTATTGGAACTATGTTCTTTTAACGGTACTATGTTCAAGTAACTCAGAGAAGTCTATGGGACAATAATTCATTTTCTCTATGAACGCAACCATTACCTATCAGTCTACATGAATCTCAATATTTAACTGAGAAAATTCAATCGAAACGTGAATTCGCTCGACATAATTATCCAATCGCCCTGCTCAAGATAAATTTAATACAGATTCCAACATTTAGAAGGGGAGAGAACGAGATCTCAACTTTTGGTCCCATCTAGAATTATCCGGTTATCATTACCGAAAAATTTGATTTGATCTCTTTTTTGCATGCTTTCTAACGGTTTTTTACTGTTTCCTGTTAAAGGTTTATCGGGATGTATATTCATCATCACACAATATGAAATCGATATATTATGATAAACTCTTATGATAAAAATTCAAAGAATTCGATGTAGACTGGACCGAGGTCCAATAATGCTGAGATCTAGATTGCTCAAAAAGCTTCGGTACAGCTTAGAATTGTTCAGTTTTTATAAAAATATACAATTAATTAGTTTTCATACTTAATTTTTAGGCGTTTGGTGTCTCGGTGACTCAAAATTTTCCTTAGAGATTTTTTCTTCCCCGGTGTATACTGTCCACAAATATTCTTATTACTCTCTCAATCTGGGTGGATGAATCATGAATGCACTGTTTCATTGCATTACGAGTTTACTACACGGAAATTATATTATGAATAAGTATTGTCGCATCACGGACTTAAATTTCAGGCCGCGACCACTGTTGTGGTCGGCAGTGAGAGTGTTGGTGGTCAAAGAAGCTTGGTTAGAATTGGAAGCTTTGATGACGAAAGTTGATTATTGAACATAAGAATCTTGAGAATCATCGTCTACCGAGCAATCTGTTTGAGGATTTTCTGGCGCGTGCGACCGGAGATATCAAAACTTCACAAGAAGAGAAGAGCTGAGGATGCGGACGACGGGGAGCCAATAAGGGACAGACTGCTCATGGATGAGAATAATGTCCCTCGTGAGAAGTTCCGGAGATTTTATATGCAACTTTCTAGGCTTTATGGAAGTTTAGAAGGCACCTGTTCCCACTTAATGCATACATTTATCTCGCTTAGCTTCTCTTTCTCCAACTGGGGGATGCATAATGGCAGGAAGGGACATATATCCCTTCCTTAAAGAAGGCTTCGTTTGTTTGGAGCGAAACGGGGGGACTGGGACGGCCTTCGCTAAGTCCGAGGATAAGCCACTTGAAATACGTGGGAATCTAGATGTTCGCCTTAAAGCATGGACTCTCGCCTAATCTGAAGAACATCTTCTTTACCGTTATGGCTGGAAGGAACATCTTGCAGCGAATTAATTAATACCAGTACGTACGTAGTGGGCGTTAGGGTTTTTGCTCACTAACTTACAGTACTGGGGCCAAGTCAACTACTGTACTGTACTGCAAGAAGTCATTGAGAGGGGAACATTTTCAAGCCAAGCGTGCTAATGCTGAAAATCATTTCGTTTCTCGTCTACGATTTGGAATGGATGCCCGCCCGATGCCATGGTTCATGTATCTGCCGTCCGTCCGGAGTCCGGATGGATGCTTGTGCATGATTTTCTTCATGAATCTGGAGTATGGACTGGACTGCAGATGCAATGGCATCCGAGGCGCCCGCCCATGCGCAATCGGATAGGAGATCGGTCGTGGAGTGTACGGTCCTGTCTTTTCGTGGGCATGTACAGGCAGGCAAGAAGACGCTGCGATGAGCTTCCTGGATTGGTTTCATTCGTCTTCACACGGAGACCGGAATCCGCAGTACGGCGCTTCTGCCTGGTCGTCTCGGTGGACCTTGCCGCACTGACCCGCAGACCAGGGTCTCTGTTTTCAGGCATGCGCTTCGTTGCATTCCTTGACATGGCGCTCAGAAATGTGGATTTTGTCTTCCCCCGAAGATGAACACTGCCTCACCAGTCTCGCGAATTTCGCGGCTCCAAAGACAAAGCTTCGAGAGGGACACAAAGATTAAGCTTCCAATTAAGGAGAAGCTTTACAGTTTCGGCCGCGCCTAATTGGAGTTTCTTGGGGGCAGAGTCACCTCTGCGTAGATTGCTGGCTCTGTCTCTACACGGGACCGAGCGGGTCGGGATTGGTTGAGATTTCGAATTGCACACGTGAAACGAGTGGAATAACGGAGTGATTGATTCATGTAATGATTAATAACCGGTGCTGATCGATGGCCCGAAACGTGAAACAGAAGAGGAAGAAATTGTCTTACCAGGCTCTCGTTCATGCCATTACCAGCCATGTACTAGCTATGAAACGATCTTCCTGCGTAATTCTTACAACAAAGAGCGATGATGAAAGGCTGAACAGAATTGCAAGCTCGTTTGAGTTGATGACCAACCTTGTCCCAGTTCGGCCTGTTTGTAAATTCTGCCATCTCCGGTTAATCAGATTTTCCGCACGGATCAGACGTTTCATGGAGAGCTGGGAGAAAAATATAGAGACGCAAGCATTCCGTAAGATCAATGGACTCGGTTGCCAAAATCATTGTATTTTCGAATTGATATAAAACTTCATACCGTAAATCGTCAGCCGACAGAGACTAGGACCTGATCCAGAGATCTCATGGATCAGAACAGACAAATAGGGGAAACCAGATCAGAAGATCCTGCTCAATCCTACCGAGGCCGAACTGATGTTGACTGTTGTCATTAGGACTTCTGTCTGAGATGAGTCAAACACAGAAGTATTGATGGATGGACGGATTGAGCGATTGAAGCATTGCCTGACGAAGAATCTTCCCCGATGATACACTGGGAGGAAGGAAGTCCGGAGAATTGATACATAAGAGAGGCTGCAGCAACACTCGCACGGTGAACGGTCGGGTTTTCGTCTTGTTGAAATCTCCCTTACACGTATGGTGCATTACGAGTACTGTGCAGCACACTTCGGTCTTTGTTGAATCGGAGGAACGGAAGGAAATTTGTGAAACGCGTTGTTATTAACTCTAGCTGCATGTAAGGAAGGCAACGCGACATAAGGGATGTTGGCTCGATCAAATGGCTGCCGTAAACAGGGCAGCTAAAAAGATCATGGAAGAAGAAAGACAAGATTGGAGACCGGACCTCAGGGCCAGTATGCTGCAGAGGCATGTTTGTGAATTAAAATTTTTTTTAATTTACAATTCTAGGAACGAATGGGCTTTTACGAAAGTTATTAGGTTGCCCACAAATCAATCAGGGCAACGAAAGTGAACGCAACCCGAACGGCAGGATATGCTTAAGTGCTTGCGAGTTTGAACAAACAGTGGGAACAAGGAGAGCGCTAATCGATATACTTACGTGAGCAAGGTAAAGGGCACGAGTAGCAACGTGTCCGAGTCAAGTGGGAAGTGACGGGGGGGCGGTGTTGGAATTGAGAGGACTCCTGGTGGAGGCGCGGGTACGTTTGAGATCCGCCGCAAAACTGCCCATTCTGCTGCTTAGTTTGGACGCGCTACGAAAGTTCCCTTCACCAGAGCTGAGAATGACACTTGCACGTTGTAGCCTATGAAGCTCGGCGTTGATTTCCTGCACATTGTTGTCATGAATATACCAAGTCTCTTGTATCCGCTCCCGGTTTCTCTTGATGGCAGCGAATTTGGCATTCTCAGTAATTACTTTCCTCGTATGCTCTTCGTTTTTCAACTTCTCGTCCTCCTGCGTATCGTGCAGTATTCGACAACGATCTATGATCAGCACTTGACAGACTTCAACAGACTGACGTCAGGGAACGTTAGTCAGCCATCCAAAGATGTACTCTGGAGTCTGTAACTCACAGACCTCCAATGTCCCTGTGAGGGTTGCTGCACCATTTACGTGCACTTTCCGTTGGGTCGGTTGGATGCTCTGATATTACATCACATGGTTGGTTGCTGACTCTCTACCCTTTCCTCTCCATAGTTTTGTGCCCTTGCATTGGTCAGGTGTGTTGTTGTGGGTGTCAGTTAGGCTCAGCTCAGAGTAGGCGGAACGCGGAGTGGGGTTGGAGGGATAGTGATCTTCTAGTCAGGGAAAAGGTTGGAATCGAAAAGCAACCAAAACAAGTAAAGAATGGTTACTCATCACAGGGTGCTGAGCCAAACCTGAAACTTTTGGCGATCCATGAAATGTGTGGCGACAGGACGGGAGTCGGGCCCCCCTTGTCTCCGATCTGCATGGGATACTATCTATCAAAAAATCCCACTGCTCGTGCACTTGCAAAAGGCAGGCAGGCAGGCAGATAAGAGACCTTGAGAAAAGGGTTCCAAGTACGTCAACGTTGTCTTGCACTTGGGTCGTTTTTTTACACCACTGTATATTTCCGAGGGAGTGAGGACCCACCTCATGGGGACAGGGCTCATTTGAAGTTGGCTGATGATGAATTTACTACTCTGCCTACTCTCTTGGACCGGCATGGGGCATGGAACGCTTCCCCAAAGTCCCAACAGAGTTGCCTGCCTATCGAAGAAAAGGAACGGGAAAAGGAACTGTGTGATGATTGGGTTCTGGACAGCCGAAGGCGAGCAGGCAGACAATGAGCCACAGAGCACGGGTAACACGACCGTGTTCTGCTGCTAGTACTTAGGGTGAAAATCCGATTGACTTTGCTGTTTTGACTGTTGGGAGTGACTTTGACTGTTTTGGAGTACAGGCTGCTGCTACTGCAACTGCTGCACAGAAGCGTACCAAACCACGTAATCGGGAAAAGACAATGAGCTTCACGAGAGGTACTGTGCTGTACTGTAAGAATCAGGCATAGCCAGAGATAGAGTCGAGAAACTAGTCTGCTCTTGGACGCACCCTTCTTTCAGAGCTGACCTTAGGGAGGAGGGGTAGATATGAGATACCGGGAGTGGGAACAGAATCTGAGGACAACGAGATCCACGAATCATCTGCTCTCGGTCGATTGGGCGAATGGGGTCAGTTACTGACTGTGCTGTATCCTAGATTTTGATGGGAAAAGGTGAAGGCCAGAAACGCAGACATGGCGGAGTCGGAAAACAAAGAAGCTGCAGTATTTCGCTAGCCGATAAGTTATCTGACTTCAATCTAAGGTGAGCATAGGATTCGGTTAGAATACTGTACAATTATGTACTGTACGATGCTCTAAAACAAGGGAGCTTCTCCTTTTACGAAACCGTAGTATACATCTCTGACCATCATCTCTGACTTTCTTTCTCATCTGAAGCGACCCGCAGTGCCATAGAAAAGACATGACCATGCAGAACACCCAGAGATAGGGATGGAGAACTTACCCAAGAGTCGATTGTAAGTGTGTGCGCATCATGGGATGCTTGGATGGCACCAATTAGCCCGTCTTTATCTTTCAGCAACTGCAGCTCCAACCGCCCAGACCTTTGCCGTTAGTCTTCACTAAGAATTGATTGCTCTCTCGTGGAAATCTAAGCTCCGAAAGAGTTAGACAAGGTTAGGTTTCTTCCAGTAGTTCCTGTCAGCTAGGTCTACCCAAGTGAAAGTAATATCATGCACGCTGAAGTGCAATAATGGAGATAGCAGGGTTGCACAAAAGCTTCTGTAGGATACATGGAATTGGAAAATCTTGTAACGTAAGCTGGACAGTACAGTGCAAGACTAAAGTTCATCATCAGCAAGCAATCGGTGATGAACCAAAAGAAACGTCCAGGAGCTGGTTTCTGACAGTTGTAGAGTATTATATCTCGATACTGTACAGTGCATCGAGCACAGGAGCCGAAACGGATGAATCGTTGAGCGGAAATCATTAATAGTACTATCTCAAAGCACCTCAAAGTCTATAATAACAAAGGAAGTGCATAATCATTCGGTTCGCCTGTTCGTGGCTTCCGTCTTTCGGAGTCGGTCGAATCGGAAGAATTTTTGACAATCGAAGATTTCACTCAGCTCTCTTGCAATTCATTCCAACTTACGTGTCACTTTGTAAGGGCGGCCAGGAACGAAAAATCAGATATTGGAGCTCTACAAATGTGTCCAAGATACGTTCCATGTGCCACTTGATATGCTCCAAGCCTGAGATAGAGAGGTATTAAATCTTAAAGAAAGTTTAGAGGGAACCGGCTACCCTTTCTGCAGGAGCAGATATACAGGACAAGTTGACAGCTTGTCATGCTCGCCCTGAAATTGATTATACAGGTCCAGTGGATCTCATGACCACTCGCACCAAAGGTAACGGAGTCAAAGTAACACCGAATTGGAAGGGTGAGTGAGTCGTCTGATCATGCACTATCCACAGAGGTTTTGCAGGCCACCATGTCTTGTGATTCACACGTAAATCAGTTTGTAAAGATGGTCTTTTGCTATATTTGTATGCAGCAAGTTTCCAATAGGTATGAAGGGAAGTTGAGATTATTAGGACTCCTACCATGCGAGCCTCGTCGGATTCCACCTCCTCATCCATATCAGTGAGGATATACTTTTCCAGCAGTGACGCAGCTTGCATGAGAATAGTCTCTGCGGCCTTATTCTCGGCATTTCTTAGCACCCCGAAAGTACTCAGGAGTTAAAGAACTTAAATCCACAAAATTATCTTAGTCATGCAAGTTTTGACTGTAATACAAGATCAACGTGTTTACAAGTTCCCACGATATAAAATTCGAGTACTATTCCCTATATTCTGTTGACACATTGCGCTTTTTTTGAGTTCCCCACTTACATGCCATATCTTTAGTGGTTGAGGTTAGTATGGGCAAGGAGGCTACTCTGGGAAAGGATATTAATTGGCGTAGTGCTGCTTGTTGACATCAATCATAGCGTAGAATACTTCCTCAAATTGCATCCACAGGTTCTGGTCAGACAGTTGGACACACACGTTACTTGTCATCCAATTGAAGTTCAACGGTAAACGTAAATGGTTGACAATCCTCTAAATTGTTCGTATTTGAGTTATGAAAAATCGTAGTTGAAGTCTCAATTTTTAGTTCACAAAGTATCACCTGAACTTCATCGAAGCACACGACTTCAAGTTCCATAAGTTGATACTTCATTACATTATTCTCCGTCAAAAGCGACTTAAGTTTCTCTTCTCCAGTAGAACGATCCTCAAATGCTTCTTGAATTGTCTGCAGAAAATGATACATATGCAGGAAACTGATTATACAAGGATACCCATTCCAATATAACCGATTCACCTGGGGGTTATCTACTTAAGATATAAGGTCACAGCATATTGGTTCGGTGGTAAGAAAGGATCAGAAAACTCTACAAGCGCAGGATTCTATGCTTTTTCATTTTGCAAGTATTTCGACGGGAAGCAACAGCATAAAATGGGGAAACAGTGTCATGCGGGAAACGATGGTGCGTGTGTGCACCTTCTTCTTCAGCTCCTCAAAACTGTTAACAATTGCCCTGCTCTCGTCATCTTTTTTTCCAACATCCTCTTTCATAGCTGCCTGCCAAAGTTTGATTTCCTCTTGCTGTTTGTAATACAGGCCGATAATGGTAGTCTTCAGCTCCGCCGTAGAAGTTCGGTGAATCTCCTTGTACCTGTTACGATAACCGCCCATCATATTTTCTTGTCTGGCAGCTCCGATTAGGGCAGCTTTTGTGAAAGATCGGATATGATAACTAGCCCACGAAACGTTTCTGCCTTCTTTGTTTTGGTTCTGGGGAGCTGTCGTTTAACGAACTACTCGGCCTACCACACTCGGTTGACTACAGTTGACTCGGCCTACTCGACAATTTAACTTGCAATAGCTTGAATGAACCCTTATCTGTACTAATATTGGTTACGTATGTGATCTGCTATTTCCACCCTCGATAACGTCCGCAGCAGTTTCGTAAGTGATATCCCCCACACTAACACATTAACTAAGCACACAAGCTTGTGTGATCAACTTCCTAGCGCTTGGCTTCCTAGGAAAAAGGAAGGCGTAGAAATTTCTGTGGAAATAACCAGACCAGTCAGACTAGCGGATTGTGGCCAAAGAACAAAAAACGAAATAATATGAATACAAATATGGACGTTTGACGCTGCCACGGGAGATGCTATCCGGGGCCAGTGACCATCAACTACAGCTGAACCGCAAGCATCACTCTGCCATCACACGATTCGGCGGCCTCATCGGCATGTACCGAGGAGCAGGTTTCTGCCTGTAATCCGCGCGAGTTGGACTGTACTTTGCATAGTTATCGAGTTCAAGGGTTAAAAGGCAGATTCGTACTCATCAAGAGCTTCAAGAAGAGTCGGAACTTCCATTAGTCTGGTGTGTTCAGGATCCTCCTCCAGCATGCGCTCAAAAAGTCCATCTAGTCCAACCAAGTTCGCTTTCTGGACAGTTTATGCAGTGCAGTAGAAGACAAGCAGGTTCAGTTACTCCACCACGATTTGATCCAGAAGAAAGAATCTAGGCGAGGCGTTAGTGTACACAAAAAATACCAATCTACATCGATTCGCTGCAAAACGAGTTTAATTTGTACACCTACATGAGTAGCATATCAATATAAAAAGAAGGAGCTAAGACACAGATGTTTTACGACTAGCAGGTCGTCCCAGGCGTTGAGGATATTCTGAGCTCTTTGTTTTAATGGGCATTTGAACGGGTCCTCTTGGTCGTCCGGATTGCCCAACAAAACAAAGTCCTCTGCGTGCTCACCTCCCTCAACACGAATATGTTCCAACATCTGAGAGAATCAGATCGAAAGCAATGACAGTTTAGGTAGTACTAATTAAAAAGTTCAAATTTGTGTGAGGTAGAGTTTCGGGGCATTCGGGCGCATCGAGCTCAAATAATGCGAAGAGAGGAAAATATATATGCTGTACGCGACAGCGGCAGAAAAGAAGGTTTCGTGGTTGAGAACTCAGCGAGATTGATCCTCTCAATCTCTGTGATGGTTCAGACTTACACCTTACAGAGTTCTCTTTCAGCTCTTTTGGCTAGACGATTCTTGATGTCAATCTCTTCCTAAAGTTCAACATTAATTTTCTCACTCTCTCTGATTGTTCAGATCTTCACCTTGTACAGTTCTGTTTCAGCTCTTTTGGCTAGACGATTCTTGATATCAATCTCTTCCTGAAGTTCTTTCTCCTTCAGCTCTTGCAGCTCATCCTGATAATCGTCCTTGGCTTGTTCTATCTACACTCATTCCGGTTGTCAATGCAGTGTCGTCATGTCAAGTAAGAGAAGAGCACAAGAACTCAAGGTTAGAGTAGTTATTCAATCCTACTGCAATTTCCCCGAAGATGGCAGCATAGTATGAGTGAAACACAATCTATCATGTTTCAGCTCCGTAACAGTTGTCCTAGTCTGAAGTGCCTGAAGTGTCACATATGGAGGCGGACGTTCTTTTAAATTTGTCATCAATGAGTTTGAACATAATATTTCTGAACACCGTGGAATTGCATCTGAATTGCACCTGCGCCTTAAAGCAAAGCTTGTGGTCAAGGTACAATATGTTCCTCATAAATGCAATCACGAACAACCGGTACTCGGGATCCTGATAACAGATGAGATAAGGGCTTGAGATAACCAATTCGTTTTGTCAAGCAATGTTCATCCTCTCCTATATCTACAAATAATCATTTACTATCTGGTTACCACCACACGTTACTAGAGCTGAATGACACGCACGGCACTCTGCAGGTTTTTTAAAAACAGCAAGTACATGAATTACCTTGGATATTGGGTTCCCGTCAAGACAGAGGAGGCGAAGTTTGCGAAATTGTCGAAAATACGCAACCTGAGTTAGAGTAGCAGGCAATGGCCTTCCAAGTAAGATGACAAAAATTTAATGGATAAATGTACGCGGAAACGGCTGAATTATCCACTCTGACCAGAATGGTACTTGCAACTCTGAACTAAAAGGCCACTTCTGGGGGCTTGAAAATAGTGAATCAATTTACCTACATCTCGGCCAATTCTATGATCCCTAATCAACTGGACCAGCCTGCTCGTCAAGTCATCTAGACATGAACCGTCTGACGAAGGTGTAAACATAAGAAGTTGCTGCTAATGTTCTCTTAATACACAGCGCATGGCCAGTTCTATACATTTTGTGTAGTTGAGTCTTAGCGAATGTCGTACATCTTCCAGATCTGCAAGAAGATTATTTCCCAGAGACAGACAAACGAGTTCTTCAAGCGTCTCAAGGCCTTCGAGGCGTGCAATTTTGTTATTATACAGCGATAAGTCTGTCAGATTTGTAAGCGTCTCAAGACCTTCAATCTTCTCTATGCTGTTGAATGAAAGATCTGCCGGTACAAACATAGCTTCAGTACAGTTTCATAAGCTGAAAGGTTATCTCTGTTGAAGTAGAAATCCAAATTTGATTCTTATGTGATTGCCCAAACTTCTTGGTCATGTAGATGTCGGAATTCGTGCGGTGCAAACTAGGTGCATTGCTCACCTAGTTCAGTAAGAGTTGTCAAATGTGAAAGGTTTTGAATTTTTGAGAGCTGGTTGTTATCTAGAAGCAGCCTCGTGAGACATTCGAAGCCAATCAAATAGTTAATTTCTTTAATGCCTGCGAAAACCAGCACAACTGAATTTCAGTCCAGGTCGAGGAATGGGATCGAGACGAAAATCGCAGTATACGTCGTGCCAGGTCTACGAAGAGCCCCAACTGAGCGGCCTGAATGCAGTGCGAGTGAAGCGAATCAAATAGCACACAAGTCTAATTGGGTCTGATCCAGATTGCGGATCTTACATTTGAAGGAAAACTCAAGGCAGGTGACCAGTTTCAAGGGTATCGTCTTCTTCCTATCCTCACAAACCTCCGGCACCAGACCCTCAACCTGCGGAAAACCTCAGACATGGAGTGAAATTCATGCATCTGCAGTCAACTATGCCAAGTGAAGCAGAGATGGTGTCAAACACCACGAGCACGATAACTAATTACGTATAGATAGAGCACGATATGGTTCAAGATAACTAATTACATATAGACCTCAACCTAGTTGTAGATTGCAAGAACAGGCATTTGTGCACGGGGCGAGCGGATTGGCCATGATTGCGTCCCAAAAGATGGAGAACAAGAACTTGCTCGCCATATTCCGACTCCTTGACACCTATTTCAAACCTTTGTAACATGATACATACATATCCCCGCAGTTGATACGCAACTTGCACGAGCTTTCCCCACAAACACCATCTTTATCACTTGAGAACATTAGTCCAAAGCTCCCAGAAAACGTGCAAGTCAAGAATACTAGTTGAACAGGCCGAGGATGAAGACATGCATTGAAGGACGGAAGGGCGCAATCGTCTGGTTGAATTGGATTGGACCTTTATGGCGCCGCGAATAATCTCTGTCGTGATAGCTTTGCCTTCCATCTTGCTATGTCACGTCGTGTCTTTACCCTTACTCGAGTCTCCTCGGATGGTCAGCCATTGACGTTGACAGGACTCGCATCTTTTCTTCCATCATCCAAGACCGGCTGTGTCCTGACATCCGACGTCCTTTCTGCCCAGCGTAGACAAGGCGGGAAGTTAGGAGAATGTTCCACGCACTTGTTGAATACTCTGAAATCGTGCAGCCCTATCCGTAAACCGACTTATGGTCTGAGATGAGTATCCATTTCTATTTTTCTTGATTTCAGGACCAGCCTCTCGGCCTCCACTGCCAGGAAACTCTTGCACGTCGGGGTCGTTAAGACAGTGCAAGGCGAGTGTCAAACAAAGCTAACAATAGTTTCAAGTCTCACAAAGTGTAAGACATTCCTGCTGCTTTAGTGGTACAGGGAAGCACTGTTATTCTGACGATGGTATCCAGTTCCTCCATTCAAGTGATGTCCTCAGTCTTTGCCACTTTCCGAGGTTTCTTGATACAGAAGGCAGTGCCTCATTTGTCGCAGGGGAGGAGCTAAACAAGCGGAGAGCAGCAGGGCGGAGGATACGTCTGAAGCGATAAATTTCGCACTCACGGCATCGGCTTTCGTCTGCAATTTATCCTGGTTTTAAGCTATCCGGCCGCAAGTGTTTCAACCTCTGAAGACTTACGCTGTTGAACAGGTGGGGCGGGCGCGGCAATTCATCAGCCAAACGTGGTGTGAAAACAGCCTGCACTATTTCGCAGATGGGCGAATCATCTCACACCGTCTAAAGCGCTGAATCTTGAGCAACGTAGGATCATTCACGAGTTCACAAGACAAGCGGCACATTGAGTGAGAGTATACACTTCTTCGTTCAGTCCAGGATTCTAGACTTTGTGAAGCTTCTGGAAGAAGTTTTCTGCCACTGCTGCTGTCCGAGTCTCCGACCGGCTCCTTAGCCGTTCTGTACCGTTCATACAACGTTACTGGGACACGCTCCTGGTCTTTCGAACGGGTAAGAAATCTTCTAAGTAACTCCTCCGCGCGACAGAGATATGAGACAAAACATGTCCCGGACAGACTGCGCAATGTTTTCCGAAACGAAGTTGCCGCGTTGCGCTACAGCGAGCCTTCGACCAGAAGCAGACAAAAACTCCTCCCGACTCCAGATTCGATTGTGGACTTCCTTCGGCGAACTCTACTCTCTCGATATTTCGGGCGTAAATACCGTGTTCTAAATATGAAAAGGAAGCACAAGAGGTCTCGATTTATGGTGAAGGGAAAGTGACATGCTCGACCCTTCAAGAACAAGCGACTAAAAGCCTTCAAACATGGCGATAAGTCAGCACGCATCGTGTAAGAACGAATTATTCTTGTTTAGACAGAACTCTTGGAGACAGTACACTGCGCCAAAATGACAAGGTTTAAAAACAGTGGTAGGACCAAGAAAAGCTTGCGCACTTGGTCGTCCCACCACATAGTAGAACCTTTTACTTAATGAAAGAGCTCAGGCTCAAGTGTCGTTGCAGCTGTCAGGATTGGAACTCTCTACGCTACTACTCTCACCGACCTTCTTTCCACAGTTGGTGCAGGAACAGCTTTTATTTGGTAAACTACAAACTGGGATACTCTCTTTCTTTACTTTTGGAGACTCCTCGTCGACCTTGGGACTGAGCAACCGCTTTGGGACGTCCAATGCTTCTTCAGGAGTCTCGTCTTGAAGAATTGGTTCGTCCAGTGAAGCTACTGTTGTACATGACCTTTCTGCCAGGGCAGTGGCAAGAATGTTCAAAACTTCTTTCGCACTGGGGCGCGATGAAGGGCTGGGATCCGTGCACGAATAGAAGAGCCTCACCAAAATGCTCAGCACTTCCGAATCATTACTACTCTCATATGTAACTGTTTCTTTCCCGGCTGACGACGCAGCAGGTGGAGATCTAAACTTATCTATTTCCGCAGGAAGCTGGGGCCGCTGCCCCATCTGCGAAAGTTCAAGCCAAGGTTTGATCAGGTATTTTGAAGTAGGCAGTTCAAAAGGTCGATTTCTCGACAAGAAAGCAGAAGTCTCCAGCAAAACTGATGCACAACTCTTGACTAAACTTTTATCACTGGATTTTGCCTGTAGATCGTAGCCCACGCACACGACTGCGGTGCTAGAATTGCATATAAAAAAAAGGTAAAATGTAATCAACAATCGCATTTGCCAGCATGTAGACTACGTGTGCGGTGACAAAGGAAACTCTAAGAAGCGAGAACTGATTAAAGCTTTCTTCCAGACGAGAATCCAATGATGTCGCAACTCAAAACAATCCACTATCTTCTCACTCGCTTGAAACAAGTACTTACTTGGGCATGATTTCAACGACAGAATCAGCAAAAAACTATGACATATCAGTGGCATAAACGAGGTTAAAACTTCGTGATCTTACCTGAATACGAGAATGAACCTCCGTTTCCGATAAACCGGCAAACGGAACTTTGAGAGTTAGCAACTCAGCCAGTAAACATCCGAAGGACCATAAATCAGCTTCCTGAAGTTCAAAATCATATCGACAGTGAGTAAGAAGGCGTTAAACAGATATCGATGGTACTTAAGATCAAGTTACCGACAAGAATATTGCAGCAACAAAAGAATATGATCAGAAAGTTATGTTGGACAGCAGATGAATGGATATTTACCAGACCATACGAGTGACGTCCATACATTGCCCGTAAAACCTCAGGAGCTATCCAACGAGGAGTCCCAACACAAACATCCGCCGGGGGTACACCTCGATGCGCCAAATAGCACGTGTGTTCCGAAGATGACTGAAGAGGAACAGCGCTGTCAAAGTCGCAAAGCTTGACAACTGGACCAGGAAACTCAGTATCTTGACTTGCCTCCAGATCAATCAGCACATTGCTACTTTTCACATCCCTGTGAATGATGCCTTTCGAATGTAGCACGGATATAGCGCAGGCTACGTTCCTTGCTACATGCAAGGCTAGGTCTGGATCCATGTGCGTTTGGCCTTTTGCAGCTAATTCTTGAAGAAATCCCTGCACGTTCTGATAGTCAAATTAGCCATACGAGAGGCTACTGCGAATTATCCGACGCTATATAGCCAGATTACAGTCATACGGCAACCAAACCTCACGTCAATCTGAAATCTGTGCCACATAATATAGTCATACAGATATGTACCTCCAAAGATCCCCCCTTGATGTACTCCATAAAGATCATCAATTGAGGTGCTTGAGCTGCTCCCTCGTCTGGTGAGGTTGTGAAGCCTGATGTGAGCTGGTGACCATAGAAGGCGACGATACAAGGATGCGGTTGTAGACTACAAAGCATTCGAAGTTCACTAAGACAGCTACTTTCCAAACCCTTTCCCAACACTCCGGGGCCTTCGGCAACGGTCTCGAGCTGCCTCACCTGCAATTCACGATAAGTAGTGAGCCTAATGTATAATGAATTTACAGCCAGTGGGTTATTCAGTGAAGAAAAGGCTTCCCACAGAATAGCTATGATGAAAGTCCGAAGATCATACAGTTAGTGCTAGAAAAATACAGGGTACCTGAAGAAAGAAATAGGAAGCGTTGCCTCCATATCATTCGGATTTACAACATCATATTTTCAGTCTCCTTATTCAACTAGTCTAAACTTTGATTCGTTTGACGCCTCCACAAAGATTACTATCGATAAAAAATATACTATATTGGCTTAAGCGAACATTATTAGCCCCAACAATCCCTATGTCCCTAATCCCTAACAACGCAGAAGAGCGTAATAAGGGCATACTGGTATTCCAATATCCCGGCGAAAAGAAGATTATGTGCTTCTGTCTAATTTTCAACTTTGAGGTAACAAAGGCACGTATAGGAGAAACAAAAGGGATTGAAGTACACACCTTAGCTGCAGCCGTGACCTTCCCAAAAGAACATCGTCTAACTACAGCCCCTGAAGCCCCATGGCCTATATCTTCATGTAATAGCGGTATACGGGAACTCTCACTCCCAGATGTCTTCAACACCTCAATAGAGATTCGTGGCAGATGTATGCGTCTTAAGGGGATATACCTATAAAATATTTAAAAAAAGAAAAGGTAGCAAACTCAATGAGCCATTTCTATCTGCAATACATCTTCCTAATATAAAACAGAGGACTTCTCAACATACCAATCAGATGCAAAGCTTATTCCTAATTCATATACTAGGGACCTAAAGACGGACTTACTTCCGAAGAGTAAGACATAGAAGGGCCATCAGTCATATCTTCTATGAGATCTGCCAGGATCAACAACGAGGTACTGTAAAGTACAGGAAGAAGAAAGCTAAACAGATCCCATTAACGGATAAATAACATTCATTATTGATATCATTTATTCCGGAGCATGTAAGAATTAAAAGAGACAAAGATCAACGAGCTTCGATCGTTCCCATCTAAAATTGTTCCAGATTCAAACCTTTCTGTCACTCTCTTATTAACCAAGACAAGTGACAATAACGTCGTGTGGGTTGGAAAAAATGGACATATTGGTCAGTACCTGCAAAAATATTCGGGATCCCTTTCTGGTCGAATGTCAAGAGGACGACATGCATCGACAAGCATCCGAGTGCTGCCACTTGAGGTTTCAACAAGTACCACGTTCCAGGCATGTGGCATGTAATCTAGATAACCGCGAACGAGTTCACACGGTATGATGGGGTCCGCTCTGTCACATAGATACTGAAGAACATACATGTCAATATGCTCGACCTCGTCAGGGGAGTTACCAAATCACGAAAACCTCAAACCACTAATACCTACCTAATTTACAGCAGTATTCACAACATCAAACAGAGTTCACTTACCTTGAAAAGTATAGCTCTATGTCGACAAACACCAAAGGACAGGGACCCAATGGGTAGCACATTCGATCCCCGCTGAGCTTTCAAAAATCGTACTGCACCTTCACAAAGCATGTGCACACTTGGCAGGACGGCTCCTGCGTTTGACTTCTCCATCACCTTGTTAACTAAGTTCCCATTAACACTAGAACTACAAGAGCACACAAAGGGCATCCCGGCAGTACCCCCAAGAGCAGCCCGGCGCATGTTAGAAATGTTTTGTGTCTTATCGCTCCCACCAAAACAATCTGAGACAAATAGAGCCAAGAATGTCATTCTTTGAAAAACATTCACCTTCCCATCCCCTTCAACAGATGACTCCAGGCCTGCAAGGAGTTGTTGTGCTGAAAGAGCCATCACATCCAGTTCCTCATCTTTCTCCCTGAACAGCCATGGAATAACGAACTCTGGATGTTATTCAATAAACCACCAATCAATTCATTACGTGATACAAAGTCTACACTTATACTAATAACGCCTTACAATTTCCTGGCTTCATCACGCAAAGTACGAACATTTATGGAGTTATGAGTCTAGATCCATTCATTAGATAAACTCAGGACCTAAACTAGGTAACATCCCCAATATGCACATCCTTGTTACGGTCACGAGAAATACAAAAAAAACCTCTTTGAATAAATCAGTGACAGAAATGTAATAAAAGGTGTAAACTACTATTTTAATTAACATTATTTACCTGTCGACTAGTATGACTTCTCGTGAATCATAACAAGGCTGCTCTTTCTCCAACGCAGCTAGTGACGAGAAAGGACGATCTCGTCCCGCATCGTAAAATCCATCATGAAGCCGGTCTTCAAATCCACAAAACGACTCAGTGCAATACTTAAAGGAGACTTCAGAAAACTCCTGCACTGACCTCCTCCTTTTAGAAGGCTTGGGGTTTCTATCGTTATCCCCGTCTTGCCTTCTGCCTACTTTCACCCCCGATAATGCTAAACAACTACGGAGAGTATCAGTGTTGGATTCATTCGGATCTTCATTCTGATACTCCAGTAAAGTTACGACTTGATCAACCTTAGGTCGATCTCCACTTATGGCTTTCCTACATATGTTCCTCTCATTAGAACCGAGTCTACTGACTGCAACGTGTACGACCTGTACTTTGCTTAATGGCATATGTTCAGGCTGGGAATCCCTGAAGCTTTCTTCATCTTGTTCCTCCGTGTCATGCAATTTATGGACGTCCTCATCAATCTGTAACTCCTTCCTAGAGTCGACAGCGTCTTCATTCCGCCTGACATGCTGCGCTACACACAATCCTTTCCCCTCGTCTGAAGCATATAGCTCTTTTCCATCCAACTGCTTACCGTTACCTCTGCTAGGTTTCAGTTCTGAAGTGGATGCATTTTTACAATGAACGTCGAGGGTCTTTAAGGGGTCAGCACTGACTACTGGAGTGGTAACCTCATTAAAATCCACATGATCTTCTGATCTGTGCTTCCGACTACTATTAAGTCTATCTTGTCGTGCCTTCTGCTGTTGATTATCCTGCTTTTTCCACCCTCGCCGACTCCTTGAAACTGGCTGCCCTTTTGACGTTGGTGAGCTGCCCTTTCCTGCAAAAGGTGTAGGTGAAGAAAGACTGCTGCCACCTGACACGTTCCAACAAGCTCACTGCTGTCAAGGACCAAAAGAGGGATCCATAATGTAGCTGAGCATTGCATTGATGTTATCTTTACCTGTCTTCAGACAGGTAAAGTTTAACATGGATAAATATTGCACTATAAGTGAAGCAAAACACAAAGCAAAATCTCCTATATATGTTCGCGTCCAGAAGTCTTCAAGTCCCTGTGGATTTCGACTAGGTGACGAACCTACCTCCGAACCCATCGAGGCTTTCCTCAGCTGATGGAGGCTCCCAGTCCAGGAGAAATTCTTCTTTGTCCACCTCTGTTGAGTCGTCAGACTTCGTCGGGTCTGACTGAAGTCGCTCGTTGCCTTCCAGCTCGCAACTTACCCAATTTGGAATAACACCTGTTTTTTGCAGCTTGTTGAACTGTACGTGAACCATGCCAAGAAACGGGATTGAGCAACCGTTGGAGAACCAGAGATACTAGACCTCTATACGACGTTTTGGAAGCAGCACACACGAACTTTGCATAGCCGGAGTACACAAGTAATTACCTGTGCATTGAGAGCTCTGAGTGATGTCATGGACACTAGTCCCAGCGAATCCAATGATGTGAGCCTGTTGTGGGCAACATCAATAGAAGTAAGATTTGGAAGGCTCGTCAACTCCGAGGGGAGTTCGATCAACTTATTGCTCGCAACTCTCAACGTCTTCAAAGCTGTTAATCCAGCAAGCTCTTTCGGCAAGACTTTCAACTTGTTGAAGGATAGATCAAGCTCTTCCAAATGCTTCAGAGTGCCAATTTCAGCTGGAACCCAACTGTCAAAACGCCAAACAACACGAACCTGTTAACTATTTGCCTCAAACTAGTCCCACTCAATAATGTGCAACATAGTACTCTAAGTAACTGCATAATAGCAAAAAAAAACATAACAGGTTGTGTCTCCATAACTGTAACCTTGGACTCTATTGGAGACTACGACAGGCAAACCACCCTCACATAATATTCTCGTTCGTAGGCATCTGCTGACATTTTACTAGCCTTAAAACACGAATCAAGATGCTTGACAGACTTCGATTAAGTGTCTCACTTCATTCAGTTTAATTGCAACTCAGTCTATCAAGCATACAAGAAGGAACGCCAGAGACGCATCGTCCTGTGAACGATGATTGGCTTGCAGGAAATTTTTTAACAATTAATATAGTCAAATCGCATATGCACTTCGATCAGTACAAGAACCCACGATTGACCTCGATCGCACGGTGACCTGTATACAAACCTCTACAGTCCTTACCATAAACCAAGAGCAGTGTAAGACTATGAGAAAGACAGTAAGATCGCACAAATTCGACGGTCTGCAGTGCACCCATAGGTTCCAGTGAAAATTCTGTAAAGTGGGAATAACCTGTGGGTTGTCTTTTGAGTAAGTGATGAAGCTAAAATCAGTTCGTTAAGTTTGAAAACGGTTTAAGCTTTTGTGTATGTTTTGAATTTTGGTAGGGGAAATCTTTAACTACGCAGAGGGTTAAATAATCAACTGGTGATGAGGCTCATTGGTAACATGTGGAAAAATTTAAAACATTTATCTACAGAGTTCATTGATAGCAGAGATAGGCCTCAACAATCAGCAAGCACAAAGAGTGTCTCCACGGAGTACTGGGTTGGTGCATTGAGGACTCTTGGGATCTATAACCTAATTGGAAACACAACAAGAGATTCAACAGTCTTTGAGCCAAGCTTAATTATCTCAAGGAAACTTGCATAGAAGTAACCTGTTCGGCAGAATTGCAGTTTTCATGAGCACGGACTGAACAAAAGTGACCAATCTTACGCGTGTTAAAACCTCCAAAATACTCCTTCAGACGGGTTCATGTGTTTGATGGGTGAATGCGAAAAATACTGTGTCAACTATGCTACTGACTTGACATTGAATTTCACGCCACTTACACGACCTCCTAGACCAACGTATTCCTCGAGACTTGACAAAGTAAGATATGCATAAATGGGAAACTCAATGAAGCATGTGAGCTACTGTGCAAATTCACAAGGTGTTGTATTCTGGTCTATGGCATAGATATTTAGAATTAAAAAAAACATATGAAAGCCTCGAGTGAAGAAAACCTTGTGGCTTCCAACAAACATGTGTTATACAGACCGAAGTGTGCATGGAGCTGTCCAGGGTTTTAAGAAACTTACGAGATTGAAAAATGGCAAACGGAGAGGCGCGTTAGAGAATGAAGTTGTGCTATCTCACGAGAGAGAGTGGACGCTGATGGACGCACTGGCACTTGATGAAGCTCCAACGCCCTCAAAGACCTGAGCTTGTCTAGAGGAGGTAAAGTTCCCAGTCCGGCTGGACAAATTTTCAAGTACAGGTGTTCCAACTGTGTCAATTCTCCTAACTCCTGCGGTAACGTTCTCACTTCATTTGAGAAAAATTTAAGTTTCCTCAAATTCTTAAAATTTTGAATAGAAGAAGGCAGCACAGTGAAGCTATTGTCAAAAACGAACATGTTTTTAACTCGAGATGCTGTCTCCTGCATCGCAGTCGACAAAGATGAGAGAGTGCAGCCACTCGGAGAAACATCGATAACGTCCTCTTCCTCGGATCTTTCAGATGTCCTCAACACTTGTAAAGGTCTATCCTCAGCCGCTCCACCTGGCAAGTCATTAACTTCTGGCTTCAACTTTGGCAGTACTGTTTGAGCTAGTTTTTGCTCCATACGCTTTTGAGAGTGCATACTGTCAACAATTTTGGTTGCGTTCTCCTTGACAGCTTCATTCGAGCCACCATGTTCCGAGCCGGAAGATTCATCGGGCGTAGGATGGTTCAACAGACCATTTAATACTTCCCGATCCATCCGTAGGGCAACCATCCTTCAAGTTTCCGTGAAATACAGTGCGAAAGTCAGAATAGAGATTGAAAGGACCGACACAAAACGAGCAACGATCTCAAGATATGTGACGAAATCGCTTGGAAAACATTTTACGCCAAAAAACTTTGTCCCCCATATCTCTTTCCAATTCGGAGAGAGTGACGAGCGGAACTTCGGCAACCATATTCGCAGGGGCAATGTAGTGACAGTAACTCGTCACGCAAGACTACCCATTTTCCGACAGAAATCGTTGGTGGAATGTAATTGTTAAAAAGCCGAAATCAGTGTCGACTCCGCCCAGAGCTTTGCCGTAACGTGCAAGGCATTCGACAAGGCTCGTCACTGACGAAAGCAAGGAGACACCGCCTTGAGTGAGTTATGCGAACAAAATTGTCCATCACAAAGAAAATCTTCGAAGACCTGCCGAGATGATATGACATAATCCGACGGTCGTTGATGCACAGACAATTGGATAAAGCCCGGTATCAGGTGAACCCAAGAGAACTGCGACTCTGTTCGCGGCGAGATTAAGAAAAATGTCCGGGCGTGCCAAGCACATAAAAAAAAGGTCGGCTCCCAACCTCTTGTCAGCCTGAATCAGTCATTCATGAGCGGCAGAACAGCAGTTTTCACGCATTAGATCCGACCGCCACACACTAGTCCTCCGAAATCCAATTCATGTCAAGCGTGATAAAGATTGTTCCATGTTCCACACTGAATGTCCGCCCATAGTCCGCAGAAAAACATTCTGGTTCCTCCTTGACCGCCTCGCCAGACCCCAGCGCGGCAGTGCTGCTTCTTTTCCCAGTGCCACCTCTACTACTTACCACTTACCACTCTCTTTCCTCTCCTCTCCTCTCCCCTCCCCTCCCCTCCCTCACCGTCCCCAATCGTCAAAGATCCCCGGCCCCCATTGCCGCACTAACCCCGAAGAAAGGAAACGAAGAAGGCTCGACGATGAAGCTTTTGTCGTCGTCCCTCGCCTGCGGCCCTTTCCTCCTACAGGAGCAGAAGCAGAGATGGCAGCTCCCATCTTCACGGCCGCTTCATCACATAACTCTGGCGAGCTCTACTCGCGCCGTGAGATCTTCATCCCACGGCTCCCGCCTCCTCGCCCCGGCGACGGAGTTACTCCCAATCTCTCATGTGAATAACATCCCCCACTGCCCGCCTGGTGTGCCAGAATTCCAGCCACATCAAACAGGGGAAGAATCAGAGCTTACCGGCTCCCTCGCTGTCCGCAAGTGCAGTGCGCTTGATTCGCAGAATCTCGAACTGAAGCTTTCTTCCCACGGCCGCGGTGTGTAACAACGGTAACTTTACGGCTCCAGTCCAAGTTCGAGAACAGGCTTCGTTTTGGAGCTCAAGTCCGAATATAGAGAGTCCAGCGTACAGAGTCTAAGTTTAAGACCGATCCCGAATGCCGAGCTCGGTGGCTAATATAGAGAACAGCGTAACCAACATTTGAAAATGCCAAGGCCCGTGTCGCAGAACGCTTGCTTTGAGCTTCCTCGGGGCCCTTCTCCCTCACGAGTAAGAGACACCAAGATGGGCATTTGAGGACTTCGAAGGAAAACTCCGTAGAGGAGCCCGGGGGAAGAGCTTAACGGTCAAGCTTCTGGACAATTTGACTGGGTGTAAAAGTCAAGCCAGTTTTATCTCGTGGGTAGATTCATGAGGGATCTGGCGAGTCAATCTGTACGAACAGCACTGACTGGCCACCTCGGTCACTGTCAGTCGCAAAACATGTAGGGCCGGTCCCTGTTGGTGTCGGGCTCAAGTACACCTACTTTTCCCAAGCCATTCACGGCGCGTGTGAGAGCATCCCGAGAGTGAACTCATCGTCTCTCTGTAGCACAAGACTCAACTGTACAGTGTGTGGTACTTACTATACCTTCTGCTGGAGTCCCGGCGTGTCAGTCGAGAATATTGATTTAATCTACTGCGTAGTACGTTCCTTAATCTCAATATAAAATTTGGACACTCAATATGCTTATTGAGCCTTAAGTTTCTTCGAATGAACGCAAAAACATCAGTGCTTACCAATAATTTTTATTTTTATGACTTGCACATTTCTCATGGCTCTTAGTTATCGACGCTGCCACGCTGGAAATTATTTTCTTCTGCCGTAAGTATTATTTGAGAAGGGGGGACCGAGTAAGGCTGTAATCATTTGGGTAAGTCTACAAACTGAACAGTTGGCTCAGCTCATCCTAGTCGGACAAATAGTGCGATTGTGAAAAGCTACCCGCACCGCCAAAATAGAAGGACTTGATCAATTCCCATGCAAAGTAGATGTACTATACTCGTAAAAGGTTTATGTAGTGTGGTCCTTCTACGTGAAGCCGCCATCAATTCGATGCAACGCTATCCAGCTTTGCATCGTTGTTGCACAGCCCCAACCCATGAGATCGTTCGTTGCGCGAATGTAACAATCCCAAAACTTGATTATCTTGGCTGCATAATGTTAAATCCCCTCCTTTCGTTCTGATTCCATTCCCTCTCGTTATTGATACTGGAGAGAAAATGGTGCTATAAATTATTGAATTGTGGTGAATAAAATCAAATCAAGGGATTCTAACAAAGTTTGTGCAATCAATCAAGAAGTTATGATAAACGTGTTATTTCTGAAATCATACATTGAAACAAATTGACATGTTCATGTATATTGATAGTATTTAACTCATGCCTTGAGGTTAATATCGTTAGGCTTGTAAAGGTCGCTACAGTTAGGGTTTCTATTACTATAGGAGAGAGTTGGTGTTACCCCATTTCAGAACTTCTTGATCATTCATTGGAGAGAAAGAGAGAGATCTTCTACTCACGTTGGCTATGGGTATGGAGTAAAGTTTGTTGATTATACTTTTGAATCAGACATAATGACTTAGAATACAATCCTTCCTAACAAGCAAACCTTTGAGTCATTGAGTAGTTTTCAAAAGTTCCTTGTGAAAATGAGTTCGTAATTCAGCCACATGATTTAGTGTTTTTTCTTAAATTCAATCAATTTATGTTCTAGCTCTTTGAGATTCCGATCATTGTGAGACAAATTTTATCAAAAACGAGATTATGAGTCGTACGTTATGAGCATTTGAACTTTAGAATTTGATGTAGGCTGCCATGAAATTTAGTTCAAATTTTTAGTTCATCCGATCTTCAATTTTGTTTTTTTAACTATTCACCATTTGACTTGAGGAGTTTTGTGAGCATTGTATTATGGTCAAGCAAGAGAGAATCATTTTTGGTGTTGGAATCCATAATTCCACAAAAATTCTTGAATATATACAAATTGATGTGGGAAGATACTCTTTGGTTGCCTCACTTCCTGAAAAATGGTAGTATGTATCTTTTGTAGTTGATTATTAAAGATTTACATGTGTCTACTTTCTCAAAAAAAGAACAAGTTCTTTGCAAAGTTTAAGAATGAAGATCCGAGGTGAAGACTTAAGGTGAAAAGAAAGTAAACATCCTAAATGTAACGGTGAGATATTATGAAATAACATCTAAGAAATGTCATTTTCTTGGATGTACTATTGATGTGAAAGGTTATCGACTATGGAATTCTGTAACTTGTAAATTTTTTCTTCCACGATATGTGTTTTTAATGAACCAAGAACATTGAAAGAGAAAAATTGTATCATGTAGCATTAATAACAGTTACAAAAGAGTAAATTTGATTGAACAAGCTTATCACAAAGATGGAATTGAAACAAGATATTGTAAGTCTCTATGTGATAATCAAAGTGTTTATCATCTTTCAAGTTAACCAAGTTATGAGTAGTAAAGCATACCTCTTTAAATTTGGCAAACGTCTCCTTGAATGTCGAAAGTTCCGAATGTAAGTGTGTCGAGGACGTAAAAAATAAAACAGCAAAATTTTGTGAACGTAGAGTTTATGGCATAAACTTTATGTTGTAAGTGTAAAGTGTAAACAGGCTTTGGCGAAGTTGAACGCGCACACAAGTCACTTCGCAAAAATGGTGGTGTCAGTCACCAAGTCGCTGGCAAACTTGAAAGCTCGCGACACGCCATTTCAAGCAAAGCATGAAGTTAAGTACAGCCTCAAGGTGATATCCCCGGACACGAACGGTGTCATTGACCGTGTTCAATGCAAGTTCTGTCGTTTCCATGGCCGGAAGCAGATTCTTGATGCCAAACGCAAGCGTATCCATTATACTCTTTGCACCACCTTACCGAGCGGACAACTATCAAATTCATCACAAAGAGGCTCACATGGGTAAGTGGACTGATTACAAGGCAATCATGTTCGAGGACAAGAAAGGTTTACTCAACAAGGGTCCGGAGTTCAAGAAAACGTCGTTTCCCTTCAACGACGCAAGCTCCACTTTGATATTCACCATAAGTGCGCACATTGTCAAAGTTCTGATTGGCGAGCTGTTTTTCAACTTTGAGGACGAAACAATCTTGGCCAAGACAGCGCTGAAGCTATTGCGGCGTAAGGAGAACGACAGCTACAACGCCAAGATCAAGATGCCGCTTAGGTACCGGCTTGCGATTCAGCACACGTCAGCCGTGCTTTAGTTCAGGCATATCACCACCGTCATTCAACAACATCAAATGCTCACCAAAGATGCAAAATTGACTGGGGTGACTGATGCTTTGGTTAGTAGCTAAGTCCGTATTCTTGTTACAGTCACCTTGCAGCATATCAGCAATCTGATGGAAAACCTGCACACTAATCTGACTTATCTAGCACTAGAAGTATATTCCAGGCAAAACAGTTTGACTTGTTGACGTGTCTGTAGGAATAAAGAATTGCGCATTTTGTTGATGCATGAAAATCCATCATGCTTTATTACTACATGTGTGTAGTAATAAAGCATGCGCATTTGGTAAACTTCCAGTGTTTTGTCTAGGCTTATTTCTAAAATGCCACTTGTGGTTCCTCCGAGGAATTAATATTGAAACTGCCATGCTTGTGACGGTTGGATACCCACTTATTATTTTTGTTCCAGATACATGTGGCATTTTGGTTGCATTGCCTTAAATTTATGCCGCCACGGCTAGCTGTGGCGCTTTGGTTGGCTTTCATCAAAATCTTGCCGCCATAGGCAAATTTTCTACACATAGAGAAGTCAGACACATTCCTAGGTGCATTTGTTGTACCAGTTTAACCCGCTTGACTTTCGACACCTACTAGTACATGCGGCGGTCTTGGGCTGCCTCCCATTTCGCCAACGCAACTAGATATGGAAAGTTGTGCATTGTGTACGACAATCGCCCCACTCGAACGCATACATTGAGGTGCTTTGGCCCTAGGCAATTGCGCTTTTCATTTTTGACGTAGTTCAAAGCAGAGAACACATGCTCATTCTCCACAGAGCATATTGGGATAACTAGCATAAGTGTTGCCAACTTGCAGAAAGCACTCAATGTGTTCGACAGGATGTCATTTCCTAGGATACCGTTCCAAAATGATTGGGTTGTGCCCATATGGCTACACTCCTTCACAGCATTTTGCATGAGAGACTTGAAGCTATACTCCAGCAACTTTATCTTGGTATGATCTACTAAGGCTGACACTTCTTTCTTATTGGCTAGTTTGGTGATCTTCCCCTATTTGTTGTACAAGAGTTTAGCTTGATATCAATATCTTCATGAGAAGGCTTCTTTAGTCAATAGGCTGGCTGCAAAACAGCAAAAACCTCAAGCACTTCAATCCAAGGAAATCTCCTTTTGAGATCAGCCACTAACAGCTTGATAGAGTTTGTAGCTAATTTCTTTGCACGACCCTGAGCTGCATGACAGCCGCTCTCAGTCACCATGGTAATTTCTGTGTGCCGATTTGCCCCAGCCTGAGACACTGTGAATGTGTTGGTGATGTCGTGCATGGGCACATCATACTCCTTGGCATTGGTGTCAAACTGCAAAGTGTCATCATCACTCCAACAAAACGGGCTAAGCTTTCTACCCTCTCCGACATCAATCAGCTCAACAAAGTCCTTTCACACTTTGATTGTGAACATCTTGTCGCCCTCTAAGTATTCCTGCTTCAATGCCATTGATGTGTCGTCAACCGGGACAAGCAGCTGATCAAACAGCACCAAGATGTGCTGACAGAACTTGCTGAGGTACTGCAACAACTCGAACTGCCGCATGAAGATCCGGCTGCCAAGCATAGTATCAATCTCCATGAACTTCGCATATAGCTTTTCAGCAGCTAGCTTGGTTTTCTTGTTTGAATCTTTGGAGGTCATGTCATCTTTGAAGTCATGTTATCAATCTTTAGAGGTCATGAGGGATGCATACTCCGTGATGATGTTCGACAAGCAGCCCTTCATAGATAGCCACCTAGCATCATGCACGCGTAGCATGCTCAACCCGTGTGTGTTGCAAGCATCTGCATGGTACTTAGAGCCAGCTCAACGTTGAGAGTATCTAACAAAGTACGAATGATCATCCTTAATAGCTGCCTCGATTTGTACGTATAGAGCATCCTTGGTGATCACACCATCCACAAGAGCAGTGTTATGGACTGCACAATGAATTGGCAACATGGCGGGAGCCACCTGGATGACGAGCTACGTTGCTACCCCGACATGGTATCCCATCATGATAGACACACCATCACTGCCAAACGCAACAAGCTTGAGACTCAAATTCTTTCTAGACATGGTTAACACATTTTGGACAAACGCTAGCAGTGCTTTGGTTAGAGACATAGCGTTGGTATTGATGAGTGGTTGAGACTCAAATCCTCCCTAAACATGCCTAACACATTTTGGACAAACGCTAACAGTGCTTTGGTAAGAGACGTAGCGTTGGTATTGATGAGTGGTTGAAGGATGAGGAATTCAAACCTGCGCTTGCCGTTCTTGATGAATAAGATCTCCAGGGACATATACTCAGTAAGATCACATGCACTGATGTCATCGATGGTGAGAGCAATGACGGGGTAGGCATTCACACGACGCTTGAACTTCTTTAATATGACTGCACCTAGGGCATTAGGCATTTCCCAGCTTGAAACATTTGTTGGGAGGTGCCAATATGTTTGCAGCCGACAGCACGGAACAAGTCCGCGATATCAAAAAAGCTGCAAACGAAATGAATGCATGTAAGCCACAGTTCAACTAAGCTTTGAGTAACAACAAGAGCGTTGTTTTCTAGAGGCAGCAGGTTGCACATCTCATATAGAGACCGGGTGTACTACTAGTAACAACCCACAACAAAGACTTACTTGCTCATTGGATTGCCCTTGAGCAAAAGGTAGACAATTGCTTGAAGTTGCACTAGCTTCTTGCATTTTGCACCGTCATGGGTGGCGTTGATTGTAGCCTGAATGTATGGTAGCTAGAGTTGACGGAAGGGGCTGAAGCAGCAAGACAATGTTAGCAGCTTGAACACTAGGAAGCGGGGTCCAATGGCAAAAGGCAGAAGCAAAAGCAATTCAAATCTGCCAGACATGGGAGCACCCAGTGGGGTTCATACCGTGCAGCTTCTTCGAGGTCCATCTTCTTGCATTGAATCTGGATGTTCTTATGAGTTGTTGTGTTAGTGTGTGTTTTCCAGGTGTTAAGCTTGAGCATAGATGTGTCGATTGCAAGAACACTTTAAAACCAGCTCTTCTACACACCTCATAGTGCGCAACCTTTGTAGTGTTGTTGAAATGTAGCCAGGTGTACAAGATAGTCGAGATTGATTTGAACTACCGGTTGGCGTCTGTTGCAGCATGATCACACTTTGATTTCTTTGCAGCCTGTTGGTTCTCAGTAACAAGTGTATGGGTAGCAGCACCATGTGTACCATGGACTACAACAGGTGTAGCAGCCTGATCTAGTGCGGTTGGTTGAGAGCTGTCAAGCTGAATGCTGGGGCCAGCTGCCATATCAAGGATGGGAACATTGGCTGACTTAGCAGCGTTTGAACCTATCGTGGTGTTCTGCTGATTCTAGTCGTCTTGCATCACGTAGATCACATAATTCTCAATTTGAACCAAGTCTTATGGGAGACGGCAACCAACACACAGCTCGAGAGTTAACTCAAGAGATGTTCTCACCGTTGATGTTTTACGACAATAACCTCACAGGTCACAAGATAGTCACAGATTGTCTGCCAAAGATGCCCAAGTACTTGCTTGGAACTGCTTTCACTGAAAGGGGACGGCATGGGCGGTTGATACGCTTACCACCATCAATCAGAACGCAAGCTATCACAACAAGAGATCGACAGATAGCCCAAACAAACATTCTTTTGCCCTTACACTGCATTTGAAACAGCAAGAGCGGGCATCAAAGCCAGTAATCTAACTAAGGTCCGCACATTGTTGGAGAAGGTATGACTGCCGCATATATATTCAGGTCACAGACGGCAGACTTTACCGACTTTGAGCTATGATGCGGGGTTTTTGAAACTTCATTGCCAAGCGTCACCGCCATCTGTTGAACGGACCTAGTTTTTAACAGCCACCGTCGTTGTGTACTGGAATGCACTAGCATGCAAACTCACTCCAAAGTAAACGGCCAGATGTGGCAGCAGTCTTTGGCTGCATTATTTTTCAAAAGTCAGATTGCTACGGCCGAAGGCCGCCACAATTAGTTCAAAATCGCCACATTTCAGGCTGAATTAATTAGAAATCGCCACATTGGCGGTTAACCGCCACGAAACAAAACACTGTTAACTTCAGCCAGTGCCAAATTTAAGACCAAGTGTCATGTTGAAATTAGCTTATTCTTGGTAGATTCGGAGTTTGCCAATTTTATGTAGGTCTGTAGTAAAGTGGAGCATATTAACATTTGATACCATTTTTTTCAACAAGCTTCTCAAGATTAACGGTACACTCAATCTTGAGAATGCTTTTATCAAAATAATTCTTTTGGAGAATGTTAAGATTGAAAATGTTACTCTTAGATAGAACAAGTAGTTAGATCTAAAACATATCTAGTTTCTATAAAGGTTTTACTGTACCCTTTATAGGCTAAGGCTTAATTTTAGTAAATACTTGTTTACATAAGAGTCTATGTTTTAGATCTCCTTCTACTTCTTGCAAGTAGAATATATGCTTAGTGGAAATTTGAAACACAAAACATGAATCAAAAGAGAGATAGTTAAAAGTTAAGTCATGACTTGAGCTTACTATGATTAGGTTTGTATATTTCATTGTGATTAGGATTTGTACTAGATCTAGGAAGAGTTTTAAGTTAGAATTTCTACTAGATCACCAAATCCACTTTAGAGCTTCTTGCTCATTTGTTAGAAAGCATTTCGTGGGAGATGTAATTCTCACGAAATGCTTTTTAACATGAGAGATATACTACTCATGTTGGCTATGGATGTTAAGTAAAGTTTTGACATTATACTTTTTTACTCTAACATAGTGATTCATGGTTTAGAGTTATTCCTTTTATATATGATAATCATCTCAAAGATGGTTTCTTGTGATGCAATATGTAATTAATTTTTTTTTTCACCAAATCATTATCTATAATTTTTAATTCTACGTGTGATATAAAATTAAATATTATGATTTTAGTCTACATCATACAATACTAAACTAAGTATTGTTTAAAGTTGACAATATTGGTATTTTTCAAGAAAAAATACAGTTTTACAAATTAAAATTTATTTTTTATTTTTTATTTTATAAATTTTAATATTTATTTAAATATAATTAGATATCTAATTATATCAACTGGATATCAATATATGTGTAATAAATATTTTTTAAATGTAATTCGAGTTGAATGAACAAAGCCCACATAATTTGTAAAAAATCCTTAGTTCTTATAAAAACACAGGTTTTGATTATATGAAAAAATAATTGTAAAATTATTTTCATTTCATTAGTTTCATTTGTTTAAAAGAATATTAGAGTACAAATTGACAGATTTGACTTTTTTAGAATATATGTTCAGGTTGAGTTATTTATAACAAGCCTGAACTCAAATCTTGTTGCAAATTTCATGAGAAAAAGGCAGTCTGTAGTTATTATCCAAATAATTTTCATAAAAAAATGGCATAAGGAAGAAACTTAGGTGATATTTGAACAATAGAATGATTATATTTCAATTTTAGAAGAATTTTTTAAAATTATCTATATCTTATTGCAAACATACAAAAAGTAAGTCAAATAAAATTTTTTCGCAATTTATGTTACACCGAAAAAGTGTTGAATGATGCCATGTGTACATCTTTTATGTAATTTTTATTAAACCTTAGAGGATCTTTCTCGTTGATTGAAAATTTGGCGTCTATAGCTACAGCGCATTTGAAGTAAACCGGGATTCATTTCATTTACCAAGACGTGCGAAAACTTTTGGATCTGCATGGTAGTAGGAAATGAGATCGGATGGTGTGATTCACATACATCTGACTAGGGAGGATCGGAGCTCGAGATGGCAGTTAAGAAGAGACAACTTCCGATCAATCCTCCCCACAAGCGGACGGGCATTGCAACAGGTCTAGGGACAGTGGTGCACGAACGCATTTAAAGAGAGTCGAGAATCCATGAATAACGTAAAGAAATGAGTTGGATTCGCTTGGAGATTCGAGGTATGAAGGTTCCAACAAGGCTAAGGATCTCCTTCAACCGCTACCGAATGCTTGGGGTTCAGCAGAATCGGAAGTTCTGACTGAGGATCCTACTTTCTTCTAGCCGGGGAAATTTTCGACACCGAGACAATCTTCAATGGTTCACGTTAGCAAGGTGCGGCCAATAACTTGCGTTGGCGATCGACAGCCCAACAGATTGTGAGCTCCTCTGTAAACCCAACGTTCAAACCACAGCAACTGCTCAAAATGACGGCTCGGTGCAACAGAGGCCGTTTGATTTGTGCAAGAGCAGCAGCCGAACGTATGGTATCTCAAACTACTGAGAAAGGAGGGTAAGCAAGCGAGCACTAAGATGGTAACGAAGGCACTCAACAAGGCAATCTCAACTGCCACCTTGAGCTTCAAAGCATGTTCAGCACCGCTTCTTCTCACGAAGAGATCTAGCTCTTGCTCCTCGCCGTTGTTGGTATCTGGAGTATACAGCGCATTGTAAAACGAAGAGATGCGATTTCTGTCAGAGAAGGGCAGAAGCTCGTTGCAATTATTCAGGCCTTTCTCGCTCAGGGATGGACTGGCGCTACTCTCACTCTCTACGTTGCTCCCTTCAAAAGTCGAAAGAAGCGTGTCGTTTGCGTTCTCCCGTGCTTCGTCAAGGACCTTGCCCGCGACAATTGCCGTGGCGATGTCGATGTCCACCATCTCAACGAGCAATTCTTCCGTTTCAATGACTGCTTGTGGCGAATTTTGCGGATGTGATAAGATTCGATCTTCTGTTGAAACATGTTCTTGGAAAGGTGAAGCAGTTCTCTTTTCTGGAACTGCATTTATCATCTCAGCCGACACATGAGGTGATGCACTTCCATTTTCAGTATCATCGCCTGGTGTTCTTGCTTGGTCCGCCGAAGGAGAGGGCTTTTGGCCATTCCGCAGCAAAAAATCGTCCTCGCCTTTTCCGGATTGCACAACCTCTTCTGAAAGGAACTTGCCCCGAATATCGTCGTTGTAATCGCCACCACATTCTGACGGAGGAGGAGCGCTCGCTGTGTTCTTCCTGAAGATTGCAGGTCTTTTGATGTATGGAGGTAATTCTCGTGTTCGAGGAGCAACATACGAAGTGATACAATAGCTTCGATCCAATCTGGCGAGGTATGAGCGAGGAGTTGCTGAGCGTGCGGAAATGGGCGTAGGCGGCGTTAAGGAATTCGTCGATAAGGCTGCTGGATTTAAGAAACTCGAAGGCGTGGTCCGAGAAGGCGTTTGACTCAAAGGAATCAAAGGCGCATTGCAGTCGCTACACCTAAGTTCGCCGCATTTCCTCGCCTCTCCATCTGCTTGCTCCGGCGTACTCGGATTTGACGTGACAGACAAGGACCTTGATCTTGACGAGGTTCTGCACTGGCGCCCTGATCTCCCCACGGGAGACTTACTACCAACCGTTGAGTAATTGACGTTGTTGGCGGCACATCGTGGATTGCTGCAAGCTAACGTTCTCAAGGGTCCTCTTTTCCACTGTTCGGGAGTCTTCGAAGACCAATAGGCAGGCAGAGGAACAGATGTAATTCCACCCGTCATGGTCACCGCATCCCACACCACCGCATTTTCTTAGCTTTGATTTCTCCCTCTGAAGTTGTTAGAGAGTACAGAGTTTATCGTTTCCTTTCGGAAAAGATCTTCCAGTTCCTTCCCGTTCAGGTCCATAGATCCTCGGGACCAAGGAGATCCCATTAGACTCGAGTCCGGTTCGTAAGAGGAGCCGAGAAATCACAGCAAAGAGTCACCCATTACTAGCGTTGATTTAGGTCCCTAGGCTTTTCAGTGCTGCGGGATCTTTTAGACCTTGCTGCCAAGATTCCTTCCGTCGTCGTGCCGCAGTTGCGATACAATGTATTCTTCCCGATCATCTCTGTGGATACGAGTCACGATGAATGGCCAAGACTCTGCCTTTCAGACGACTTATGGTCTGTCTTCGTATCGCTCGTAGAACCAGTCGTTAACCCGATCTTCCGGATTCCTTACTCTCTTGTAAGAGCATGTGTACCAGTCACAATCTAATGTTGTAATGCATGGCCTTCATCCAAATCCCCACGCTCCGCACGACGCTTCTTCGCCATCTTACGTCTTTTCAGTTACACCTTTGTTTGGCAGCATGGTCCTGGAAAACGACACTCCAGAACAACTCCTTCGTTTGCGTACGCAAAAATTATTACAAGAATCCGGAATTTTGTACCAGTCGGCGCCATACGTTGATGTTTGTCTCAAAGACAGTCCCTCCGTAGACTCTCCATACGTCGTGCTTCCGTTTCGCACGGTCGTAGGCATAGGTTTGCGTGTAGTCAATTTTAAGAGCTCGCCAACACGCCTTTGCGTATCGAATAGTCAAGGATGCGAGTAGACTTGATTCACGATGTAAATCACATACCTTTGACGACGCGCACGGATGGAATACGTATGCGTCTCACTACCAGCTAGTGTTATACCTTTTCCGTGTAGAAAACTTTACGCAGGGCCGCAATTTCAGCTCTCGTTAATGTCTTCCAGTGCGGAGTTTACCACGGAAGATTGAACACGTGTCCATACAGGTGGCAACTACTTGGCAGACACCCTATGTAAAAAGTTCACCTTTAACGCCTCTGAGTAAAATTACCTTAGCTGACGACCATTTCTTCCATCTTCACGTCAGATGTGACGTGGCAGTTGGACAGTTGTTGGTTCCATCCAAAAGGCACAAGTACTTCTTACGCGTGTTCTGATATTAGGCAGCTTAGCTACATATATTGAGTCACAGTTAGATCACCCTACACACCATTGTTCAATCCAAGACATATCACAAAAGAGCATCAAAAACTTGACCCCTCTCGATAGAAGATTCCGTTGATTGACTTATGAATTAGCTTCTTCGTGATATCGGATTCGTGGCAAATGACCACACCTTCCAATTGGCTACATTCAAACGTAGGCTGAAAGGGATCGTTCAACCACGTGGGGAAAAGAGTCTGACAAGTTGCATGATCCGGAGGTCATACAAAAAGCCAATCTTGTCCGAGATGGTTACCCAGTCAAGATATTGGTTTCCTTTTGATAAAAATGCCACCAAAGCTTCCTCTCCATGACCGAATCAATTGTCCCACACAATGATGTCACTATAACCTGTTTAGGCCAATAATTGAACCCCAAAAAAAAACAGACCCATCGAATGGTTCGCTTCGTCCTAAAAAAGTTGTTCCATGACGCGGACTTGTCGCTTGTGTTATGTTTTTGACACATACCGAATTAAAGAAGACACATGCGTCGTGCACAATCGAAGCCAGAGGTCTCCAGAGTGACAAGCAGACTACCCAGTCAGTGGAACCCCAAATCAGCATCATCCCTACTAAGATAGGTGACACACAAGTTGATGAGGTTGCTTACTCCATAGCACGCGAAAATTTCGGCGCCTATATTCTCTGATGGGAAGCACTTGCCACCCAGCTACAAGTCTTTTTCGAAACTCTAGCCCCAGTTGTACCACCACAACAATCGGCACGGATTCAACAATCCTTGAAGACCTAAACCGCACAAAATGAAGGCAAAACGTATGAAAATATTCACATGAACCAAGTTCCAAGGACAGCTGTGGCAAGACTAAAGTGGCGCCCTCCTTAATGAGCATAACAATCCACTAGCCAGCTAGCAAAACGAATGACAAAAAAGAATGTTGGATCTCTTTAACTGATGCGTAAAGGAGTGAAACTCGTGCATTATAACAGAGAGGAATCAGCCTGCAGATTATGAGGTAAACCTGATGTGTGCGAGCAATCTAACGGTCTCAACAGCAATTAAAAAACTACCAATCTTGAACCATCTCATCGTGGTTCCGATGTAGAATCCGAAGTTGAATCAAAATATAAGCATTCACGATTATCTCCAACTCCCCTCATCGAAAGTCCAAAAAGATGAAACACAAACACAACACACCTTCTCATCGGGTTAAAAATTGGCCGTTGATAAATCCTGCACAGACAGGCGTCTTTAACCTCATTGTTTGAATAACCAACGGCTATGCAGGGTTTTCATCGACTTGGAACGACGGTTTGTCGGGTAGAACCGGTGGAAATACACCATCCGAAGTTCGTAAATTTTGATATCCTGGTTGCTAGTATGTACCGGCACGCTGACACAACGTGGGCACTTGAATTTCTATTGGACTGTGCTTTCAAATAACTCGATAGGTTTAGGTCAGCGAAGGATAGGGAGCCTATAATCATTTGTAAACAAAAAAACACTGATTAGGATTTTCAAGCGAAGACGGGACGATACTACCCGCCTGATTTATGTGTACTCGCAGTAACATAATTGGCGAATGTGGAAGACGCGGGAGGGTCGTGAAAAATGAGACGGTAACTGGAAGGAGGTAACTGGAAGGAGAGAGTAAACTAGTTATCATCCTTTGGGTTCTAAATAAACCTGAGGGACTATATTCAGATCCCCTTATACAGCCCGCGCAAAAATGCAAGTTTTTTGAGTTACCCTCTTCTTGCTTGCTGCTACTTCTGAAGGCTTTCTTTCCGGCTCATGAGAGGTTGTTCCTAAAGGCACAACGAACCTGTAATGCTCCAAAATAAACCTCCATGTTACGCCAATACGTCTTTCGACACCACGTACTCGAACTCAGAACTGGAATCTTATTTTTACCTACGATATTCTTTGACAAAGAATCTCATTTGGACACGGAAGCTGACCTCGGGCACAGTTGGGGAAACAGGGCTCAGACTAGAAAGGCAAGTGATGATTCAAGGTAGTGACAAGACCGGTTCGCATGAACAATCGCTGCAGAAAAATACAGGATCCTGCACCAGATATTAGGCCGTCTTGAAGTTGAAGATCACATGTTCAAAACCTCAAAAAGGGATCAGGCAGATTCCACATATCAGCCCTGAGGAATGAAATCTCGATACAGTTGTGACAGAATGATCACGAACAAAGTTGCATAACACCAGATTTCTAGAAAGACATTGCCGATACCTCAAATTGCTTCTCCAAACTACACTCGCCAACATCTCTTGTTCCAATATGCAACAAAGAACAACTGGATCTGAGCTTAAACAAACATGGCTTCTTACAACAATGCCATGTCTCCAGCAAGAGTAGGTGGAGTGAATGAACAGTAGCAGCGCCTTCAGGGGCAGCTTCCTTCGTTACTCCCAAATGCTCATCCGCAACAAACGTCATTCAAGTATACAAACAACCCACCGGCATTGAGTAGTGAAAGATGGTAATCCTTATCAGGCGTTAGAATCAGCTACACTAAGGAAATCAACTCACTTAAAAACCTGATAGGCATGAAGACTTTCAAACAGTGGCATCGGACGTTGGTGGACAAACATTGAACTTGTATCTGCAAGATGGGGATACGAGAAATAGATCGACAACCAAGCCCATATGAAGACTCTACTGACCACAAGTTCTCCGTTACGGAGATATGTACCCTAGACTCTATAAATTCTAGTGACAACAAAAAGATACAGTGACACCATCCAGAGCCCTCGTCTACCCTCAGCCTTGTGGTTGAACATAAACCTTAGGCTCTCTACAGTTTACAGTATATATTCTCCTTAATATCTCTAACGCACGAGCCTGACTGGACTACACTCATCTTGAAGTACACTCAAATATGCTCGCGACAAAACCTACACCCGAAATGTTCTTAACCTATAACAAAAGCACCTAGTGTCTACCCCAAAGAAGACCAAAAACGACTTCAGAATGAATCTGTGAAACAGTCCCACCTAACTGATATCAAGGGACTCCTCAACCCTGCTTGAATGCCTCTATATTAACATCAACCACGGCTGCAGACAAGCTTCTACCATTTCACTGCACGTCACTCCATGGAACTCCAAAACAAGCTACATGATAGGCTGCATACGGCTGACGCTGACGTGACAACGGCGCCAAACACATTATATGCCAATCCATCCATGGAAGCAGCTGCTAAACTCCCTATGGATGGGTGGCCCTTCTGTAAATACTTGACCGCGACGACAGCATAGAAGACGGCCGCAACATGACCCCTCAACAGACTCCTGACACACCATTGAATGGTAGAAAATGGCACTGTCGACGACCACTCTGGACCTCCAACCTCACAGTGCGACAAGGGCACTCACTGGAACAGTTGCAGAGGGAAAGAATCAATCATAGGCCAACACTGCATGGCTCAGGTATTACACTACTCACTTAAAATGCATGCTAGACACTAAACATGAAGGCATGAAATCCTTGTGACTTTCTGACGAAGTTAAGTCACAGCTGTCAACTATCAGCAGCAAACAAGAAGCACCGCATTTCGCACAATTCTATGCAAGGGACGGACACTGCTGAAACACAACTTTACCTTTAGCATAATGTAACGCGAGACTAATTACCGACCTGTTCAGATGGGAGAGGAGAACTAGAATTCGCTGTCTGTTTCAGCTCTGTAGGTTTGTCTGCTCCACAATTCCTGCGGTTGCACTTAGTCCTAAAAGGATAATTTACGTTCCCACAAGCTTCACACGTCCAACTCCCGTCTGGCGGTGGACCCTCTGTTCCAAGATATCCAGGTCAAATTCCAAAACAACCCGAAAAAATTGTACAATCCAGCCATCAACTTCAAGATAATAGCAGGATGTACAAACAAGAGGACGTTTGAAAGAGAATTAGACATGATTGTTATTTCCATTAGCTCGGATAAGGTTCAAGACCCCACAACTCAGTTATACGTACAATACAGGACTCCACAATAGAAAGCAGACACATATGATAATATCATGCGACAAGATAACTGTAACATTCAGATTGAGAAACTTGAGGAATAATGTCAATAAGAAAGTCCCCTCTACAAACTCCGCATTATCGGCATATAAGAGCAGACCATCGGCAGATGACAGAAGAGTGGCAACTTATCGGCACTTACGAGTTGCAGGGGCTCGTGCTGCTGGACCACTCCCATACCTATTAGCCTAAACAGACGAAAAAGGATACATGAAAATTAGCAGACAAAGGACACTATAATTTCGTACAATGGAAGAAGTATCCTTAAGGGCAAGTGCGGTTCTGAATGAAGCTTACAAGATCTGAGCCTATGTAAGCCAAATCTGAACGAATCTCAGGTCATATGGATGATAGACTTTACCGGTTCCGAAGGTTTCGGAGCACCACACTTCCTCATGTTGCATGTGGTTCGAAAAGCAAAGTTTGTGTTCCCACACTTGGGGCAAACCCAGTCACCTTCGGAGAAACCATCCGGCCCTGAAAGGAGAAGCAGGTCCAAAAACTACAATATAACTTCGGTCTTTCACTGAAAATAACCTATTCGGTAAATGTAAATCCCGAGCTCTGATTGTACGTTTCGTACTTCCATATTTCTATGATAAAAAAGGTCGAAAGAATAACTACAAATATATTCACGGCCTCGACAGAAATTTTGGATCATGAATTCTCAACTTCAACTCTTCCTACAAATGGGAGTTTAGGTAATATTCGAGCTGAGGAAAGAGCATCTACAACAGTACGGCTGATGGAAAGACCAGATGACAAACCTCCTCTCCTTTTCCTTGAGCCATTTTCTTCGCCGTATCCCATCACAGGTCCTCCTCTTGGCCCAGCGATCTACGTTAACCATCAATCAAATGTTGGTTAGAAGATATTTTGCATTAAAGTTATTCGTACTTTAATTTGTATGGACATTTGATTCCTAGACACCAAGAAAATTACCGGCGGTACTCGTCCCATGCCCATGCTCATCCCATATCCATCCATCACAGGTCCAGTTCCATATCCAGGCCCTGATATTGAAGAAAAGCAAGAATTGAAAAGAATGTCAGCGATCTCAAGATGAAAAAACATCAATTTCTGAGAATTTTGAAAACTCAACATAACTCGTCTTGGACATTATCGTCAAGCAGTTGATTTCTGTCATTTACCTCCACCGATTACAGCCCCTGGAGGCCCATAGGAAGCGGTCATGGGCATTGGCTGGTAAGGTTGAACTGCGTTGACTGATGCGCCGTAGTCGTAAGGAACACTTGAAGTCACTGCCTGTGGAGCGATAGGCATTGGCGTTCCATAAGTTGCCGGTAGAGCCAGTGGTAGGGGAGGTGGTGCACCTGGTCCTCCCATATACATAGGGGCTGGTGCCTGCTCGTACATGGCAGGAGCAACCATGGGCCCTCCGATAGCCCTCTGTTTAAGTCAAAGGAGAAGGAGACGATTCAAAATTGGGCAAGAAGTAATTTGACACTTCAAGTTTCCTTACAACAGAATTTAGAACAAGTTTCTGATTGTAATCACACAAATTTTTTCAGAAGGTTATGAATCCAGAAGTTCGGTCTCTATCCAATATTGTCCAAAATAGGAAGCTCGTAAATATCTAGACAAGGTTGCATACGAGCCCAACATTTAGAGGAGACTTTCCTCAAGAATCAGAAGACCTATATACATATTTTTATACTGATTTAGAAAGATCAAGTAATCAGTAGAGGGGATAGCTGCTGTGATGAAAGGGCATGTTCAGACGTTGGAAAGAATGATAGCTAAACATGCAAACGTGATTGGTGATGAAAGCTTGTTACACTATACAGTAAACATACAGTCAAGCAACAGCTGAGTCAGTTCAAAGCTCAAGCACAACAATCCCTCTGAAGTAGAAACGTTTCAACAGCTAAAACAGTCCAAGTCTTCCCTGAACTAGTTGTGAGATGGTTTATGTTATGAAAGAAGTTATCATAAAAGGGTGGGCTAGCTCAGACTATTGCAGCTCAATAAAAGTAGGCCCTAATCCGCATATAAAGTGGGCATGCGTCCCACCATTTCCAAGACCACGTTAAAGAATCCTTGTACAGGATTCAAACTAACTGTCCTGTTTCGACTGAGGGTTTTCGCGCGAGGGTTCGTTCCAGTTGATAAAAATAGTACACTATTTTCATCAACAACACTCATCAATCTTCGTTAACTTGCACGACGGATAAGGGAAGAAGGACATCGTTCATTCTTGGTTTGATATTGATTGACAAAAAGCGTAAAGCAGTCATCCAGACAATTTAAATACCAAACGTTAAAGATTGGTAAAAAGATTGGTAAAAAAATCACAAATGAGCTAACGAGTGTTATGAACCATATACATTTCGCAAGACCGAAGAGAGGTTCTTGGTACCAGCGGTAAGGGACCATTATGAAATGTAGAAGTCATGCTCATTTAATGGAATGAATTATAGCTGCACAGGGCGGACAAGTGCACAGTTATATCTAAAATCCAGATAATTATGGAGTTGAGAGAAAAGGCCGAACGGATGCAGATGACAAGCAAAAGGTAGATGTGATTCCAAATTAGATAGCTGTCCAGCCGTATTTTTTACAATTTTAAAATTGTAAAATCAGCACTTGTTGTAGGCCTCTCACGCTTGGCCCACGTATAGAATACTGACAGTTTCCACGTAGCATGCTAACAGTTGAACTGAAGATGGATATGATTTCTCTGTATTTCTTAGAAGGTTGTGTACAGACACTGGCACTAGGCCTTCCAGCATAGAAGATTATCATCAATGAAATCCCGTTCGACATACTCGCTTAGCAGCAGGAGATTAAAGCAGTCTACTCGACATCTCCGGCATTGCTCATGGCTACAACATGCGCCAAAGGAGATATTGGCTCCAAGAACATAGAACGTCTCAAAGGGGCACCCGCTGACGTGGACTAACCAATCAGGACATTAGCATTCAAACAGGAGGACCCCAAAAAAAGCTTTGAAAAGCAGTGTGTACACGTCCGAGCAGGAAGTAGGCGTGAATTCTCAGTGCTTCCTAGAGGGTTGTGTACAGACACTAGCTTCAGCCTTCCAGCACAGAATAAATCATCAGTGCAATCCAATCGCCATACTGTTACAGTCCTGCTGGGTTTCGGTCTACAATGATAAGACGTATGTAGTTGGAGCCCTCTTCACGGTTCTTTGAACACAGTGAATGGATAGAGGCCTGCGCAGTCTGGCTGGTGGTCAGTCGATTCGGCACGGTGGTTGATTGGGCAAAAACAACCGCCTCTTCCCCTTTGTCGAGGAAGAGGGGGTTGTACAGACAACAAACTTCTCCTCACGAAGGGGCACGGAGCACGAACTGCTTCGTGCCCCCTCGTGGGGAGAAGTTTGTTGTTGAAAGTATATCTGTTGCAAAACCCTTATATACACAAAAGGTGCATTGAACGCTAGACTGATGGGTTTTCTCTCGACTTGAAGGAGCAGGAACGAAATTGGAGGAACAGTGAGGAACTGTTGGCCTAAATTCTCAGGCACACAAAACCCTTGTTTGATATACAATCAAATACCGCGATTGATGGAGTCCGAAGAGTATCTTGTAGGAGTACGGCAAGGTGTACAGGGTGGATTTTAATTGTAAAATTGTAAAAAATCAAAACACATTCGGCAAGGTATCCAGGGAAGATACATAGGCATAGGGAGATCGAGTGCAAATACTTAGTACAGCAACATAATGAACTTCCGTGAGAAGATAGTATGCTTGATACTTCGGAGGAGTAAAACTGAAAATTACTCGTAGGGCGGCGAGAGGAAGTGCTAGCATAGATCCTACCAATCCTGAGTAGGAAATCAAAGACTGTTCTTAGCTGAGAAATATGTACACATAAAGTAAGAGTTGAATGAGCTCTCTTGAAAATGTAATCAACCGCTTGAGGGATCTCTCGTAAAGGAGCAAGAGTACATCTCTAGTTTCAACGGATATCACGCTATATTAAGATTTCGTCGATGAAGAACTACTATCTTCCCTACCTTACGCGACAGTTACGAGAAAAAAAGAAACGAGAGTTCTTTGGCTTGGAGATTCTTGAACCAAGTAGAGCCCATTACGCACGCAGCATGCTTTTTTCCAAAATGGGCAAACGGTTGAAAGAAAAACTGAGCAAACAACTGAGGGAAGTAAACACATGGTAATTGACAGGTTTTAAGGGTAGAAAAGAGAATAGACGTCTGTAAAACAAAGATGAAAAACATCACAAAGAGTCGCCCCATCGCTATACTGCGTAGTTGAAATTGTCTTGTCATCTCCAACGTTAAATACTTGTTGACTTCAGATGGAATAACAGATGATACTGCTGCATAATTATAGAATTTCCAATATTGAGCCCGTTCCTTCCTGATTTGAGTTGAATTTGTACCTGCGCACCCTCTGCAGGCTTAGATGCTCCACATTTGCGCATATTACATGTCGTCCTGAAAGCAAAATTAACATTTCCACATTGTGGGCAAGTCCAATCTCCTTCCCCACGGACAGCTGTAGCCAATGCACAACACAGTATTACAGGTCTCACTCGCTTGGGTGCAATCTGCTATTGATAAGCTTTATTGCAAATGAAATGCGGTTAAGAATCAACTACTTCACAAGGTCAGCTACTATACTACTCCAAAACAAGATGAACCGACAAGAAAGTCATAATTTCAAGAACTCACCACCGTCTGTACGTGCCCGTTTGGGTCCTTGCTGCGCTCTATAATCTCCTTGTTCATATCCGGAAGGCATCAAGCCCTGAAAACCAAGCACAATTATGAAAACAAGTCAATAGGAAACCATCGAAACATAAAATAGCACACGGCTCAGGTGAATAGGCTTGTGGTGGAAACTGGTTACGGGAAGTAAGAAGGAGAACCACGACCCAGCTTACTGAAACTTTCCAACTGCTCTGGTTTCTAACTGTCTACGTTACCTGAGATATTCCAGGAATGAGAACCTGTCTACAATTCCTGGGAATAGGAAGTATATCCACGACCCAACTTCGTGAAACGATCCAACTGCTCTGATTTCTAGCTATCTACGTCACCTGAGATATTCCAGGAGTGAAAGCCATTCCACACTTCCAGCTTACATAAATTACAGCTGAATGCGTCGGGTCATCTGCGGACGTGAAGGTGGACAGAACTAAAAGCCTTCCATTCTTTACTCTGCCTGTAATGAAGTTGAAGGTTCAGGTATATCTAGAGTTTAGAGATGCAAGGATATTCCGTTCCCGGCCAAGATGTAATAACCGCAACGTGTGAACCGTCTTCTCATAATTCGACCTCCGACACAAAAACACACCTTCCATAATTTCCTATACTCAACCTTTCAACTATGAAAATTGACGAAAGTCACAAACCGAAATATCTGATGAACTAGCGTAGTAGTATTGACTACAAAAAACATTTGCGGAGAGAAAGCAAACATCCTCGACCTTCAGAACCAAAGATTGATTTACCAGTTCGAAAGAAGTACAACTTACACGAGCAGAACTCACAACATGAGAGATGAAAATCCTGCACGAACAAACCTGAATCATGTTTGCAGCCTCTTCTTGAGGCTGAGCCGTTATGACGGGCAGCGACGCTGTATCAGGCCTAGCCGAGAGTGACAGAAACCCTAACCAAATGGGCGTTTTAGGCCTCAATCGTTGCAGAGCCCTGTGAGAAGTCTTAAGCAAGTAATAATTGTAAGATTCCACGATCCTCAAATCAGGACCACACCGGTCACGCTTGCTACGGTACGAGAGCGAAATTTCTCCTACTTCCAAAGCATGTTCATACTTCAGTCGGTCGCGTTCCGCCTAGTAAGCTACAACTGTTACCGTGCTAACCAAAACATCTACACACATATACCCCCACAACTCAATTTAACCATATCAAAGGTTCATCGTTCTTTTCTCCCGCCCGTCCCTTGCCTGTCCCCTGCTCTTCTTTCCACCCAACCCCTCCAATTCCATCAAGCCCCGGCAGCTTCCCTCCGTCCCCTGTCCTTCCCTCGGATCATAAGGCAAGCTCGCTCACCTGACAACGGAAGATTGCTCAACGCCGCGGCAGAGTGGTCAAGCGCACAAATTTTCAAAAAAAAATCGAGGCAGACTGCGCTGCGACACTCTAGTTGCTCAAAGAAGGAGGAAAAGACTGGTGCTGTGGTCTGGTCAGGTCTCCGGGCCTCGCCTCGCCTCGCCTCGCCTCCCCTGCAGCAGCAACTGCTCCCTTGGTTTTACCTCTGACTACCTGCCTCCTCACTGCCTCGCTCGCTCCTCACTGCCCCGCTCGCTCGCTTCGTCTGGCCGGGAAGGAACGGGCCGGGCGCTCTCTCAGGGCACGCAACAGCGCAATGTATCCCTCCGTCCGCACTCCGTTGCAAGATGGTCGTTGCCATGCTGAACACCGGTTTACTCTGATCGTGCGGCTCTTATCCATGGATCACTCGTCGGAGCCGGTCGTGATGCTGATAAGTAAGCTGCGATTGACGGTTATATCCCGAGCCGGAGGGTTGAACCTTGCGAGCAGGATGCAAATTTGATGTAATCTTTACGTCTTGAATATATAATTTTCTTCTTCGATATTGGCTACGTTACTACGAGATTGATAACGAGACGATCGACCGTGATCATGATTAGCATACAAAACATATCATGTTATTAAGATTCTGGAAATTAGGTTCTCATTTTCTATAAACTTCATCTAGCAGTGTGCTTTTGCTCATTTTTCATAAACTTGCCAATGAAATCTATTGTATATCGTGTACAGGAAATTATATGCTTGTAAAATAGAGATGTCGGCTATTCGATTTCAAACCATCTATTCAGAACTGATCTGATGATAGAGAATGAAGTGAACGATCGGGATAATGTAAGCATTCAAAGTAAATCATATCGACAATATTTTGGAGATTATTTTTTCGTGTTCATGTTATTCCGCAACTTAAATTTGCAGCGCACAATGCCAGTTTGTTTTCGCTTATTAGTCATATTGCGATGACATACATTTTTTGACGTGTGCTGGAATTTATATGCTTGTAAAATAAGAATAATTTGCTTGTAAAATAGATTTGTCTATTTGGATATCCATTACTTATATTTTAAATTGATATGATGATACATGATGGTGTTTGATCTATTGTATCAATGAGTAACATCCAATCGAATTCAAAATAAATGGTTTAGTTATTATATTCAAGTATGTTTGAATTCTTACTCATGTGATACATGAGTAGTCTAATGTGCTAGTTTCATACAATTTTATATTCACGACAAAGCTAGAGTGTTTGTTCTTTATCTATTGATTCCTCTCAACGATACTGCTTTATACCATGAAGATTAAGTTGTTGAGGTCAAAGGAAAACGTTGATTATGATTGATCTCACTTTTCATCTTGATTGCTTTCTTAAGACATTATTATTGAAATAATAATGATTAATATCAAATATTATAACATAAGGAGCTTCAAAACTTGTTGATCAAGATTAAGTTTTTACTTCAAGCTTAAAAAGCCTGGAGGTCAAGCTTGGACAACTCAAGTTCAGGTAGTGTTCGGGATGAGAGCAAAACGGTGTTAGGTAGAGGGAGGGAGACGCACCTGATGGAGTTATGATGATTCTAATAGGTTTAAAATTTGATATTTTGTCACTATAGTATAACATGACTACGTTACATTTTTATAGATACTCTCAATAAGAAATGTTATATACTTTATGTGATCTTGTAATCTTCATAGTATCAAATTTGGCACAAGCTATTTCAACGTATGCTTTTCGTTTTTTTAAAAAGAGAAAAGTAACTGATGTAATCACTCTGAAACGCAAAATCCAAATGATTCATTTTACCATGATGAATCAACAATATTTCTATACATTAAGTTCTTGTAACGTGTGTGTGACTTTTGTAGTGATTATGAATCTGTAAAATTGAATTTTGTGTACCACATTGTATAATACCAATGTATTGGGTAAATTTTGTTATTGATACATATAATTTAAAAAGTTTACCCTTGTTCATCAACTCCTCCGATATACTCATCATGCATGCCGTCTAGACGCTTGTATACTCATCATGCATGTCGTCAACGCTCTTGTATATGTCAATGCGATCACGACCAGCATACTCATACCCATCCACGAGGTACTCTTCAAGTTCAACTTCATATCCACTATATTGAGAAATAGGTACTACATCCACTTGCAAAACATTGTATTTCTCGTTGTAGTAATCTTACAATCAAATTGTTTCAAATTGAATAGAATGACGTTGCCAACTCGATCTTATGCTTGTCCAACCGAGCTCGTGAGCAACTATGAATGTTGTACAATATGCATATAATTTACATGATTATATAACCATATCTTTTATATAACAATATACATGTCCTTTATGTTGTACACTTTCTTGTATAGCATATCCAACAAGTATAAGCATATAAGATTTCATTTTCATCATCAATTTTAATCATAGTGTATTGATGACATGTCAAATATTCATATAAATACTACAAACTATAATCATTTTCATTGTATGCACTTCGAACTGATGAATTATGATATGATTGTTCAATATTATCATCATCTATCCTCATCGTTAGATCATAGCACGCTATATTTACTTTTTTGCTTCACAATTCATAATTTTGCTAGTAATGAAATATATATATTTCTAGCTAAATTTTGAAAATTTGATAAATTTTTTGAAATTATGTTGATTTTTGCAATTTTATGTTTTAATTTTACCAACATCAACATTATAAAACAAACAAAAAATCATAATTTAAAATCAACAAAAATAGGTGTTTGATCATTCCAACTTAATGAACAAATTGAAGAGATCCAAACATGATTTATCTCAAACATTAAAATGAAAAATGTGAGTTCCTAATGGACTTTTTTGCATGCATTTGATGATAAAATTTAAAATAAAATGCAAAAACATACAATGGCCACAATCTTGAAAGTTTGTCATATGATATAATGATATGATAATATAGTTGATAAGAGTTTTGACAGTGCAATGTCAAACTTATACTTTGATGTCTATGGTTAATGTTTCGTCTTTATTGTTCTTTGTGATTCATGTATAATTCTCGTTGTGACTTAAAGCTATTGTTTGATTTCTATTGTATCTTGAAGCTTGATTTGATGTCCATGTGGATAAAGGGTCGGGAATCCCAAAGATTCTTAAAAGTAACATTACCAAAGGGATAACAACTATTATAAAGTTCTTGTACTTTTATTACAACGGATGGAAATATCATTCCCGTAAGCTATAAGAACTCTTTGAATTCTATCAAGCGTGTTGTTAGTAAAAAGCATGTTATTGTTACTTGTGGCTCGTATTTAATTTCCATTGTACCTTATAGCTCATGTTTGATTACCATGACATCTTAGAGCTTTCTTTAAAAGCTCATGTTTGATTTTCATTGTATCTTGAAACTTGTTAGAAACATGTTATTGTTACTTGTGGCTCGTATTTAATTTCCATTGTAACTTAGAGCTCATGTTTGATTACCATGGCCTTTAAGAGCTCTGTTTGAAATGCGTTGTTGTGTGTCAATCTAAAGTAAGTATAAGTATAAGTCTACTAAATATAAGTATAAGTATAACTAAGTATAAGTATACTAAATATAAGTCTTTGTCATTGACTTTCTTGTTAGGACTCACTATCACATTATTATGCTTCTAATTCAGACTAGATAATTAAGAAGTTGGATAAAATGTTGATACAACATTGGAAAAATGACAAGATCAATGACTGATTTATTTGATAAATTTTTTGAAGAAATTATGCCTTAGTTGAAGGAAACAATTAGAAAGTAAAACCAATTTACTCTGACGTACAATTTATATGACAATGTGAGATGAAAATACATTGAAAAGCTTAACAGAAGGAGACAAAAGCTACGCCAACATTTATATATTTCAAAGAATGCATAGTAAAAAGTGTGTATAAACATCATCAAAGCATACATTTGTATTTGTGTTGAAGTAAACTTTTTTTAAAAAAAAGTTGCACAATGTTAGAACACATGTGAAAATAACCTAGAAACAAAAAAATAAAAATGCGTTAAAAGATTGTAAAATGTACATCTTCTGTAAATATAGAAGAAAACAATAGTTGAAGTATCATGTGAATTATATATATGCATAATATATATTTATTATGAATATCACTATAGGATTGCGAGATTTAATGCTTGAAGGAACGATGTCACGGACATGATATCTTCAAGCAACAAATTTCATGTTGTGTATGTCATGTCACACATGTCTGACAGAACATCATTTACTGGGATTACTTCATTTGTTTATGTTAACATGCTATTTATAGTTGTTTATAGTAAGTTGACATTAAGATACTTAAACTTTGAATGAATCATCTGACCTCCAATGTTGTATTATAGATTTGCATGTTGCGTTTATGACGTAGTCCTAACGGAATGAATAACATACTTTGTTTTGTCTTGTGTTTATGGTTTTTTGTTCATAAACATAATTGGTAAATCTTTTCTAATTCATACATTGACTTTAGTGGGAATGTTGAGAAATACTTGTGAAATCATAATCAAGTTCAAGAGCTAATGGTGTGTTTAAATCAAATAATTCAAATAAAAAATTTGGAAAAACTTTCTCAACAAATTTGTAATAGAAAAGTCAGTGATTTGATGATCAAAACATATCTTTAAGACAACTTGAAGTATAATTCAAGTCATTGTGTTTATTTGGAAATCAAATCAAATCATTGTACTTACCTTAAAAGATAAGTTGAGTCAGCAAGCTTGATTAGAATGTAAGATAAATTATTTGGCTTGCTGATAGCAGAAGTCAAATTGATTTGAGAACAAATATATTTGAAAAATTCAACTTGGAAACCAATCATCATAGTGTAATTTTCATATAGTAGAAATTGAAAGTCTCAAGAAATTATATCTACTATTGTAAACACTAATTTTTTTTTATGAATCATATTTTGCTTCTTGGCTTTTAATTCTATTTCAAGTTTTTTTATTCATTACAGTTTTTATTCCTATTTTTTAATCTGTCAAAGAATTGCATCCGCAACAACACAACATCATGATTTTCATAATGTCACACCCGAAGATATTATTTGCATCACAATAACTTGCATCTTAATTGCCAAGTGTCATTAACAACACAAACAATTATAATTAAACCCGATAAATTTATGACATTGCTCACAGCATAATATCAATGAATCAATACTAATGTTGTGCATGATGGTTTTGCAATATTGCTAACATATGTATGAACGATTCTTCATGCAACTTTATTGTCCATCTTGTCATACTTTTTTTGACTTTAAAAATTATTTTCTTCCTTCTTTAGAACATATAGCAATCAATTTGCATTCGACTTTCATTCATGTGGCAAAATTACTCACTTACAACTAATTCATCATATCCATCACAATGTGTCATTAAATTCTCTTGAAAAGAATTAAATTTGTACTTCATTTGCATGATAATTTCTTGTTGAATGTTTGCTACTCCAAGTTCCTAATCAACAGTTGACTCGTTGATTGTAATTCTTTAACGTCAAAATTTTAACTTACAGATTCCGATGAACATGTAGTCAAACGATCATATATTGTGTTTGTAGAAAAGTATGTAGAGCCTCAACAACGATCCGATTTGTTGATTGTCTATCTGCTCCGTTAGATTGTACTTCAATATCAAACAAACAAGTTGGTTACATGGCATACATGTAAGATATATTTGTTTAATCTTGATTAAACTCTATTTTAATTATAAAGATGATAATAACGGTACTAAAGGAGTGTTCAAATCTTTATGATTGGTTTTTTATCATATTGAAGACATTGTGGTTTATTGCATGTGACACTACTTTGTAAGTTGATCATTCTCTCTTGTATGTATGACAACTGGTATCACAACAACCAAAGTGTTGAAATATAGAGTCTGGAAAGATGTAAAACATATTCAAATGGAACATTGTACTTCTACAAAACTATAGACCTAATGTTTTAGAGAGTTTGCTACAAAAAATAGACGGAGAATAATACTATTTATCAAGTTGCGTAGACTCTTTTCGGTAGAGTGCGATGCTTCTTCGGATGCGTATTAGATTGTAGATGGTTTATATGTATTATTTATATTGTAATAGGTTATAGTAGTTCCCAAATTGAAGCTAATCTTGCCGAGCCCCATCCCCGGGTTTCATCGGTCCGCGCTCTTGATGGGGGCCTTTGCCATCGTTCGTGCTGGAGTACTCGCTGCTGCTCTGAAAACGTTGTCAATCAAGGGGATAGGCTTGGCCACGGTCCGGACCGACGGTTAACCGGTTAACCGTCGGGACCGGTTAACCGGTCCCAGATTTCTCCGGACCGGTTAACCGGTTAATTGCAGCAGAATTAGACCAGCGAGCCTCGCTGGTCTAATTCTGCTGCAAATAAATAAGTAAATTTTTTTATCACCCAATTCGATAAGTGATAATCCCTAGCATAAATCTCGAGCTCGGATGTGTTTCTCCAGCTTCCCTGCACCCTGGCGCAAAGTCGAAGTCTCTCCAATTCGAGAGCGTTTTCAACCGGGAGGATTTTCAACAGTCCGAGTGGGGGCTCACTTGAATACTCGAGCTATTGCGCAATTCCTCCTTCGCTCCCGGTCACAGCCCCTCCCGTCGGCCACGTAGGGTCGGGACAGATGGTTAACCGGTTAAAACCTCGGTTAACCGTTAACCGATATGGCAAAATGCCGGACCGGTTAACTTACCGGTTAACCGGTTAATTGGACCGGTTAACCGGTCCGCACATTTCCCGGACCGGTTAACCGTTAAACGGACCGTGGCCAAGCCTACAAGGGGACTCATGAGGATAAGGTTCATGTTGGGCGTTACTTCGCTCGGTCCGTCCGCTAGTGGATGCCTCTCAAACTACCCCCAAGTCGTTTGACTGACTTTTGGCTGGAGCTGCCCGCACGCTTAAACTGTTAAGACCAAACATGACGATGTGTATTGTACTATGACGTTGCCATCGTTGGCGCTCCAGTGCTCCAGTACTCGGTTCGCCTTCCAAGACGTTGTAATCTCTTAAGGAAGAAAGTTCCATACTTTCTACTCATGTAGGAGTTGCCATATGTCACTGTGCAACTACTCATATGAAGGCAGGACACGTGTCCATCTGTAAGGTCGGTGTGCGTCTGCCACGCGGGATTTCTAATTGCTCCCGAGAGGCCGCTATGAACTGAAAGAAATTTCCGTCTTGAAAACTTGTAGTGCCTCCAATGCGATTTTCTGGGCTGTGTGTCCAGGAGGTGCAATCACTAAATTAGCTCCATGAATTAGTGTTACATTAGGTGTTAATCTCGTTGGCAATCCGACAGCGTCGGTCTCTACATGGGAAAGGGCTTGTGCAGCAGGTTTGGAAGAGAGAAGAACAGAGCAATAGAGATCGGTCCGGACGGGGAGCAGTGCCCGCGAATTGGAACAAGTGCAGTCGGTGCTCGGATATCGTGCGAGCATTCGTAGAATTCTGAACTCAATCAGGCGAAAGGGGTGGTGCATGACATTGAAGGCAAGGGCTCGAGGAGAATCGGCAGTGTGTAAACACTGCCACGGGGAAAGGAGGCTGGAGGGATTTGGTGACGAAGTGATATCTCGCATGCGATAAGACCGTAATTGTATTTGACAAGTTTAGGACGATGAAGCAGGTTCGGTGTGGCGATGGAAACATTCTGGGTTTACTGGATGGCAGGACGATTGATTCTCAGCAAGTAATTTCCTGTAGCCTTGACTGTCTTCTTCTTCCGGGGTGCTGGTCTCGGACTCGTCAAGTTTAGTTACTTGAAAGTTACTTTACTTTGATGACATGTGCCACAAGTTGGTAGTTAGCAGACAGTTCTGATCAAATCCCAACTTTGTTTGGTTATGTGTACTTCGGTTCCCGGGTCAGTGACGAGTGCCTGATTTGACAATTGAGGCACAAACAGAAGTCAATAAGATTATCATTGTAATCTTATCGACTTCGAAGTTAAGGAGGGCTACGGTAGAAGTGCCAATGGATAGGAGACCAGGGACACTTCCCCTTGTTGAATGTGCACCCTGTGGGTATGTCTCTCATGGTCATCCATGCGAAGCATAAACTTGGCTGTCGGGCACTTTCTGCTTTAAAGTGAAGGTGCCCGCGCATCTCTGTCCATCTGGTGGCGACTGAAAGGATCATTCCATTTCTGTTTGGGGATGGGTTATGTTGGTGGCAAGTTGTCACTTTAAGCCGGAGTAGGTGTGCTGAAGATATTGGAATCTAGCTGGCCTGGACTGCTCAGCCTAGAGTTCACATCAAGGAATTGCTGTAATTCCTATATTTTGACTCTAAGGCAGTGATGCCGTGCTCTGCCTTAACATCGAAGCGAGAGATTTCTCTCTTCAATTCACTGTGGAAGCTAAATGCCGTTTATTTGATCAGGTGCCACATCATTACCAGGAGCAACATTTTATGCGGTCTGTTCAGATGCACTCTTCACTGGTCCATCGACTGGAAATGGACGACGTTATGGAGGTATGCTGGCGGTGAATTCGTTTCTTTCTAGCTCTCATCGTGGTATGGAAATTTTGCAAGATTGACCGGAGAATACAAAACAACGCCAAAAAAGCAAAACCAAAAATAATAAAGTAGACTTTTCGAGGTGTGCAAATTCACGGCTCCCCAATCAAAGAGATGGTTACAAATGCTAGGTGTACAAAGCAAACGCTGTGATCTGGTTATATTTAACACGACCTTCCTTTTCTAGACTTTATTTTTGTTATCAGTGACGATGAAATGAAGTAGACTAGGTGTGGATGACGGAATCACAGCAGTAAACTATGTCGGGTTGCTCTGACCAGCATTTTCACAACAGCATGCTGTTAATAGTTACGTTTGCATGTAGTGTGTTGTTTTCAGCAGAAGCGAGTATAGCATCTGACTGAAAACATTGAAGCAGTAAACATATGGTAGATATGATAAATAAATGCCATGGACACCTTTGTCAGCTCGAAGAAGCCACTTAAGACTGAATATTGGGGCGAGCTGGTTCTCCTTTCGTCTGGCCGTCAGAAGCTTTAAGGGTCATTAAGCTATTGCTAATGAGGCATATATTGCAGTAACTGAGTGATTGAGTTGTAGATCAGAAGAATATGATACCGGAACGCAATGAATGTCGCATTTGATTGCATTTCCTATCTTAGAATATCGTAGGGAGCTGGCGTTATGTCTAGCAGGTCATCAAGTTTGCACTTGCTATATATCTGGTGATTGAGATCTGGAGTGTAGACGATCAGCATTGCGTTCAGTACAGATGCACGACTCTTCAGTTGATAGGGTGATCTTCTCGCTGTGATTGTGGACACACTGGCCACTTCAATTGCAGACTTCGACACACAGCTCTCATCTGGAGACCATTCTAGACTGCCTCGCAACCAGTAATACTTCCTTATCTCCTATGAAGTTCATTGCCCTCACGTCTACACCTGCCACACGTTGTGAATTCAACGTGCTCATTTTATGCAATTACGTACTTTTATATGGCTCTAAACCAGATTTTACTTCTAGGCAGGCTGACTTCGCTAAACAACCTTTATTTGTGGATAACAGGTCCGAGGCTAACATATTTTTTTATACTGGCCTCGGTCATTACGCAAGTCTCCACCGAAGCCACATTTTGGAGTTTTGGCCACCATACTTCACTGCCACAGATGTGGACAAAAAGTTTACAAAGAGCCGCATCCTACATCAGATGATCTCTTGAAATCTGCACCAATGTTTTCTACATACACTCTCTTCCTGGATCTTAGACAACTCTGCTGGAGTGTGCAACGGTATCCATGATGTCAACCGTAGTCGCCCATATTCTGAATTTTCCCTCCTCTCCCGTCATGCTACGACTTTACCACCTTGTACACGAATATCGACCTTGCAGATCTCAACAAGAGGATCGCTATCTGAGTCAGGGATCTTTATCGTCATCTTTCTTCACATAAGCAGAATGACCTTCTTTCACTAACTACTGAAATTTATCTTTCACATTCAGAGGTTTCAAATTGCCCCTCGTGACAAGGACTGGTCATGACGCGAGATTACCTTGTTGTATTTTCTAGTAGACTACGATTGCTTCTGCTAAAACATTACTTGTACCCATCACTTGGTTGGAATTCATTCCTGTGATAGCCTTTTCTTCTTTGAGAACGGCCTCTGTCGACAAAGTATGGGAGTTCCCATGGGAACTAAGTATGCGGGTTTCCGAACCGGTACCTTATAGTTTACAAATTCGGCTCCGTCCAGCGGTTACCATTTTTTCTGGAACACAACGACTTTCTTTGTATACTCATAAACTTCCGACTACATCTGGACGATCTGTTCGTTCTTGCTGTTCCCGAGTTCAAGGATCTCATGCACATGTCTTCAGATGCTGTCGCATGGACATCTATCCTCGCGAATTCTACGAACTCAACTCGATTTCTCTGCCGACATAAGCTATTTCACGTACTTGGCCATATACTCCCAGTTTGTTGTGAAACTGGAAAATGCCGGTCGATGATAACCTCGATGATAAACGACGAGAGGCAAACTGTAGATAACACCAGTTCATCACCCTTGCACGTGTGGTGTTCTAGAGTTTTAATAAGTCAAATTAGAATGGAAGTATGAGGGAGATCTTTAAATTCAAACATGTACTTATTGACAACGTCTAGTAGTGCCGTGGTCATTCTCCTGCGTACTGTACATTCTTGTCCACTCAGTCATAGAGATCTGCCCATCAGTCTGCCAGTTACATATACACGAGTTCACGAACCCATCGTTTGGTTGCACCTGACTTTCTGACAGTGGTATACCAGATACCATTTTTTCCAAGAGTCTCACGATAGACTCAACAAGATATCCCAATCTCCTACACCACAATCTCATTGAGTGCTCATGTGTAAGGGAAGCGTGTCGTAACTGCATCTCATTCTGAAAGAGGAAATCTTTAGATAGCTGATGGTTGAGAAATCAGAGAGTAGCAGTTTTATCATGTAATCTATTCTCGCTATGCGGGAAAAGTGCAGGGCAGTGTAGGCTTGTCGTTAACTTGTCGAGATCTGTTGTACTCGGGTCTACTTCTTGATGCTTTGAACGTTGTGTCAGATTTATTATTTTCCATTGGAGCTCATGACGTAGAAGATTTCGCCCTAGGATTACGAAGAAGGTGGCTGTCGCCTTTTGTATGATACCTGAAGAATGTATCATCCGTCTCTTTTCACCTCCTTGTGCTCATTCTTCTTTGAAATTTATGTCTTATCAGGGCCATCAAGGGTGTGTCAATACACTAGCATGGAACGCGAAGGGATCACTCCTTCTGTCTGGCTCTGATGATACAAAAGTAAGGACATAAGCTTTCCATCATGGACTCAGATCTGGACAGAACAGGATTTGAAAATTATATACGTTCTGGCTTTGCATGATCTATTTCGAGCCTCTTCATCACCCTCTCTTGACAACTTTGGCCTTTTAGTAGGTTCAACTTACACGCTGGCGTCTCCAAGAGTCTGCTGTTGAGGTCGATTTATGATAAGGGATTGAGAGTCAACCTGGTTTTCATGTTGAAGAGTGGCTTTCTGTGTGATCTCCGTCTAGTAGAAATCCGGTGTTTACTGTGAAACCGTTTGCCAACTTCTTTCACAGGTGAATATTTGGGATTATGGCTCTCGTAAGCTGGTTCACGACATCTATACTGGTCACTCTGGATATATCTTTTGTACAAAGTTCATGCCAGAAACCGGAGATGATTTGGTGGTTTCAGGTGCTGGAGATTCGGAGGTACTTTTTTATCTTGACGTTTTTTTTTACTTATGGGTGAACTTGAATGCAAACTTAGCGACTTGTTGAGATGAACTTTTACTTTACTGTGTATCTCAGTAGATTCAAGGTTTCTCCCCACAATCTTCTCACTGTACATCCCGAGGAATAACGTCAAAAGGCAATGTTGCAATTTTCTGAATAGTTAACGTGTTTTCAATCCAATTGGCTGACAGGTAAGAGTACACAGAGTCAGTCGGTTAGCTGGAGGGAAAGGCGGGAGAAAATCCTCTTCGGATCAAACTGCTGTATTTCGTTGCCATTCCAAACGAGTCAAGAAGTTGGCGGTAAGTCAGTAACTAGTGTGGTTGTAACGTATGGTTTTCAAAATGAAGGAGGTCACGCAATTTTGTTTGAGATAAATAGTTGCGTTGTGGATATTGATTACCTTGTTGTATAATGCCGACCTTTATAAATTCTATACATAACAGGTTCTGTTTATTGTCACCGGTACCTTTCTTATATTGGACTGGCGATCCCTTACTGCTTACGTAGTTCTCTAGAACAATTACATTGGCAGCTGGAAATCTTCTCCGACTTAAGTTTTTCACTCGCTTCCATTTACCACTTTTTTCCTACTCCTTGTTTTACTGCATTGGTTTATATTCAGTGTCCATCGTTTATCGGCGTGAAAGAGGACTAAAAAGATCTCATAGTTCCTTGGTACGAGATGTGTTCCGTCCCCCCGCAAGGCCCTCCGTCTGGTTGCGGACTCTATTTTCTCTAGATAACAATTCTGCTGGAAGCTTTGTCTTCCGATTTAACTGCACTAGAGCGCATACTCAAATTCTGATTCCCTTGCCTTAAATTTGAACAGCAAGTAGGGAGCAAACATCATCGTTCGGGTGTGAGCTCTCCGTGTGATGTATCCTAGTATGTAGGAGACCTTTCGCGTTCCGAATATCATAAAGAGGCCCAGGAAAAAGCCTTTTCTGCCCTTTCCCGCTCTTTGAGCCCATTTTATGCGTGGAGCGGGAGCTTTACGGCCCAGTCCAAAAGATGAATTGAATCTGGTATTTGTAAACCTGCGCACATTTTGGGCTTAAGCTCAGATGTGCGCAGTATAGTGTGTGGGATTATGATAAGGCAAAAAACTGATATTTTGGCCCGGTTGTTATGATCGAGATATGCCAAAGTGTCCATGCATCCGACAGGAGAAAAAACTGTTATGGTGGAAATGATACCTTGAGAGGGTATCATTTATGATGGTTATTTTTGGTAACATATATGCTTTAAAATCGAAGACGAGAAGACAACGTGTCTTTAGTTGTAAGAATTTTTCAATCTGGGTACAAGGAGTCGTGTGATGGGAGACTCTAAACTCATTCCTAGTTTAAGGTGGGTGTTTACGGTTCTTCGCATGGGATGCTTGGAGCTTTTAACTCGAATACGTCCTTCTCGTGACATACGTTGTTTCCTGTTTTTCACTCTCTACCTCATATGATAACTAGACAGTTTTTCAACTTTCGGGTTTGGAGAGATCGGAAGATGGTGCTTGAGTCAATTCACAGCTCATGTCGAGTTTGCTCTTGCCGGTCTAGAGTGTGTCGGAAGTCTTGTTGAAGGGTCCTTTTTCCGCCATAAAGCTATTTCGAGACCGTGACAGGCGGTTATGAAGTAATGGTCTTTTCGTCTACCATTCTATCAAGTTTATGTTAAGCTCTTTTGGCTAAGGTCTCTAGACAAGATCGTTAATGGAAAAAGAATATAAGTCCGCATTATACATCATCTACATCCATACTGCTCGTGTATCCTATTGACACATGATAGTTATTTGTTGACGTTTGCTGTTCCAATATATGATTCTGCAGCCAGAACACTTGATGAAATTTTTGATGTCGTAAAATCACGTATTTCCTAACATTGTTCCCCCTATCACTAGGGAGTCGGCTTCTGCATAGTCACCTTAGGTAGCATTGTTCCAGGTGCAGATAGTGTCTTGCATTTTGTCTATTAGTCCCTTGTGAAGTGTCTTAATAACCCAAACAATTTAAGATTGATTTTTTTCATCTTCTTAATTATAGGTGGAGGACGGCAATCCACATGTTATATGGAGCGCAAGCGAGGATGGTACATTACGACAGCATGATCTGCGAGAGGGTATCGCATGTCCGCCTCACGGTTCCCCACCGCACGATTGTCGTAATGTCTTGGTAGGCATTCAGCCCTATAGTTTGTTATGTTACGGTTTACGAGTTGCATCTGTCGGTGGTCTACCTAGACTTTTGACTTCTCAGGGTCCAAGTGCTTGTGAGGAGCATGTTGCATCCGTGGGCTACTTTGTGAACTGGGTACAACGATGAACGTGGACTTAAATCTAAAGCTAGACACCCAGCGTTCATGTTAAGGATAATGTTGAGATATTTTTTTTTTAGGACTTTTTAATCTTGTATTAGCGGATCAAATTCTGCGAATGAATATTTTGAAGATGAGAACACCTTAGTGTTGACACACAAAAACAATTACAATCTTACTGACGAACATGAATAATTTATCTTCAATCTCTCGGGTGCCAGCTTGATCTACGGTGTGCAGCGAAGAAGGCATTACAAGCGCCCCCAAGGCACTGTCTCGAACTCAAGACATGCGCGTTGAGTCCCACCCGTCCAAATCATCTTCTCATCGGCGGCAGGTGCTGTGTGGTGGAATGGCCATATTATCTGGCGTCTTTGATGACCTCGTCTTATTTTTGAAGCATAGCTGGAACATTTGAATGCTTTAAAATCTTCACAGTTGCTAGTGCACATGTGCACTGCTTACGCTTGACGATATTGTCATGAAATAAGTCGTATGAGTCTAACCAATTTTTTTCTTGTTCTATTGACAGTGATGCGTTTGCTCGTCTCTATGACCGACGCATGCTGCCCCATTTAAGTTCTGCTCAGCAACCGTCGAAGCCCCCACCTTGTGTTTGCTACTTCTGTCCTGCGCACCTTTCTGACAAGGTGAGTATGAAGCTAAGCACTCCAGAAACACCATTACATATTCAGTTTAACTCGTGATCTATCTCTAGATGTAGGAGTTGCCTGAATCATTTAAGAGAAAGCAACGATAAAGCTGGTGATTTTCCTGTATGTCCATGAATCCGACCTTACTGTCCGTACAGTTCGTACAAACACTTCCTTTTTTGACTGTTTATTGTTTTTATATTTCCCGAATTGAAGGTCTCCCATAATTTATCGGAAGGTCCTATGTTCACCCACGATTTTACGGAATTGGATAGGATTGGGATGCCTTCTTGATCTGTCTCCAGCGTTTCTAGTTGTTCTACAAGCAATTTTGAGTCTGTTTATGCCCTCTCGAATGATAAACGTGCGATAAGAAAATTGCAAACTCAATTAGCTCTTTCAATATATTGTTGTCGTATTAGAAAAACTCCGATTTTTCCAAGACATTTACTAGAAGATTATTGACGCTTTATTGTCATTTCTTCTGTGGTCTTTAAAGTCGCATTGTGCAGAAGCACAAATGTCTTTCCGATTTTTCCTAAAACCCTGTCATTTTTATTTTTATTTTTAAAGCATACGTTTTTTTCCATTTTTTGTCTGACATTCCCCCTGGGGCCTGTTAGTCGCTTCTCATCTCTAGTTAAGTCAGAAGACCGTATACCATTTCTGAGGCCTCTCGTGTGTTAGCAGTAGAAAGACATGTTCATCCAGGATGATGTTCAGCGTTCTGTTGAAGATGACTTTTTGAGTCGCACTTTGACCTCAGGTCTCCTTGTCTCTTAATATTATTTCTTTCGAAATCGCACCGTAGTAAGCAAGTGCTAAAGCCACGAGGACCACTCGTACCTAGTGATGGTTTCTATTTCTCCGTGTGCAGAGCCGCTCGAGTTTGCATCTCACTCATGTAACATTCAGTCCGAGTGGGGAGGAGGTGCTTCTTAGCTACAGCGGCGAACATGTCTATTTAATGGATGCTTTCACAGGTAAGCAGCGTGCACTATCAAAACTTAACGTGTTGGTGAAAAACACTGTATAATTCTTCACTTAATTTTCCTCAGTCGCCAACTTGAACCGGTATGAGTACCCCCTTCAAAGAGATGTGCATGCTCTTAGGATTACTTGCTGTAGTGCAGTAAACAGATAAGCAATTTTCTCTATACGCTTCGTTACATAGATCCAGATGACGAATGAGGATTGCTAGTTTGTTTCTGCCCTGAATCACTTCATTTCAAGCAAACCAGCAGCATGGTTCTAATCAGTTTTTAATCTTGTGTCTTGTTTGAGACATGCCCGTGTAGTTTCACCTTTTTGCTATATAAGAGCTTTGTTTGTCGTTGCAGGCCAAGAAGATGGAGTGGTTTACAGAGCAAGTGATGTCCCCAAAAGAACTGTTCTTGCTCCAATTGTTAATGGCACAAATGTCCAGTCAAAGTCTCCAGGAGCGGCTCTGGGCAATGGATACAGGCGAGGCTCCTCTTGGGTATGGAATATCATATGTAGAAGTTGCTCGCTAGCTATTTCTTGCACGGAGATTTTTAGCCTTGATTTTGGTTCGCTCTTTGGGTTAGAAGCCGGCCTTTCGCCACTGGAGCCGCTCGCCTAGTTCTCAATAAAGCTCGTTGGTCAGAGAGTTTATAAATTCCACCAGCGTGTTCGTATGTTGTAATATGAATGCGGCACTTGAGCACCCTTTGAAATCGTAACATACTCTCTCAAAAAAAACGGAGTATCACTTGGGTGGGTGGGAGATTAATAAGCCCTCATCAAAGTTCTCAGGATGTGAGTGATGTGGTGGTATTGACTAATGTTTTGTCTCGACGTACTGACCTACTGAATTTGTTTCCTAATCAATGCACACTCCGCCATGTGTATCCTTTGCAGGTGCAAGAATGTAGAGAACTTTTCGAAGAAGCCAAGAAGGCTCTGACAACTGGAAACAGTTACCTGTACGCGGTAGAGGCTAGTAGTGAGATAATTGATGCCGGAGGTACCGTCATTGGGAATCAGTTGAGGCATGATTGTCTTTGCTTACGGGCATCGGCCTTTTTGAAGGTGTATATCCTTTTGTCTATTACCCCAATCTAACGTATGGCCTTAATGTAGTGTTGAAAGTGTTTGAAGTTGAAAAGTGCATATATCTGATATCTACGTTGACTTAAGCCTCTGGATTCCTATTTAGCGTCGGTAGTATCTATGCTTGCACATCCCTTCCTGGATACTTTATGGTACTTGTTACTTGTAGTTGTTAGATAGCTGTTGTCGTGCACATCGGCATATACCCGATTCTACACAAGAGTACTGCCTTTTCTGCTCTTCAACTTGAGTCGGATTGCTTTGGAATGTCATGCTTTCGAGCTTCAGATGTGCAATAGTTGTTGTGATCATATTATTTGCAATCTGCAGGTCACAATAGGGCTTCTTTAGAGTGGCTCACTTTGTAATTTGAACCATAAAGTTTGCCGCTCTCATTGAGTACATCGTTGATTGTTGAAGAAATACATTTGATTATGTGTTTAACCACGTTGTTACTCTTCTACAGCGCAAATGGAAGAACGACCTTCATATGGCTATTAGAGACTGTAATGAGGCTCGAGCTATTGATCCCATGTCCCCACAGGCACACCATCATATGGCTGAAGCTCTTTCATCGGTAACATTACTACGAACTCTGCTATAGAAGAGCTTTTTGATCGTATGTCAGGTTCAGAGTTTGGTTGAGGCTAGTAGAGTTTTGACAATCATGAATTATTGGTCCGAGAAAATGGCTTTAGGTAGACTTTTTCTGAAAAACCGGGATTTTATCTACCGAAGTAATGAGTAGTATTTCAAATTATGCTGTCACACTACAGTTGTTTGTCCTGTGAAGTGGTTTTTGCTTTGAAGTACATTTGTTACCTACATAGAGACATTGTGTGTCGTCTAAAAAGCTTTAGACTGTAGTAGTTCCGTTTCCGACTATTGGGCGTGTTCTAATTGCTTGTATTGAATCGCCTTTCCTTTTTCTATTTGCGGATTTTGCCAAAGCGCAATGGCTCGGCATATACAATACCTATGAACTCCTAAACTGTCTGAAGTATTAATATTGGCAAGTTTCCTTTTCCGACGCCTGACGTGGGTTGAGCTGAAGAACGTTAGCTTACTCATTGTGCAGCTTTTGAAGCACAAGGAGGCGCTCGATTTTGCCATCAGAGCTCATCAACTAGAGCCGTCAGATGTGAGACTGTCGGAACATGTGGCCCTACTTCGGTCAATGTTGAAGACAGGTGTGTTGAGGAACAAGGGAAAGCATGACGGATATATCTCACTAGTATTTCTATGGCATTAAACGAACCGAAGGTTGTGTTAACAATTTTCTGGTTTAGGTCTTCATTATATTGTGTTTGTTAAGCATCTCCGTTTGTGTAGGTTTTGTTCTTCTGCAATTATCGATGTCGGAGACCTCAGTGTACACCCTAAGTAGAATGCGGTTTGAACCCTTCGTTACAGTACTTGGTTTGGGGCGTTGTTTTTAAGCTTAAGCGCACCTTCTAAATGGATCGTGTCCACTTTTAAAACTGTGTTTTTGTAGATGAGGATTCCAAGAATAACCGAAACAATGATGGGGATGTCAAGCTAGAAAGGAAAGCATCCAGAAACACTGAAGCGGATCTCAAGCTAGAGAGAAAAGCATCCAGACTTCGAACAATAAGTAATCTGTTATTTAGATCGGAATCGGACCTGAGCGAGGGTTACCAAGATACATGGCGTGGAGAGAGGGGCGACCTGTTCAATGACGACATGGAAATGGAAATGGAGATTGAGATGTCAGTAGGCGAAGAAGATGATAGGGATGGAGAGCAAGGAGTCCTTCCAGGATCAAGCTTGAACTTACGCCTTAGACCAAAAGTGGAAGGACGTGAACGAACAAACAGGGTTCTCTCATCAGGATCCACAACGTCTACATCTGGAGCAAACTACGAGAATTTTGCTGTTGAGGTATGCGGTAGTTTTTGGTTGAACGTTGGAACTCTTGTAGACCAAATGTAATCTCTGTTCAGGTTTTCCAGCAATTTCTTTCCCGCAGTCATCAACCAGTTGGTGTCTTCCCTTTTTTAATGGCTAGCTCAAGATTTTTTTACGAAGTGAGTATTTGCTGGCTGGTAACCAAATTCCGTGTTCTTGGTGGTGTGAATAGCTTGCTCTTGTAGCTTGATAAACAGATAATGTTGCAGCAGTTGATTAGGATGTCTTGCACATGTATTACCAGCAGTGCATGATGTTCCTATTGACTGTCTTAATGCCCATTGCCAACTTGAATTTAACAGGGAATTGTAGCAAGCTATCATTTTCTCTCAAAATCAGGTGGGCTATGTGCAGCAACATTAAGATAAACTTTAGATAACTTTCCCACATTTGAGTAAGTTGAATACAAAGTTCAGCTTATGGACTAACTATTCTAAACTTATGGCTGCCAAAGCTTAAGAAGCCGTTACCTTGGTGAAAGTTAGTATCAAACTTTGTCCTTGTTTCACTTAAGATTTTAATGCTAAATACAAAAAAACTGACTCTAAGATTAACACTTACATGAGACCCACGTATGAAGAGGCAAATTTGAATCCATTTCTTTTATGTATTTCATTTGTTTTTTTGTTGGGAGTGCTCTAGCAAACACATCAGCAAACATGTACCCAGTTTCATAATACATCAATGTAATTGTTCTTTCCTCCTCTTTATCCTTTTTCATATTTTGAGCCATAGGATGATCTAGTGAGGGCATTAGCTGTAGTGTTACCACATGAATATTATTGGAGCTTATTGAGGGATCACGAGCTCGCTTAACACGCTCGTAGACCAAATTTGCTCTTGAATAGCTAGTGAAGAAGGCCTGGTGCAAACTTTTGTTGTAATTAAAGCTGTTGACTTCTGCTGCTTCACCAACTTTTAATGCAAAGCAGCAACATTGGATTTACTTCCTTCTCCAGCAGCAAGAAATTATCTATTAACATTACAATGTAAAGCATTCTATCTTTGATGTACATAGTTATTTTCGTTTGTCTACATCAAAGATATATACTTCGGCTTCTGAGAGTGGGCTGAGCTTATTTATCATCAGGTATATGTCCTGAAGTATATATGGTAATAACGAAGGTTGACTCAATGACCGGACGATTAAAAAACCCCTCAGTAACTTTAGTTTTATGGAGTGGCGGCATAGGAATCGACCTGAAATCCTCTATGTTATAGGTACAGGGACTTATTCTCAGTCATGGACGCTATCTCTTCTATCGATAGCGGCCTCCTCCTGCTGCCTGCTATCTGAACCTTCTTGGATTTGTTGTCCTCAGTAATAGGACAATGTTTGTCTCCTTAAAACCCTGCAGGGGAAACGGATACGAAACAATCACTCTGACTCACGTGGCCATCTCCTGGATGCGCGTACATTCTAAATCTTGTTAACAAATTCTTGAAACTGTGTACCTACGTCGTATACAATTTGATGCTATTATAAAGTTATTGACGACCCGGTACTGATTATTCAGGGAGAGATTGCAGTCGATATGCGGCAGCGTTATGTCGGTCATTGTAACACTGGGACTGATATCAAGCAGGCAAGCTTTCTCGGCGAAAAAGGTAGTTTTCTTTCTCTCTCATGTTCGTTTAGTCTCTGCTTTGCTTGGGTGCAGGTAAATGAGAAGATGTATCGTCCTTTGATACTTTCATGTATGAAGTTCTTGGTTCTAGTGCAATCAATTGGTGCTGTGGACCTCGGTCGGTTGGGTTTCGAGTCCCTGTCAACCCTCGCAGGGTCGAGCGCAGAAACCTATTCAACCCGGTACCACGAATGATGCAGCCGGGATGATGTGACGATCGGGTGATGCCTGTCGAGTACATCTTATTTATGAAACCTGGTTACTCCTCAAATCGGAGACTAGGAATTACACTGCATAAGACACTATGATTTTATACAGAGTGTCTCGGGCACTCTTTCTATATAGTTAAAACAAGAATAAATCTGGTCCTCTGCATCCATGATATGTATTGGTTCTTTCATGGTTATGTGCCTGCTTGTTTGCTGCTTATTTTCCTCACATGCAGCTTATGCTTTTGGCTTTAATTGGGGGATTTTTCCGATAAGACTGGTACTTTTTGCATTTCTGATCTCTTGACATTGTTGCATCAGTCGTGTGATGATGTTTCTTATTTCTGCAAAGTGCTGTTTACGACTTTTGAATTATGAAAGATGTTTGTCTCGACCGTACCGTTTGGTTTACAAAATACCTGAATAAGAATCGTGCCTTTGCCAGGAGAGTTTGTGGCTAGTGGCAGTGATGATGGGCGCTGGTTTATATGGGTGAAAAAGACCGGTAGGCTCGTGAAGATGCTGGTTGGAGATGAGGATGGTATGTTCCACGTATTTGCGAGCCTTCAGTTACTATATCTTAAAATGGTTTTGACCGACACGGTCGTGCAGGTCACATCATGTGTTATTAAGCTACCATAATGAATTCCCAGCCTTGTTCCTACTATTCTTACTCAGTTTATTGTCATGTTCCATGCTACCATTGCACCTAAAAAAGTATCGTTTGTTTTGGTACGTTCTCAATGAGGTTCTAATCACAGAAAATTTTTGCGAGACTCTTCCATGTACATGACCTATCTTTGAGAGTCCTTCTATATAGCGGTCATACTCATCTTGTGTCTGGGCTCGATGAAGTCGTCAATTGTGTGCAGTGTCATCCTTTCGATTGCGCCGTTGCGACAAGCGGGCTCGACAACACTATCAAGGTGTGCCTATGAAGTCACTTGAGAAGGGCAAATGAAGTGGAGAACAAGCATGATTGTTGCATGAAATTTTCCATCTGTTAGAGTAATGAAACAAGTCTTTTTTGTGCAGGGTACAAAATGTCACTCAAAATCAAGTAAATAAATCATATGATAGACTTTTCTTGTTAAGTTTAAGTCCTGTTTAGTTGGCCCATTTGTTGGCTTCAAATCATTGTTTCTCTTACTTTTGTTCTACTGATAGGACACATGAGGCTTCCTTGTGTTCACTGATCTTACAACTAATCAAAATCTTTTTCCGGATGGTTCCTTTAACAAGGCTCTAACTGGTCTAAATTATCGAGTTAGAACAAAACTGTATAAGATTTCTGCTGTCTTTTAAGGCATCCAAGGTGGTATCTGATGGTTGTCTTGATGCGGCGTTAATCAGATGTGGGCACCAACGTCCCCTCGCCGCGCTGGAGGTATGTCAATGGTGGGTGAGGAAGCAGCAGAATTTACAGATCCTAAACACGTGATGGATATCAACCAACGTAATATGCATCGTCAGAATTTGTGAGTTTCGACTTTTTGCTGGCCATACCATGAGGATTCTGTTTGCCTTGGTTGTCGTATGTGTCGGCTGTATTAGTCCTCTCAAGTATATACCCTCCTCTGCACTGTGTCAAAGAGCTGCAAGTTCAATGTCGAAGTAGGTGTTGACTGTCCTGCGATATTCCTGAGTGCGATGGTCCCTCGTAAGTCATTGCTACCGTATACTTCTCCTGGGAATGATATCTATATACTTACATATACTTGTCTTAGTTCCTGAAGTTTGTCTCACGCACATCTTTTGAACAGGCCAATGGAATTTCTTCATCGATTCAGAGTACAGGAAAGTACGGAGGGTGCTTCTCATCCTTTCGAATGCACGCAAAGCTGAAGACAGTGAAAATAAGTGAACAAAAGCTTAGCTCGTGCAGATTTTGTTCTCCTTTCCGACTGTATCTATTCAAATTTTGGAAGTGGAGTGGTTTCATATTAGTATGTGTACTCTCCAGAGTGATCCTTGTGTCCTCTGTAATGAAGGTCAAGGTGGTCTTATGGGACTCACTTGTTTTCCATGACAGCCAAGTGTGCAAAAGATCACAGTTACAATACCAATAATCCACCTGAGAGATTGTAGGAACGTACAGCATGTACATAGACGTAGCTTAACCTTTTCTGGGTTTCTCATTCATCGATCTAAATCAGACCACGTAGAAGAGTAGGCAAAAATAATTCCATTTCGTGGCTGTGCCTGGGCTTCGCCTGTCTCACTAGTCCAAGCCCAACATCGATCGATGGGAGTGAGGGCTTTGTGACATGGAGGCATTTGACGGATTTTTGTGACAAAACTGGCGACATCCCTCATGTTACTGTATAATATCCTAATACATGAAATTGAATCATTTCAGGGCATTTTTCTTCTCAATATTTCTAATGGGAAACTACTGGTTCTTTAGTCCATACGTTGTTGAGTTACTTTTAAGTTGGTCAGCAGGAGATTGAGTTTTCCATCGGTAGTAATCACTTGTCAATATCATCGCCGTTTCTTGAGTAGTCACGCTTTTTGTCTCCATGTGAAACAACATTGACATTATTTGTTAGATATTATTCGCCACTCCTGAGATGTTATCAACTCGAAATTAGTCCTGAGTGTTGGATCCATCCCAATTTTTACTTCCGGGTGTTCGGTTTGAAGTGCTTTAGTAAGTACACCAGCAGGCATCTCGTTAGTCGGATAACATACGGGTGAAATATTTTTTTCCTCTTCTTTACCCTCAACAAGTCTCAACAATTATACGGACTAAACTATTCATCCTTATCTTTAAGATAAGGATGAATAATATTATGATCATAAGTGAAAGCAGTAGCAGGTATTGTGGAGCTTTTTGAGTATATCTAAGCATGATCAACTCCTGGGGAGCAAATCAAAGTTTCAGAAGCAAATGATAAGCGATGAGTTCATATCCGTTGTAAAAATATCTACTGAAATTTTTTTTTTGCCTCCACAGCAACTAACTCCTCATTAAGATTACATAGAGATCCACTTCTTGTGATAATCGTCTCCTCCTAGATTGATTTGTACATCTCCATCAAAATCACTTAACTATTCACTAGATCATTCAAATGTTTTGGATATAACTTTAATTGATTTAGTGATCTAAATTCTAGATTTCAAATCACTAATCAAAGATGTAACAACTGGTGAAGATAGTAATTATTACCATATTTATCAAAAGTTTAATCAAAATTTGAATATTAGATTTTTAAGTTCAGATATTAATACTGAGTGTAAATTGAAAGAGGTGATTCAAAGCCTATGAAGTCCAACGTTGAATGTCACATGAAAACCAACATCCTATAACTTGAGAAAAAGAATTGTGAAATATATTTTGTTCTGAAACCAAGCTTAGCTAGTAAATACATAAACATCACGATGAACTTCATATTGAAATTATAACATTTTATAATTTAATAGAACAACTTTTTTATTTCTCCGATGAACAACACTTGCAATTTTTTACTTATTCAAAGACAAAGTATGATACCATCCAAGCGCCATAAATTGTATAGATAAACTTGTAAAAATACATATTTTACATTTTGCATCATAACACATAAATTTTTCCTTTTCATTTCTTGTAATTTATATAATTTGGAATGAAATAAGATACAATATTATAGATATAAGGTCATAAAAGAAATTGTATTTATTTGAAACAAAAATCAGTTTTGAAGTATTTTTTATTCTTCTAAAACAGAAATACTGTCAAGATGTAAGTATTTCTACGAAGTAAAAAATAATGTATATAATTTTCTATCATTATTGATATAGAATTACATGTGATTATTCCTTTTCTTTTTATAAGATAAAATTAAAAAGGATGAGAGAAATCAAAATATCATATAATTTAAAAGAAAATATCATTTCAGTGTATTTTTATTTATACATAGTTGTGTAATGAGACGTGTCATTGAAGTTGTTCTTGTAAAAATTATCTTCAATTACATTTGATATATATTTATTTTGAACAACCTACGTTATTCACATCGCAAAGATGATAATTAACAAAAAAAATGAAGGGATCGCATTATTCAAATACGGAGAAAAAATTAAATAGTTTAAATGAAGTTGCTTAACCTCGAGTTTGTATGATAATATCACTTTGATTATCATATTTGGTCATTTGATTAAGGGGAGAAATGTAATATCTAGAAAATATTTGGATTTTTGACACATTTGTGTGAGAGTGATGAAATTTAAAATATATTGTTAGCATATTGTGTACCATAATTTAGATAGTATGTATCTATTATCATACGAGGATTTGCAACTCATACGAGATTCGGATGATAATGCAACATGTACTTGTAAGAAATATTTATGGGGTGAATTTCGAGCCTGGCCCTACTAACCCGTTGGGTTTGTATACTTGGAATGACTTCAGTGTGTTCCATTTCTGAAAATGAGAGGCCAAACTGAACTGATTCAAGAAATACCGAATTTCGATTTTTAGTGTTTCCAGTACTGAACGAAGAATGCGACCACGTCTTCGCCCGGCCACGCCACTGAAGCTGACGCTGGACAGTCTTCGTTGCCTCGAGCAATCAGCGCCTGCAAGGTTCTGAACTCCGACATGCTGATTGGCATGGGTGTCTGTTTATTTGAAAGTTTGAGCGAAGGTGTGTGCAAATGATCTGACTGTGAGTCTGGAGGTGCGATTTTTCGCACGATTTCGTGCGAATTAAGAAACCGAACTCTGTCAATTTTGGCCAATCGCTAAGGAATTCAAAATCGAGCTGTGACGGTCGGGTGTGTCCACTTGCGAAGGGCTGGAGGTGAGAATTAGGGAAGTGTAAGCATGACCTTTTGTGAAGTCTCAATCATATCCAATTTTGTTGTACATTGTTGACGTCGACGTCATCGTCAATCGTCATCATACTACGAACATCTCCTGATATCTCATCATCAAACAGGAAATTGATTTGGTGAAACTTTAAGCTCTCTCTCCACCCTCGCGGGCCTGTGATTATGCATAGACCTGGAATATCTGAGGAAGGGATAATTTTCTGCGTTGATATCTTGTTTGTAACAAGTAGCAGCTTTTCCCCCTATTATCTTTCTTCGGGAGTGAGTGTAGCTGCCATATGGAGATGATCGTCTTGCTTGTATCTTTCATTTTTTGATATTTGACCGGATGTCGTGTGCTTCAGAGTTTACTGACATGAATCGCGGATGTTCCTTGTGTAGGAATTGGACCGTGTGTCATATTATTCTCTATTATCGCTTGCAAAGTTGGTGACCCCGTTTCAAACAACCAGTTCTGCGAAGCACTGACAAGACGGCGCGATGGGGAAGAAACAACATAGCAAGGATCGGATGTTCATCACCAAGACTGAATGGGCAACAGAATGGGGTGGAGCAAAATCTCGTGATTTGCGCACTCCCTTCAAGCGGCTGCCGTTTTATTGCTGCGCGTAAGCCCTCGATTCACCTAGCCGAACTTTCAAATCAGATGAGATCTAGATACCTCGTACGTGTGAGTAGAAAATCGGATGGTATAGTTTATTTTGTTACATCACTTAAACAAAGGGTTCTGGTTGTTGCGAAAAGGCTGTGGGGACTTGCTGATCCTGGTATCTCCATCTTGGCAGGTTGACATTCGTTCCTTTTGAGGATCCAGTGTGTACAGTGGACGGTCATGTCTTTGACATACTGTAAGTGGTGTCATATCATGTAGTGTTTTATATTTTGACAGGGGTTACTTTGCGGATGGGCTTACCTTCTACAGATTTCACATTAATCAGGAAAAATTGCTTCAATCAATAACTTGAGTATTTACTCCAGAAGATGCAGTTTACTGGTTTCACAAACATAGTGAGGCTTTTGTCTATCCCCACTAAGAAGGATATTACGCTAATCTCATCTGTGGATGTCTGGCTTTGTGCAGCTACATCGTGCCCTACATTATAAAGTATGGAAAGAATCCAGTGACAGGATTGCCGCTTGCACTGAAGGATTTGATTAAGTTACAGTTCCATAAGAATTCCGATGGTGTGTGCAAAACACTGTTTTACTTTAAATCGTCACATCTTTTCAGTTGCTAAAGTTTTCGTACAGTCTATACTTATTGTCAGCTGGAAGGAGTTGATTGGGGTCGAATTTCTAATGTGCTGACATCAATTTTATGCCTGCAGGAGAGTATCAGTGCCCAGTTTTGAATAAAGTTTTCACTGAGTTCACTCATATAGTGGCTATCAGAACAACAGGAAATGTATTTTCGTACGAGGTATGTAACTGACGCTCTATGCTGTCGCTTTTATATCCTTCACCTTCCCCTTTAATCTTATCGCCTTCGTCAATGCTCATAAGTCCTCTGATGCAGGCAGTCAAAGAACTCAATTTGAAGACTAAGAACTGGAAGGAGCTTCTTACAGACGAACCGTTCACCAAAGACGACATTATAACTATCCAGGTCCAGCTTTGACCATTTGTGTTCCTTGGTGCGCATATTCATTTGGTTTGAGCAGGCAAGGCCTGTTTCGTCCTTATGCCTTTCATTCTGTCTGGTAGCAAACGTGCCCTGGAAAGTTTCTTCATATTTCTATTAGTCACAGTGTCTCTTCTTGTTGCCAGATCACATCGTACTCTTGATGGTGCTCACTTGATAACGATTTTTCTCTTAATATGGCCATTTCTTCTTCCTGCTAGGTCGAATTATTGTTGGGAATCCTACTCAACTGTCAGATAGGGTGGTTTTGTTTCAGTCTTTAATATGAAAATAAAGTAAATCATCCTCCTCCTTTGAGTGGTGTTTCTCGCGACTAATCTTGAAATCTTGAATCTTGATTGCGACGATGTTAAAATGCGTCCTCGGTGCCGCTCAAGCATATTGACGATCATTTAATCAATATGCAGGACCCTAACAAGCTGGATGCTAAAGTCCTCTCAGAATTTGATCACGTAAAGCATGATACTAAGCTTGACGACGAAGGTGAGATACTGGAACCAAACTTATATATGACGCTGTAAAGCTTAAGAACTTGGGATGCTAGTTAGTTCCGCTGAAAATATCGCCAACTGTGCTTTGAGACGTTTCTCTGCCAATAGAATTTCAAGATAGTATGGTAGATTGTCATGACAGACTGGAAAGAATCTTCATATTGAAAAGATTCCTGATTACGATGACATTGTGCAGATGCGAAGAAACTTGCTGAGGATCCTACTTTCAACATCAATATGTCAGAAGATACTAAAAGGATGATGCGGGAACTTGGAACTCAAAATGGAAGAGATGCCGCATTGATGGGAGGAGGAGGCAGCAAGGCACAAAAGGAACGTGCAGCTGCATTTGCAACACTCGAGGCTGCTAGACAGCGAATTATTGACCAAGATGGCCCACAGAAAGAGGCACCTGCTCTCAGCATCGTTGATGCTGCCTCAGCTTCTGTGCATGGAAGAAGTGCGGAAGCTGCGAAGGCGGGATCTGCAGAGAAAACTGCGGCTCGAGTTGCGGCTCACGCTCTTGGCGAGATTGTGCCCTTGAATACAAAGCTGGTTAGTCTTCCACTCGTTTTTTCATTTTAGACTTCCCGTTTGTAGAGTATTTTCCGCTAATCCCAGATCAAGAGCTACTGTTTAAAAAATATCGATTTGAGATTGTTGCCTTCATAAGCTCATTGTGTATACGCATACATGTATGCCAGGTGAAAAGCCGCTACACATCAGGTGCAGCATCACGCGGATTGACTTCAACGACATATACACCCGTGACCACAAACGATTTTGAGTATGTTAAAGCTGAAAAAAACCCGAAGAAAAAAGGATACGTTCGGCTGCATAGCACCCATGGAGATCTGAATCTTGAGCTACATTGCGACATTTGCCCTCGCACCTGTGAAAACTTCCTTACTCATTGTGAGAACGGTTATTACGACAGCCAAATATTTCACCGGAATATCAGGTGCGATCTTATCTATTCTTCTCAAGCTTCTCCTTGGTACATCATGCCATGCGCTAACAAATTTTTCCTACTTCATGGCTGAGAGTGGAGGTCGTACAACACCTCCACGCTCAAAACCTGCAAACACGTTCTGTCAAATTTTGAACTTCTTCATTCTTTTCCTTGTGCTTTAGGAACTTCATGATTCAAGGAGGTGACCCAACTGGCACAGGTCGTGGTGGGGAGTCAATATGGGGAAAACCGTTCAAAGATGAAGTAAACTCGAAGCTTCTCCACTCAGAGAGAGGTATATTGAGTATGGCCAATAGTGGTCCTCACAGCAATGGCTCTCAGTTTTTCATCCTATACAAATCTGCTCCACATCTCAACTACAAACACACTGTTTTCGGTCGAGTAGTGGGAGGCCTGGAAACTCTTTCTAAAACAGAGAAGGTTCCAGTTGACGACGATGACAAACCTCTGGTATTTCCTTCCCTCGAAGGCCATCTCTGTTCAAGATATGGTGCTACTGATGGTCGACTTAGATGTCTAGTCTCTTTTCTCAATAAACGTGTGTACCGCATTTCCGTTTTACATGGTTGATATTCTGGAAACTCCACTTGAGGCTACTAATGCAGGAACTGAAAATAAATGAGTGAATATGTTGCCTTTGCAGGAGGATATCAAGATATTGAAGATTTCTGTTTTTGTGAATCCCTACACCGAACCGGATGAGGAGGAAGTGAAGCTGAAAGAATCCAGTGAGACAGCAGAAAATGAGGCTGAAAATGTGAGTGCGCGTTATACACCAAAACCCGCTTGCAAAAATGCATAATTCTTGAAAGTGATGTCGGTTTTTTCGTTATTCGGGTGAAACGATCTCTGAGTTTAATTGAGAAGTGAGGTAAGTTTTGAAGTCAACTGTAGCAATCGATTCTTAAGACCTCCAACTCAATTCTTTCAGCAGAAGTATATACATTGGTTGATGCGCAATCTCATGTTTCATCGTTCTTCATGACAGGAGAAAATGGGATCTTGGTTTAGTAATCCAAGCATGAGACCAGCTATCGAAGGTGGTCGTACAGGTGTAGGCAAATATCTTAGCAGTTTTCGAAAAGTAGATACTGCTAATGTAAATTTGGAAAGTATAGAAGTTTCTGAACATAAGAGACAAAAGGTTGTACCAAGATCGGGAACTGAGCTGAAGAATTTCTCCTCTTGGTGAAAGTCCTTCCGCAGCATGTTGTCATTATATTTGTACGTACATCATGTAGGGTAGCAGGAAGGTGCAGTGGTAGGAAGAGTTAGGTAGGAAGAGCTGAAAGTGTTTTGTTGTTGGAGAGGTTTGACGGAAAGTGGAAATTATTTGCCATTCAAAGTTTCCATTCAGCCAACATGTACGATATGATTCTTTTATATATTTCATCACCTTCCTTTAATAGTTAGGTTTTCTTGCTGAACATTGCCAATTCAAACATGAACCACCGTTGTGAAGCATGATCCCCTTTAGGTTTAGGAGGACTATAGTGGTACTAAACGGGAAGATTGTGAAGTGAACTCTTGAAGGTCGCAGCCAAAGAATGAGTCCGTAGTTTTGTGTATGTACATATGTTGTTCTTGTAGGAAGACATCCGCATAGTCATCGGAATAGGAAACATAATAGGAGGGACTAAAGTTTGATGATGACAGGAGGATGTCGCAAGGTCTAGACTGCTGCCTTGACTTTAGAAAGCTCCTAGTTACATTCATCGACACTTACACCGCAACATCGACTGAATAATGCAAATGGGATAAATGAAAATTTACGACTGCCGCGCACGAGAATTACATACCTTGAAAGTACTCTTGCGGGATAGGGTCGCTAAGCACTCAGATTACCTTCTGAAGTCTTCAGGGTGATTCGTCGCTAGCTGCAAGCCCTAAGTCGTTATTTCAGTAGATCCACTTATTCACTTGCAGCTAACATGACTTCAAGCTCTAACTTTTGTCAAAATCGTTTTATTCTGCAAGCATTGAGAAATGTTTCTTGCCGAACTGGTGCTTTCTGGTTGAAAGTGAGATATATATTTCTTGGATCATGTAGTGTCTTTCCATTGCGGGCAAGGATTATGTTAGAATATTGTTATACTCCTTATTACTTCCTGTCTCTTCTCTAGTGTACTTATAGTTAGGATTGTGTTGTGATGTGGACTGCAGCTATGATGTAACGGCCACCTTAACCCTAACCCAATACGGAGGTGTGTATCACTGCGTCTGTTCATTTCCTTTGTCACCTCGGATTCGGTATTTAACCCCAGCTCGGGGATATGTGTTTTATCAACTCTTATGTGGATCCTTCCTAAGAACTTAGGAACTTGTGTCGATCCATTCTTGCATTGCTCTTTAAGATCTTTTTTAATATGGTATCAGAGTTGGTTCTTTTCTTATTCCAGATGTTTGAATCAAGTAAAAACAAGAAATATTTTTTTTGTTTTGAATCATTCTCTGTGTTAACTGTTAGAGCAATTCAAGATTCTTCAAACCGGATGACTTCTTTTGTCATATTTCGAGAGGGCACGGGTACAGTTCTTCGAGACGGTCGTCACATCCGCCTCTTCTGATGCGAATCAGAAGAGGCACGGAGCGCAGCGTTGCAGGAAGAGCTTGAGTCGTAGAATATCGGAGCGTTGCAGGAAGAGCTTGAGTCGTCGAATATCGGAGCGGAGCACAGCCTTGCAGGAAGAGCTTGAGTCGTCGACGGGGTTTCGGGGAATTTCCTTGAAATTGCTTTGACAGTTAACAAATAGAATAATTCGAAGCAAAAGATGTACTTTGTGCTTTAAAACAAAAATTGTACTTTTTGAATTTAATTGATTCAAACTCCCTTGAATAAGAAGAGAATCAACTCTGATACCACAATCCTCGAGGCTTCTTCTTCTCCAACCGTTTATCATATATTGGACACGTTTCCTTACTCTTTCCCCCTTCGAAAGATAGGATCGATGGTGCGGGAAGAGTATGAAGCTGCCCCCTATCTGTAGCCGGGGCCTCACATTTAATGTCTTGAAGTCTGAGGTCAGCCAGTAAGTGCTCGAGGTTGCAAACCGCATCAACGAGAGGAGGATGACTCACGGAGGAAGTGGAAGGTGCCTGTGGAACTCCCACTCCAGGTGATGGTGTAACCGGACTGAATTCTCCCACTGCTGATAATATCTGCGGATGGAGAAACCTGCGAACTGGATCAGTGGATGAAACTAATGTTAATGGGCGAAAGGGAGTAAAACCTTCTTGCTTAGCAGGCGGAACAACTGATGTCTGCTGATGGTGAACCGCAAGAGGCATGAATCTGACAGATCTGCTGTCAATAATCTTATGAGTGTTTTTTCACTGTAACCGATATCCTTAGGCTGTAGGAGAATAACCAAGGACAACGCATTGTACACTCTTGGGGTCAATCTTACCCCGATGGCCTTTTTTAAAATGGGCAAAGGCAGTACATCCAAAAACTTGTAAGTGGATCATCGGAAACCCACCACTAGATCTGAGGAAAAGAAAAATCTGAGATCTCGATTTGCATATTTAATAACACATAATTATGGGGTCAAACACATATTTATCCGAAGTTCGACTTTAAATTCTAACTTGATTCTTACTGCGAAAAACTGTGAGGGTTGTCAATAGAAAGGGGTAATAATTTACAAGAGAAGTTAATTTTGCGGCTTGTCAGACTCCAAGTTCCCTGAATCTGGAATTAGGACATGGTGGGAACGACTTCCGCTGGGAAAAAAGACGAGCGGAACTTCAGATGTCAGAGAATGTCATCAGCTCGACAAAAGTAGCAGTAACATCGTTTCAAATGAAACCTTCCAAAAGCCTGAAATTTCTCACCCTCGAAAGTCCTCGCTTGTTGTTGTTGTTGGTCATTTACTCGACTCCACTGCACTGAACAGGAATGGATTGGACTGTGGTCGCCATTACCACGTCGAGATCTGTTCGTAGCACACTTTACACTACATCTAATACTTGATGAGCTGATATATTATATATATTACGTAAGATAGTCTATTAGCGAAAATCAAAATCTAATAAGGATTCTGGTAGCAGAAAAATAAACTAATAAACTCTTCAAGGACCTCGGAGGAAATTGTGAGTGGATTTTGCCACTGTAATGTCTTCTGAACCCTTTGTATCGGCATCCTGAATGTCGGTTGACAAGGTAGGGCTCTTTGTCCCGTGGCGTGTCTGAACTCTGGACCGGAGCCTAATGTGCAAGCTTCGCCAAGTCGTTTAGTGACAACTAAATGTCGAGTTTGAAACTCGCGATAAATCTTTCTCGAACCCTAAATAGCATGGAAATGGAAATAGTCGGGGTTTATGGGACCTCTCGCTGTGTTACGCCAGGTGCACAGAGCAGGGTTTAGTTGGATTCTGAAGCAGGGCGGAGAGGACGAGTCAGTCCCGGGAATGAGCAATTTTTTGGGCGTCGCGTCGTGTTGGAAAATCCTGAGTTGTTCGTGTTTCGAACGCGCTGGCGATTGTGGCTTGCAGGAGGTGTAACGAGGAGTAGAGGAGAGAGGCGGTGGGAATTTGGGAGCGACGCGGTTAAAAGATGAACAATTATGGACCGAAATTGAGTAATAACGAGAAGGAGTTTATTCTTGCCGCGCTGCGTGCCGAGCAGCGAATAGATGGTCGTCGTCCTTTCGATTCTCGTCGTTTGAGCATCACTTTTTCAAAGTGAGAACTCTTCTCGGTCCTTCTTTCCAAGTTTCTTTCGCAATGTTTCTCACCCGAGGTCAAGTTAGTATACTTCGAAAACAGGCGTATGCCAGGAAAACTTCAACAGCAATGTGTTTAGGCGGAGTTTCTTTCGTGTGAAATTCAATGAGGGCAAATCGGGCGCAGATGAAGTCAATTTTGCGCATGGACGAATTCGATTGTTTCTGAACAAGTGATGGTCGGCCACTTCTTTCACGTTGTTTGTACTTTTTTTGGTCAAGAAAGCTTCAACGTAAACTGATTCTTGAAAATTGGACTGCAGACAGGATGGCGCCGTCGAAGTTCAGCAGGGCCAAACAAGAGTCATGGCTGTAGTTACAGGAACATTAGGTCCACCCTTTCCAGACCGCCCGACTGAGGGTTCGCTTGTCATATTTACGGAATTCTCGCCTATGGCAGACCCATCGTTTGAACTAGGTCGCCCTGGAGAACTTTCGGTAGAATTAGGACGAATCATCGACCGTGGGCTGAGGTACTATCCACTTCTCGCCAGTTTCGTGCTTGCTATGCCAGTAGTTTCTTAATTGGGAAGCAGATCTTTAGCAGGTGGGTTTTGCTTCTGTGAACAATTCTTACACCCTGGACATATTTCTGAGCAGAGAGAGTAGGGCGGTGGATACCGAGTCTTTGTGTGTTTTGGCCGGTCGAGCAGCATGGCAAATTCGACTGGATATCCATATTTTGGACAATGGAGGGTAAGTCGGAAATGCACTCCTTTTTGTTCTACGGAAGACAATATGGAGCTTAGATTCACACTCTTCTTGGTTCGTGGAAGTTCGAGCAAGTCAGTATGCGAGCGTGTTTGATTGCTCCGAGTTTCTGAATTGATTCTAGTTTGAGTCAAGGACAGTAATAACACAGCTTCTCTATAAATGCAGAAATCTGGTGGATGTAGCAAACATTGCAGCACTGGCAGCTCTTTCTTCTTATCGTAGGCCCGATTGTAGCATTGGAGGACACGACGGACAAGAAGTTATTGTACATCCTCCAGAGGTCAGCGCAGCTCCGCTCTTGCTTTCTACTCTTCGCTTTCAGTTCTGCTGCACTGCCATGTACTTTGTATTGTCCAGATTTTTAAAATTATTTCCATGTTCGTAATGATTTTAGAGCCTTCTACCTTATAGACGGTGTCACCAAATGTATTAGATCTCTAAATTCAAGTTAGCAGTCACGGTCTTGAGATCAATCACTACTCCAGCCTCATCATCGTGGAGGTTTATTAACAGGACTTGGTGAGTTGGACGGTGACGATGGCAGGTCCGAGAGCCCGTTTCTCTTATCCTTCACCATTTACCGATCGCAGTCACGTTTGCCTTCTTCGCCGACGGGGAACTTGAGGTGCTTTTTGACGCTGCCTTATTTCCAATATTTCAAAGCTTCTCGTATGTTTTGGGTTCATGATCTACTTCACGAGTCGCGTAGGGAACATCATGTTGAAATATCTTCATTGTTGGATCATCTATGTGAATACATTCATGATGAAGTACACCATGAAATTCCAATAGGACTTCCACATCATCTGCGGAAGTCGTCTCCTTTGCAAATTGTTTCGATTCATCTTTTTAAAGTTAGATAAAGTGAGTAGGATACGTGCGGCAATCAGAAGTTAGTCTCTCCTGCTTTGTCTACACGTGGGAGACCAACATTGCGAGCATGCTTTTCACAGGCACTTGACCCAAGCGTGAAGGAAGAGGCTGTAATGGGAGGCAGATTGACTGTGACGGTGAACTCACAGGGTGATGTCTGCGCCATACAAAAGGGTGGTGGGGTTGGTGTTCGTAGCTCTGAAATAATCCGCTGTATTCGAATCGCCTTGTCAAAAGCAGTTGAAGTGACCAACCAACTGAAAAAAGCGGTACCGGACTCACACCAGTACCCCTATCTTGGAGAATTTTTCCCAATTTCTGAGGTTCCCTTAGTATTAATGCTTGGGTTATTTTTCAGTGGTTGTTATTGGGTATGTTTTTTCGTAGTGTAACTCTCTTCACTGTGTTGATATGATAAAGGCGATGATAGGTTCTTCGTACTGTCAATCTATGTTACAGGTCGATGCGAATGCATTGGAACGAGCTAGAAGGAAGGTAAAGCGACACCCTGATCATAAGAATGCCGATTTTAGCAAAAACAGAACGGACGTCGTTTCTCGGGATGTAGAAATGAACGAAGTCGGTGTAGCTTCTGCGAACCAAGATGAGAGAAGAGAGGCAGTGATGGAAATCTTGAGAACAGAAGACATGGACGAGTCTACTAGTAGTGAAGAGGAGGACGATGATATCCCAGACAATTTAGGTGGCAAGAAGCAAGAGGCGGAGATCGAAGCTAAAACACAAGTCGTAGCCGGCAAGGTCAGGGGCGTGAAATCGGAGGGTATTGGAAAGGACGCACCTTTCCAGGGTGGTCCTTCTTTGTGGTAAGTTCAGTACTCGTACAAAAGTGTGCTCAGTAATGCCTATATACAGCATCCTTGGACTGGACCCTTATATAAGTGTTTCTAGAACAACAGATATGAATTTGGCATAACGAAGCTGAGAGGATCAAAATTTGTGCGAGGCTCAATTTTGCTTCTTCTTTGTCTGCAGGGACGATGGTGTTGTCAATGGCTCGGGAACAGGTCACAAACATCTTGGTTTGTTCTGAAGCCCTCTAACTTCTTCTAAGTTGATGATGATATTCTTGTCGTTTACAATGGTAAAGCTTGATTTCAAATTCACCGCAACAAAATCAAGTTCTTATGTGTGGACAACGATTTGTATGTCAGATGCGGATGCAATGAACGAGTTTGACCAAGTTTCGGAGGCAATACAAAAGACAACCATGAAAAAAGAGGCCTCTCCCGATGGCGGTCCTAGCTCATTAGCCAATATGGCCGCCGCTAGCGTTTACGCGCAGATGTCCACAGTTCAACCTGTGAAAGATGAACGTCCCCTAGGGCCTGTATTTGCACAAGGTGACCTTAAACCGGTTCCCACCAGCTTACTGGACGCAGTAAAGAAGCAGAAGAAGAGGAAAAAATAGCTAATGTGATGGTGAGATTAGGCAATGGTTTTATTCCTTGATGAGAAATTGTAAGCGCAAGCATTTTTTTGTACACGTAACAGCATTTGTGTCTTGGTACCGACTGCTTATAGAGTGAATGGTCTTACTGTGAACCGCACATCGGCGCTTGAGCATCTAGACGTTCATTAAAAAGTCCTTGATCTGTGTGTGCTGTATTCTTCCTGTATGATCTCCCAACTTGCCAACATGCTGGAATTGGTATATAATCTACCAACTTGCTCTAATTCGTGGCAGATCAGGAGTGTGGATTGTTTATTCTTGACCTCATGAGCTCTGTTACTTTTTGTGCTTTTATCAATTCAAGAATTTCTATTCCGTTGATTGAAATAGACGTTTCATCCAGTAGCCCGTGATGTTCTGGTGCAAGCACCCAGTACGTGGTTCAGCGAGGAGAGAGAAGATTGTCAGCCGCAGTCATCAGACCTACCACACTGGGTATTTACCCTGTTCAAAGTTCCTTCGTTACTGGCTCCAATTGCTTGTGAGTCCTGAATTTCCCCACCCACGACACGAGATTGATCCGAACGATTTCATCCATGTGGATGAAATCGTTCCTTGCGTTTGAGTTCATGATTGCGTTCTATCTTTAATGTTCTCTTGGAGACTGAAAGCTGAAATCATGTTCGGCTTATCCTTCCTTATGTTCTCTCTCATAATTCTTAAGCAGCTAAAACCATGCACATTAAGAGAAAGCCGTCTCTTTTGACTTACGAAATTCCTTCCGAAATTCCCATCCATATTGGAAGATGCGAGGATCATTGTGCTCAAATTGTATCGTACAGTAGCTAAAGGTTCTTAAGCTCACCAAACACATTAGGCAGTGGCAAAGACTCCACTTTCTCCCTGAGAAATTCTCAACGCCAGCCAAATGAGAGTGATAGCATAGTGAAACTGAACGAAGTAACCGGACTAACCTCAAATTGACATACGACACTAGCGTATGTGTCACAGTAATGGCAGAAAAATATCGTTCTTGTTACACACACTAATCGACATAGGCTGAGACCTCACGCCGGAGTGCTTCGATTGCGCGACAGGACTAACACAATAGTCCTTGATTTTCACATTGTTCTTCTCCTCACTCGTTGTCGGTGTTGAGTGACCACAGCCTGCGTATTGTCAGTAGAGAGGTACCAGTAGGGAATATTTGTACGGTGGCTGAGGTTGGGGATATGAGGTATTCATTTTCTGCAGTTGCTTGGGAGTAACCAACCCAGAAATCAAAATAAAAATTATGCTTTTGAGAAATCCAATGAAGATCTTCAGATAACACTGACAAAATTATCTTTTGGTTTTATATGTATGTACATACGTAATCATTTTTCAGGTGTGATTTACATGTGACGCGTAAGGATGAAAATTTCACCTATTGAGAATGAGTAATTTACAATTGAGTATATGATTTGGCTGTTTTCTAAGATAATCTACCTGTCTCCGGCTGGATTTTTTTCATCAGCCTTGCTTTTTAACGATGATGTAGGTATATTTTTGATACAATCTCAAAGTTAGAAAGTATCCACTTTCATTTACTGGAAGTGAAGAAATCAATTCCAAATTTTTGAATTATAAGATTGGTTGGAAAGCAGATATCATTGTTTGTTCATTGTATCAAATCATAGATGTGAATATTTATAGTTGTTGAAAAAACGTACAGAATTGGAAGGCTACATTTTTTTTAGAGAGAAGTAAACTTTTGATAATTCCAAGCTGGTTAACAATCCAATTTAGGTTAATTGGCATTAAAACATAAAATAAACAACAGATCTGTGGTTTTTTGTGATTCAAAAATTTAGAATAAATCACTCTTTGTTGTTATATGAAGTATATATTTCTTGGATCTCATCTTTGAAAATACATGTAATTACAAATGTCAATTTTTAAATACATGTCACTAAAATTGTCAATTTTGATTAAAAGTACGTTTTACTTTTGTGTAACTTATTCTACTGGACATATCATTATTATCGTAAAAAGTATATCAAATGCTATTGCATATAGATAAATCAATTTTAAAAAATATCATGATTCTTGAATTCAACTTTAAAAAATAGTATTTTCATTTGTAAAGAATGTAAGGTGGATAATTCAGGTTACATATATTCTCTATGACGTAATGTTAGCTGTTGATATTAAAATCTAAAATACGGTTATCAATTTTTCTTTAAGTTGGACAGGTTGAAATAATATAATCCTTATTCTTGATATTTCATTATTTGAAAAATCAAGTTATAGTGAAAAGGGTTTTACATCATATGAATTTGAAATTTAATGATATTTAATTGAATTTCAATAGTAAAATTATTTCGGAATTTTCAACCCTATTTTAAAAAATTAACATTAAATGATGTTCATAGCACAAAAGCATGTAAAGAATGCACATTTTGAAAAAAAAAATATTTATATCTATAGAACAAAAAACAAAATTATGATTTCAAATTTGCATTTTGCAACTTAGGTGTTCTAGAATTTCATGTTAGCTTAACTTTAGTCAAGTCTATGCAACTATCACTATTTGGTATATTGAGGTTTTTTTCAATGAAGACTTATATTCCTCTATAGTGGCAAACTACAAATGTTCACTTTCATGTGAACATTTGTTACTTTCTAGTCTCATAATTTGAATGTTGTAAGTTCAAAAGTTGTGCACAATATTTTTTTGAAACTTGTGTTTATTACTAAATAGTACTAAGTAGCAAGTGATACATTTTAATATATTTTTGACTTCTTTTTTTAATCAAATAGTTCTCTTGCAAGATACCAAAAGAAAAACGTGATTATTTATTTTAAAATTTCATGTGTAAAAATTATACAAATTAAAATTTTCAAAAATAAAATTTAAAATTTAATTATGAATAAAATAAATAATAAATAATAAATAATTTTCTATACATTTGATTAAATTTAATTTTTCATTCAAGATAGACATGAATATAAAAAATAAAGAACTTATAAAAATGAATAACTATGAAACATCAAAGGAAAAGGAATAAGGCACAAATATTTTAAAAAAGCAGAAAAAATATTGATGATTCTTTTTAATAATAATATTTTATAAAGAAAAAAAGCTGTATATATATCAAATATAATTTCATATTCTTGATAGTTCATGTGAGGGATGAAAAAAACTCAACTTTTACTAGAAATAATTTTGCCTCATTAAAAAAACCCTATTTCAACAATGATTTTACCAATTGTATTAACTTATTAGTACATAATCAGTACAGAAAAGTGCAGTGAGTGTAGTAACAAAAAGCTCATGCTTCTAGGAAGTCATTATCATTATCGGATCTATTTGTGCTATCAAAATCAGACTTGATTGTGTTTAACTCAAGTCTTGAGTTAAGTTAGAATCAATCTAATTTGACTTAGAACTAGAGTTAGTAATCATTGTTAGTGTTAATCCTAGGATTTCAGTTGCAGATATATATGATGGGACAAGACTCAAATCGTCTCCAATATTTTATTAAGTCTTTGAGTAAAATATTTCTTGTTTTCGTGAACGCAATCTGAGCTCATATGAACCATGAATTTCAGTGTGACGGTTTTTTGAATATTGGAGCGATTTGTTAATTTTGTTAAATTTTTGAGTTTGATCAGAGACGGAAAATAAATCAATTTGAATTTTCTTTGCTTTCTTGAGCTGGATACGAGGCGGAGAAGAAATCAATTCAATCCATAAGGTGTAGCAACATTAGGTGATGCAATCCAGAAACATGTAAAGGCGGTGTAGTTCCGTTCGTTCGTGTGTGGAGAATGAATTGATCTTGGTAACGCGTAAAATTTTGGGATCGTTGGAAATGATCAGCAGTTGGTGTGGGTTGTCCAATTGCATGTGATTGGGCTACAACAAGAATACTTTAATGTCTGTGAACAAAGACGAATTCTATTCTATTATTATGATTTATCGGACAATATCAAATCATTGTTAATACACGTTGATTATAAATAGAATTTGGATTAGAATAGATCTACAAATGAATACATATTCACATTTAGTGATGAAAACATTAGTTGGAAATCTTATTTGCGTTATTTAGTCTATAAAGAAACTGAGTATGTAGCGAAAATGTAGAACATAAAAGAAAATTATTAAACTAGATAAATTTATCATTAAGATTACATTGAAATGATATGCTATAAATCTTTATTGTGATAATCAAAATATTTTATATATTATGATGATAATTAGTCTAATTGATTTCAGGTATTATATTATAATATATATAATTTTTGATTAACAAATTGAATCAATCAAAACAAAAATTAAACTTTATCTAATTGACAAATTTGTCAAAATTATTTTTTAATAATTCCAAACTACATAATAAAAATTTATATTCATGTAAAATTTGATAATTTTTATGTTATTATTTTGTTCTCTTTTTACCACTACTCAATTTTAGTTTAAAGATTAGACTTGTGAAAGATTATTTCCAGAACTTCACCTATAATTAATTTTATAGCTTTTTCATATATATTCCAAAAGTGCATTGTTCATATGCCAAAAACCCAAATGAGCTATGTGAAACTTTTTTATGATTGAAATCATAATTGTAGCAATTCTGGAGACGATGACGTGAGTTAAGCGCGCCTAGAACGCGGGTGCAATTCAGGAAATGAGGGGAAATTCAGGGGAGGTAAGGAAATGATAAAAACAGTTTCACCCAGTAGAGTTAGATTTTTCTAACTCTACTCGGTCAAATCTGACTGCAAGATTAGCATAAGTCCAAAAATTTCTCTTATCTCGTCTCTTCGTATGACCAGCAGACATATCCGTGATCAACCAGTCGAGATTCGAAATGTAGCTTCTTAGCGCTCGTGCCATGAAAAAAACCAAGACAGATGTCAGAAACTCAGGCCAACATGTGAAGAGATTTAAGCCGCGTCCGTCAATATGCAAAATTTTTTCGCAAAAACTGAAGGCACGAGGTCGCGCTCTGAAAATGTTGCAATTTTCTGGAGTTGAAGATCTTCTGCAGTGAACTTGAGTCTCGAGCATAAACACCGCCCATAGCTATTGCTGAAATCTATCTGGAACATTCCTAGGAACGCAATTGAATCGTTTTTGAGTTTGTGTGTGTGAGTGAAATTGCCGAGATTCTAAAGTCTTCTGAGCAGCGGGGGATTCGCACTCTTCCACAAAGAGCTGCATTGCATTGGGATGTTCCGTTAGCGGTCTGCGGTAGACAGGTGTCGTGCGAGAGACACACGAAGTGCATTCGCAGATGCAGTTTGCGAATGATCGAAGGAAGGAAGGGTCAGGGAAGTTGTCAGTACGGTGGACGATCCAGAAATCACAGAAGCAGCAGCAATCGATCATCCCGATGTCATGTCGAGAAGCAGCATGAGAGGAGGGAGGAGTACAGAGTGACGGAAACATGATGAAGTGCGAATCCCCGTTTCGACGATTCATCTCCATGGAATCGCCTCCTCTCAGTGCGGTAGGACGTGAGGCCCAGCTCTCGGCCACGCGCTCGCCCCTGCGCAGATCGACATCGGCGATGACGTCGTTGGAGCCGCCGTCACCACCTCCACCTCGCGCTTCTCTTGCAATACCAGTATCACCATCCTGCTGCTCACCATCAGCCGCGGCGATCGAGGCTCAAGCCCTCGGCCTACGATCGCCCCCGAGAAGACCGATAGCGCATTTCGCTCGGGTGGGCCACGATGCCCTTCATCTCCAACACCATGGCCCGACTTTGGACGTCGTGAATCTGGAGCCACGGCGATCGACGACAGTCTCGCCCTGCAGGAAATTACCCCAAATCGAAGAGCCGCTTTTGACTGCGGTGGGTCACGAGGCCCAACTCGTGAGCCCATCGCGCTCTCCACGACGGAGGATCAACACGGCGAGCCTCAGAGATCATCTATTGAAAGACAAGTGCCTCCGAAGACTGCAGCAGCAGCAGCCGCACTCGGAAATCCAGAGTCAGAATTCTGGACCGATCGTCGGTGCAATCTGTGACGGGGTTTTTGGAGCCCTCCCTTCAAATCCCTGGGTCCTTCACTTTTCCAGGGAAGGAGTCAAGGGTTCAGCCTTCGATGAGCAAGTTCGGGGTCAATTGCGGACGAGCACCCGATCTTATAAACTCGGACATCGGCTGGAGTCGGTGGATGTGGGAACGTTTGCAAAACTGTCCAGTGCTAGCGTTCACGACCTAATTAAATTGATCACCAACAAGCTACAGAACGTGAAGGTGCACAAGAAATCCTGCGAGGACCTCTTCTACTACTTACAAATGCTAGGTGAGCATAGAAATCCATACCTCGCGCGTGCTCTTCCTCGTGCATGATGCCCCAGCATCGTTTATTGTCATGCCGTCGATGTTGCAACTGTCATTGCATGATCTGTTTCCTAGTTTGACAATCCTAATTCATGTCACAAATTGTTCCAATTCTTAATATTCACGATCAGCAACCCTCTCTTTGGTCCTGACAGATGACTCACTGCTCTCGCTTTTCAAGACGCCGGACGTGGCCGAAGCCAACCTTTCACACGGCGTTCACAGGCTGCTGGGCATGCTCAAGGAGTGTCTGGCAGATGCTTACGTTTTGGTTAAAAGATGCGAGAGCAGAAGTCCACTACATCCCACCCTCGTCAGCAATGTCCCTGCCAAATTCCTTGCCGTGGAAGGGGAGATCCGGAGAATCACCCCGGTTCTACGTTTGGCAATCGCCCAGCACCAGGACAACATGGGGAGGGTTGCATTTGATACAGCAAGCGACGATTTGTCCTCAGCGGCGACGAGACGCAACACGACGTCTTCCTCTTTGGGATCTTCGGAGACCAAGGACAGGACGAGATCCTGTGAAAGTCAGGTCCTCGACGAATTGGACGAGCTGGCTCAGAAATCTGGCCTGGATTCCCATTCTCCGTCCAGACTGAGAACATTCGTTCCGTGGCGTCTTGACGTGCACCCTCTCAAGATGCACAGGAGCGAATCTCAAACCTACTTATGCAAGGCATGTCATCAAGTAGGCAAAGGATGCGTTGTCAGTTGCAGCCGATGTAATTACCATGTGCATCCGGGATGTGTTGAGCTCAACGAGGCCATTCAACAACTGGAAGAGATCAGGATCAACAAGCTCTCGATGAACGATGATTGTATGAACTCAGACAGAAACCTTTGTGGCTTAACGAGGTGAGGTGACCAGAAAATGCTCTGCTGTGGCCTACTCTGACACCAGGAGCCGGGCCCGCCTTTCCAGTTCTTTAAGGTCCAAGCAATAGGTCCACATTCGTCAAACTAAGAAGCTAATTGGACACATGGACTGACTTGTTGATCCGTCCACTTATAAAACGAGTCGACGGATTGGAAGGCATGATCAAGAAAACATATACATCTAAGAGCAAGAGAAATTGGGTTGCGCACACGGCTGTGCCGTGGAAGAATCTCCTTCCACCAGGCACAAGAAGTGCTGCGCGTAGAAGAAGCATCGTATATTCCGGGGTCATTTCTGATGATAGATGGACCTTGGCCCTCAGCTCTTGAGAGTCTGTGTCCCTACAATGTCCAGCCGTGGGACAAAATGAATAATCAATCTGGCGTCCAGTGTCAAATCGAAAGCGGAGGACTAGAGACCGACCCACCGGGCAGTCATCAGAGCCACGGAAGCATCAGGCAACTAGGAAAAGGCCAGTTGCACATTGCATCGTAACGATGTCGTAATGCATCGTAACGATGACGATGATGCTAGACAGCTCACAAACAAAATCTGCATGCTCCTCCTCGTTCTCACTACAGCTCTGCTTCAATTTCTCCTCAGAGACAGAGACAGAAAAAGAGACCCTCTTTTCCGAAAGCTGCGATGAGAATAATTATCATCTTATAAAGCACCCCAATCGCAGCAAAATGTAGGGCCCTTTTCAAATCACGCCTTCCACCAATCAATCGTCCACCAAATCACTCGTCGCTCGGGACAAATGCGAGCCCTGCCGAGAACCGAGAGAGATGTCTCAAAATCGTTCCTTCGTCGTTTCCCAGACTTCATTCTCTCGCTCGAAGGCCGCTGTCCGGCGGCCGTCAAAATGCTCGCTCGCTCCGTCGGTCCGGTCCGTCACAATTGTGCAACGCTGACGGTCGGACGGACGGAGCTGGTTGGTAATGTACGCGGGCTCCGTCAGCGAACGATTTCAGACCTGGAAGGCAAACGATTCGAGCCGTTCCATGTCGGGAGCGAACAGGCCCACCGACGCGTCGATGGCTCCGTCTTGGGTGTAGGACGGAAGTAGCATGAGGAGGCCCTCGAACGGGATCAGGGGCGGGCCGACGAACAGAGGCGTCCCCCAGCCGAAGTCCGTCTTGTACAGCGGCAGGCCGGCCCAGCTGGTGACGCTCAAATTGGGCGACAGCACCGTTCGATGACCGCGCGCCACGGGCACCGGGTGCTGCAGCTGCAGCGCCGTGAAGTCCAGAGCCGACAGAATGTACTCCTCGTCCACCCGCCGGATGGCCGTCTGCACGAGGCCCGCGGCGTACGAGAGCGGCCGGCCGGTGAGGTCGTCGACGGAGGCCTGCGAGCAGGCGTGGAAGATCACGTTACCGAAATAATTCGCCGGCAGCTTCCTCGTCTTCAGCCTCGGCCGCCCGTTGGTCGCCACCAGCGCGCGCGTGTCCGTGCCTCCCGCCAGCCCCCGTGCCCGGGTTATGCACCTCCAGAGGTGCGCGGTCAGGCTCTCGAAGGTCGTGAACCACGCGCCGTCCTGCAAGTCCTTCATGGCCTCGGATTTGATTTTCTTCAGCAGCTCGGGCCCGAAGTGCAGCTTCTTGATGGCCAGAGGCGGATGCTCCGCCTGCTGCTGCTGCTGCTGCTCGGGATTGGGCGGGGCCGGCTTCTTGTACTCCGCGTGCTCGAAGGTCGGTTGCGGGGGATCGCTGGCCATGAGAAGCGATCGGTCGTGGAGTGGACTCGGCGGCGGTGGTGGCAATTTCTCGTCCGAGACGGCTCCTTTCTTCTTCACGGCCCACGTCCACGCGTCCATGAATTGCGAGGAGCTCTCTCCGTCTGCCACCTGATGGTGTCGAGCGATGCCCAGCGTGATGCCTCCGCATGAAAACTTCGTCACCTGCAATCACATTTCGATGTTTTCTCTTCAATTGGCGGACAGAGAAAGTGAGCCGTAGAAAGGACTGAGGAAGCACCCGCTAATCCTGCGAGAGAGCAACCTAATCTCCGACTTTCTGACAGCCTGAAGTCCGGGATGATTACTTCAATTCACAAATGTCACTCACTGCCCAAGTTCGCCGAGCAGAATGATGAGGTGCTTGAACCTTCTGGATCAGGCAGTCTCGTGATCCATCAATTCTATTCTTTGTTGATCATAACTTTAATAGTCTAGTTTAGCAACAAGAACCGAGCACAGCGCCTTGGGGAGATGTCGAAAAATTCGTCCGACCTTGATCGATCTGGGTTGTTGCATCTTCATAGCTCTGACAGTGAAGCAACCCAGTCGATGCTCCGCCGATCGAAGATGAAATCGATTGCATACGTCAGAGAAGGAAAGGAAAGGCAGGGCAAGGCATGGCATTGCTTTTGGGAAGTGAGGAGTAAGTACCTGAACGAGGAGGAGCTCCTCTGCTCCACGATTCGGCGGCACCAGCTCTAGAAGTTGATAGCCGGGAGGGAATGGCATCAGGTCGCGCAGAGGTACATTGGCCTCGGCATCGATCCAAGCAGCTCCTTGACCGTTCAAGGCGATGACAGGTCGCCCGTCCGAGTCCTTGCTCATCCGTCCTGCCCATTCCTCGTAGTCGAGCAGAGTCGTGGCCAGAGCATCCTCCAGCATTTGAGAGGCATCGGAAGGAACGGGCGCCTCGAATGCGTAGATGATCTCCACGTGCACTCTAGGCACAACCAAATCTGAAGGGGACAGGGCCACCTCCTTCGACCCATCTGCTACATTCGTCTTTATCAACCTCTTTGACTCCCTCTTCACCTCCATAGCTCCCCGTCAGATCTCGTGTCCTCTCGCCTCGTCTCTTCAGGCCTCTCGAACCCTGCAGAGAATCAGAGGCAAATTGTTGGCTATCTGGATACGCCACCTCGAGCTTCAAACATGAGCGCAAGCAGCACGAGCGGCAATCTATTCAACTTTTAGGGGACCAAATCTGCTCATTCTCCTTCTCTCTCTACACAAGACGCATCTTCGAACATGGAGAGTGGGCAATCAATGCGTCATTTACTCAATGATTCACAGATTCAGTCGGTAATGCAATGCTGACGCAGTGCAATGTGGTTCGAGAGAAAATTAGGCTTCCAAGTCAGACAGCCTAATTTTCTCTCGAGAGTGTGCAGAACGCGAAGCAAGTCATGAAATTACGTTTCGGCCGAGCTGTTGGCGGCTGGCACTTCACACATCTCCTGTGGCTGCCGTTCTCATCAGCTCGAGAAGAATGTACACGAGACTCTCATGCTCTGATGAGCAGTCGTCTGTCACGGTGCCAACGCCGGGAAAGACTGGCAGACGAACACATGGAAATCTCTCGCTGTCTGAACGAGCTCGTTAGCTCGCTCGCTCGCTCACATTTCTCTTGGGCTCCTATCTATCCAATCTAATGGCCACCCGGCCACCGTGCCAACTACCACACGGGTCGCATTAATAGCACAGCACATCAATTAACAATTTTGAAACATTGCAAGTCCATCTCTACTGGCTTCGGAGGCGGACTGGCTGCAAAATTCACAACACGGAGCCGGGGTCTGGGGAGAAGACGAGTGCACCCCAGCATACCTTCCACTCGTTCCTTCCACGTCGGTCAAAAAGTGCACGTCTTCACAGCAATGTCTTGAACGATAAAGGGGCCATGGGGCCCAGCTTCCTGCAGACCTCTATGTCACATTGTCGTCTTCAACAGAAAATCATAGAAAATCGATCTCGTCCGTGAAGGCATGTCAGTCATGTGAGACGGTCCCAGACTGATGGTCTGAGAGAGTGTAAATAAATTAAATAAATACATAAGTATACTCATAATCATTCAGCTACACTTATATTCATATGTTCAAATGGTCACAAGGGTTTCGTTGCCTAGACATCCAAATTCTCACACGAGGTCCATGAAAATTTCGTCCACCGATCTTTCTTCTGCTCAAACCGGTCGCACCATCATGAATCTATTGTGTATATTCTCCAGATGAAACATTCGCACGTGTCGTTCACATTTCTGCTCTCTACCCCTCACTAAACCCTTGCATGCATGGATCACAATTCAAATATTTCATCAAGTTCATGAATTACTCATGTATTAAGCGAGAGGGGCCAATTGTGGCCTGCCGAAAACCAAGATGTGATCAGAGGCGACCCGAAGAGTTCCTCGTTTTTGTTCTGCCTTCGTTTTCGATCCGAATAAAGATGATAAGTGACATGGAAAAAAGGTTAAATATGATATGCTAGGGTTGCAGCCAGTAGGGAAGGACTTGCAATGTTCCGAATTGTTCCGAAATTGTTAATGTGCTTTGCTAGAAAATTCGATGCTGGTTATCGGAGCAATCACAGTTCATTGGGATATTTTTGTCCCTCGAAAGTAACGAGAACCAAATGTAATTCACTTTCTTCATTCTTGAAATTGGTGGCCGGTTCATCATCTGAAAGAAGTGCGTGGAGTTGTGGCGTCATAAAACGGGTCAATAGAAATAGAATGAGAACATGAATCAGTAAAGTATTCGCCCGAGGTTGGTTTGAAACGGGGATTAGGGAATATGGGGGACCAAATATTGATCTTAATCTGAGCATCAATGGGAATTCACCAAATAACTATATATTCACCATACAGAAACATGACAATTAGTTGTTGAACCTCATTGAGATTAGAACCACACGAATGCACATATTATCTCATTCATTTTCCTTCAACGATGTCACCAACTTTTTAATTTAATAGTGACACAAGTATAACTAACTATGGTTAAATCAACTAAAGCTACTCAGAATCTATAAAGAAAAAAGTTTAACAACAATATAATATGAAATACCAAAGTGTTTCTATTCCTGGTTTCCAACTAAAAAATAGATTTAACCATATCATCAAAAGTTAACTTGTCTACATGTGTGCAGTAGCTCGTAGTGCATGAATTTCTATTTTTAGATGCTAGAATTGCCAAAATTAATATTTCCAAGTTGTCAATCTTCTCGAAATTGCATACATCATATGAATTTTGTCCATGGCAATGGAACTCCAGAGGAAGAAGTTAAGGTAGGAATGTGTGTTACCGAAATAACTCGTGAGTGCATGATCTTTCATTTGCTCGTGAAATGTGGATCTAAGTTGCGCATGAAAGAATTAGAAGAAGTAATCAGAATCGGAGAGCAAGTTGCACACAAAAGAAAGAGAAGAAGTGAGAAGTATACAGTTCACGTACATTTCAAATATATATATATTCATTTTTTAATTTTCATTCATTCTGCAGTATTTTTGTTTTGATCATCTTGACTATTTTCTTGATTGTAATAGAATGTATCAAGTACATTTTATATTTTCTTTTCACTTTTTTACTTTCATAGCATTTCTATAGCATGTTTGTTTTTATCTATATTCTTGACTGTAATAGAACCTACCAAGAACATTTCATATTTTTCTTTCACTTTTTTTTTAATTTCTATAGTATGATTGTTTTATCATTGTGAACCTTTTCTTGGCTAGATTATAAGGGTCAAGGTACATTTCATATCTTTTTCTCATTCAAAGGGTCAAAATTCCATATAGGTTGAAAGAGACTTCTCCATGGTCAAATGGGAGAAAAATGACTCCCACACCAGCCTTACGAGACTTTCCTTGGCGGGTATTATACATGCGAAACAATTCAAATTGTTATCGCCAACCATCGAACAAAAAGTAATGAAATTACAATGTTGGTGCCAAAAATGCCAAAATTAAAGAATTTTTCTTTGGCCAGAATATATGAGTCCTATCTTAGTGTGATCACTTGTGTGAGCCTTGTAAACCCCATCATTTCTGTTTGCACTGATCTCTCGACCGATTGTCCTCATGCACTAGGCCTCCTTGTTTAAAAAGTGAACTATCTTGAGGATAGAAGTATATAGTTACAGGGAGACGCATGGGATGCAAAAAGATATGTTATAACCGTCACACGGAAAACAAACCCAACATGTCCAAAGAGATATCAGGCCCACATTAGGTGGTGAGGTAAGTATATACCTAAACCCTACTTTAAAGTGAATCTCTATCAAAGTAACATGTATGGATGTCTCATGCATGCAAAAGATAAGATTCATCTAGTAACATGGATTCTTCAAAACAAAACAACTATCTAGATTTCATCATATAGATGATTAAAGCTAGTGCCACTATAGTGCAAGATTGATGTGCTACTGAAACATAAGTGTATGCTTAAACACAATGATTTCGTTCCATGTCAAATTATTTTGAGAAAGTCATGTGGTCAAACCCTCTCCTCTATGGTATCAATCCATATCCAACCCTAAAGCTACCTACATCTCTAGGGCTAAGAGTTTAAAAATATGTATCTCATGCAATTCTCTATGTTTGAGTACATCGGTGATAGCCCTCATTTGTCTAATAAACAAAAAGGTGTGTATGTCATGTTAATATGTATCGTAATACAATTTACATCGCTTACATGCCATATTCACTCTCACATATATAGATATAGGGAACGATATCCCGAGAGTGTGCACATACAAAAATGCATCACAAGCATAAAAATCCGAGAACGATATACTGTCATAAAACACGGAAAGAAAGATTATATACAGTTGAGGCTATTCACTTCATTATGAGTAGAATTCACTTCACTATAAGTAGAATGGAGGACAATGCTGATGGGAATCTCCACGTCCGGATCTCTACTTAAGAGCGGACTATCTAAAATAACTTACAGTTCTTCGAGTATACACGACTATATAATCCGACTTGTGAAGTTATAAGTCTCTACCTAGTGTTAACTCAACTACGATGTTAATTATAGACAACACGCATACTTATAGCATCGGAGATAGTCAATGGCAGCCGGTTCTCATGTCATATTGGTGATCACCCTCCTTATCGATGTGCTATGATACACTAACATACTCAATATACCTCGATACTGAGCTTCAAAATCATAACCTACCATTTATGCAGACCCTATTTAGTTTCACGTTTAGTAAACCTAAATGCAAGAGGGGATACTATGATGAAATTTCTTTACTTTTGTGTTTCTATTAGGACTGTAAAGTTTCTTTATAAGACAATTTAAAGATTAAGTGAAAGTAATTCGTAAATGCTCCTGTCTTACTGAATCCAGAAATAATTGGCACTGTCAATTATTGATTTCTGGTAATTATATCTTTTCCCAATTTCAGCGATATCCTGGTCCATCGTTCAGCTTGAATGTACCCATCCTGAGGGTGGGGAGTCCGATCAGTCTCCCCACTCAATGTGATGAAGAGCAGCTTTATTCGACTTTTCACCGGGGTTTTCCACACTTGACTGTGCCCGGTGGGGTCGAGGTGATTTGGGTCGCTCGATAAGGGCAAGGAGCAGAAGAATGAGATCGGCTCGTGCCAAGTCATCATCGTCATCGACGACGAGAGGTCCAGTTATGGATGTCACCTCATCCACACACACACTCTCACGCACTTCTCCATCAGAATCCTGCTTGTTGCCTGCCTGGGTGACTGACTGATCAGGGCAGAACTGTCCTTCGTTGCCGTCAACACTGCCCACGCAATTCTCGACTTCTGCCGATTGAGTTTTTGGGTTTAGCAGGGAGCTGAAGATCGGCACGCTATGGCGGCAGTAGCAACGCGGTTGGCTTGGCTCTCGAGCTATGGGGCGTCTTTGTCGTCGCGGCAGCCGCGTCCCGGCGTGCAATTCAGCACCAACCGGCATACCTCAGCGTGGTCAGTGCGATGCTCAGGTTTGAGCTCTCTCCCTCTTTCTGCTCGTTGTTGCTGCTAGTGGATTGCGTTTGGTCCTGTTCGGGAATTGGAGGGGTTGAGAGCACACATGTCATGATAGACCTGCGTGACGAGGAATCCGTCGGCGTCAACCGAGCGAGTGAGCACTTGGTTCGGAACACAAACGAGGTTACATTGCGCGCTTCCACTGCAAATTCTGTCGATCTGAGAATGAATGGGCTCTGCTCTGCAGCCAATGTTTGACGAGATTGTCATCGGGAATAGGCACCACTCGTTGTGGTGTCGGGATTCGCAGCCCTCTCGTCAGTGCTCGTGTGCATCAACGAGCTCATCATCATCTGTGGAGGCTGAGCTAGCGACTGGATTCGTTTCCCAACCAAGTGTCGACCTGCCTGAAACTAATTTTCCATCGTTTCTCCATGTTCTTCTCGGAAAGCCGCTTCTCTTCGACCCCGATTCGAGAGTCGCTCCTCTCCTCGAACCCATAGTGTCTAGCGCAAAGCAAGCGACGATCGTTGCAGATCATTCCTGTTATATCTCAATACACTACCTGGAATCAGAGCTGAGCTCGGTCGGTCATCATCTTCCGACTCTGCACTTTTTATGATGCACACACAACCCCGGTGAGCTCCGCTAGCTCCTCTGGCAGTGCCGGAGCAGTGGTGGGCAAAGATCTCATCTCGAGGGCCCAGTTCTCTTCTCAACCAAAGATGCTAATGCCATGAGTCCACTATTGTGAATTGGACATTGGACATTGGACATTGGACAATTTAGGGCGGAAATCTGCCAAAAGCAGAATTGAGCTCGGTGCTCGGGAAGGGCAGAGGATCGGGGTGTTCTGACTAACAGTTGGGCATGAACGTTTGCAGCGAGCGTCCAGTCTGGCACCGAAGTGTTGACGACGGAGTCAGCAGCAGCGAAGGCCGATGCCGCCGCGTGGAAGGCGTTTGCGGAGCGCGTATCGGGAGAGTGGGACGGCTACGGAGCGGATTTCACGTTCACCGGAGAGCCACTGGAACTGCCATCGTCGGTGGTCCCGGACGCCTTCCGCGACTGGGGTGTCGAGATACACGACTGGCAGACGATGTGCCCGACGCTGGCCGTGGAGGAGTCGCAGGACTTGAGCTACAGAGTGATCCGCTTGCTGCCGACCGTCGGATGTGAAGCCGACGCAGCCACTCCCTACTGCAACGAGGAAAGGACGTTCCGCGTCGCCAAAACCTACGCCTTCCACGCGCAGGGCTCGTACACGGCGGTGTGGCCGGGGCGAGGGGCGCAGAAGAACAACCCGGAGCCCGGACGGACGGGAAAGATCGTCGTGCGCGACGTCGCGGACGACGGGCAATGGGAGGTCGAGCACTGCCTCGTCACGGACGACGGGCCCACGAGGAACCGAGCCCGAGTGCTGCAGCAGTTCCGGCTGGACCGGAACGTGCCCGTGCTGAAGAACATCACTCTGTACATCGAGCAATGGGACGGCCCGTTTAGGAACGGCGAGTCTCTCGGGGGCTGTTCCACTAGCGGATCGGGGTTCGCCACGACCCCTCCCCTCGACGTGCAAGCGCTGGTCGGGACTTGGCACGCGGACGTGTTCTTCGCCCCCGGCGGACAGTCATCGTCCTCTCCCAAGGAGTTCTGCCCCGGAGGGTCCTCGGCCCTCCAACGGACGCAGGTCGCAGGGATCGTCGCTCTTCCCAAGGGTTTGTGGTCCTCTGTGACGGTGTCGTCGCAAGACTCGAGCTCTTACATCATCGAGGCCGGCTGGATGCCCTCTCCCGATCAATGCATCGTTTCGACATGCGAATATCTCTCTTCTGGAGATTTCAAGGTTTGCTTCATTTTCGCCACTTTGTTAGTCTAATGACAGACAGTACTTGATGAGCTGTAAGACACTTGAAAATTTCGTCATGTTTCATGTCAGTCAAGATTCTCTTGTCCTGCCTCTGATTGAGTTCCATGAGAGACATGATTTCGGGGAAAATCATGGATCAGTCACCGGCGGGGCCGTGGTTTATCTTTCAAATCAATCGGGATTTGGTGTTCCTCCTGCTGTTTGAGGTCGGTGAGAGAAGTGGTTTCTTGGAAATCCTAACTCCTCTTTGTCGTTCCTCGTGTTGCGCAGAGTTCCAGCATTAGGTTTGAGAAAAGAAAATGAGCAGACTAGCGAGTCCAGGGCCTCTCATCACATATAACTGAAACTGTAATTCTTAGGTGCGTCTTTCTATCAGTGTCTCGATTGATCTATGCACGCGTGAATGCTCCTGGCGGGAAGAAAAGACCGTGCATTTATACACACATCAAGTACAGACTCCAGAGACCGGGAAAAAGCAAAGATGGACTGCTTGCGGGGATAAGACATATGGCGCTGGAATACAGACCAGATCAGACTAGACGAGGTATGCCTGTGTTCCGGCTCATCCGCTAATTACATGTACACTACGATCCAACTACTGTGCATACTAAATCGTTTGATTAGTGTTTATCAGTGTGACGTTCACTGATTGAGATCTGGCGTCGTAAAAAGACATGAGATGTGGAATTGCTCAGAGAAAGTATATCAAAATTGATCACCATAAGAACTGACTTCAGAGTGCTCTAGATTGCTCTTTGGGTCACGGACAGGGTTCCCCCTTAACCAGCAACCTCGGAAGGTCTGGAGAGGAAACAGCAATACTGTACATATTCGCATTATGAAACTCTGGTGAAATTCACTTCTCAGAGATGATGGAAGCAAATGACCGATGGTCGGAACTGGGATTTCTCCAGATGCCAGGATCAACGTAGACTGGCCTGAATTACTAACAATCCTCCAAACCTTTCAGAAACGGGCATGCTCGTTTAAGATCAGAACAATGCGAAAATCGAGGAAATGAGCATTGGGAGAAGCCAAGAAGCTGGAATGATATGAGAGAAAAAGCAGTGTAGTAAGAGAGCGAAGACTGTGAAAAATGTCTGGAACGGAAACTGTAGTCCAATTGTAAAAGACTGAGTATCACTTTGATGGAAACGAACCTGTCAAGTTTGGAATGAACCCGACCGACGGTGAATATGCTGACAAGACCAGGAGAAGCATTCCAATAAGTCTGCGGAACTATTCCAATAGCTTGCATGTCAATTAGTGCCACAAAAATGCTCTAAGGCAAAGGATCTTGTACTCGTGTAGCGGTGAGTGATTTGGAATGTCAGTCCACGGAAACGGGCACAGATATGCATTTCCATATCACCTTATTTTCTGTGCGAACTCACCCTAAGTGCTGCAGAGTAGTTGAGGACAAGAATTTTGGACACACTACATCACACTTTTACGTTCGTTTGTTACTAGATATTGTGATGTGTTGTGTGAATATATAATTGTGTTTTTGAATCCATAAACTGTATAAACTCAACATCTTACACCAATTACATTTGAATAATGATGAACACTTTACACAAATATAAAATACAAAATTTTGTCAACGATTTTGTAGATATAATTTTTAACACACGTATCACACTGTTCTACAAGTTGTCATGTACTTCTTTGCACTTTAATTTTTTAAATAAGGTTTTGAGTAATAAATTTTTTACAATGATGAAAAAAAATTTGAAAATGAATAAAATGATAAAGATCAATTCTGTAAAAAAAAATTAGAATTCAAGTTTACTTAATTCAACTTGTTCTCAAAATCTGAAGATTTTGTGTTTGGCTTTCAAAATGATAGCCTGGACTTCGCTATGAAACTACCCAAACAGTTGTCTAAAAATTACAAATTTTCCTTGGCCTTTTCTACAACTTCTAAGGAGAGCAACTTATACTCTACATCAATAACTTGTTCATAAAATGACTTGAACAACTAAAATACAACGTTTTTTCCTAAATCTGAATAGTGAGAACTAAGAATGTAATCATCATTTACTTCATTCAACAATTCAATCTTGAAAATCTTTTTGACATGGTCCAAAATTTTAATTGTAAATACTTCAAGTCATTCTTCAGTATCAGAAAGATTTAAAGACTCAATAGCTTGTGTAACTTCAATCACTAAGCTAGTTTAGTGTTTCTTGGTAGGTTTCTAATAAGAAAAATTTAAAGACTCAATCGCTTGTGTAACTTCAATCACTAAGCTAGTTTCATGTTTCTGGGTAGGTTCCTAATCTTATTATTTTTACATTCACAAATGCATGTATGATAGAGCTTAGTGACACGAATTACCAAGTTTCTTTAACATAAATCCGCAAATGAATTGGATTTCACTATGCAACCCCAATAGCATCACATCTTAATCTCAATTGAAGTTTTGTCTCCTCATACATCTATAGAAGTCAGGAGCATACTTAAAATAGAAACATTTAAACCCTTTCTTTAGAACTGGGATTATTTCCAATATGTGAAATTTGCAAGAATGATATGATACTAACATTGTGGTATTTGAAAGCCTCAAAGTGTAGGGTGCATTGTCTATCTGCAAAAGAATCCAATGTCAGGTTAGTTTTTTCACCTCTAGACAAAACAAACCAAACATTTGATTATTTTCATCTCTGAAAGAACACTTCGTTGAGTCACTTTTAGAACGTTTCAACGTACATCCAAGCTTTTACTTGACTAAGATATGGAACAAACCATTGACTATACTTAATAGAGGCGGATGCTTTTACTTTACCAATCAATCTGCAAGGTATTTTATGAATACTCACAACGTTGGCACAAACATTAAGAAAAATTTGATACTTGGATTTTTCTTACCTCTAGCTATTATTATGTCTTCATTAGGCATGAGAAGTTTGTATCTCGCGGTAGAAACAAAAAGAAGTAAGTTCTTGTACATATTGTAAACGTTTTGAGTATCATATTGGACTATAATTGCATAGAGTTTATCTAAAACGATTAGCAATATATGATCAAATTTGTTAATTTCAACCCACTTTCTGTGAAGCAACATCTTTTGCAACCCTTGGCACACTCTAAATCGACTTAATAATTGCCAAGATGACTTGAAATTTATTTTTGGAATTGATAAATTCATATCTAAAGCATGTCTTCAAGTTCGGTCAAACAACCATAGAGGATAAAAAAATGCTCTTTGAGTTCATCAAACATGAAGGCGAATCACTTTACAATTTCTCCCATTTGTTTCACATCACTAGCTTCTTCACTTCCATCTAATTCACGCGCTACTTAGCTTCTCAATGATTTCACATTGCTATTATTGAGGCATTTTTTTACAGACATCTTCAACAATGAAGGTTTGACCATGCAACTTTGACATTGTCAGTGAAAATCTCTTAGAGCATCGAACTTCTTGAATTTTTGCAATTCTTGGAGGAGTGTTACAGACGCAAGATATGAACACTTGCCAGATTCTAAGACTATCAACATGGTTTTGATTCGCATTATGCCTTGCCGATTTGCTGACTTGCTACCAGACTTATCATCATCCATTTGACCAAGCGTTTTTCAAAACTCTTGTGACAATCTACGCAAGGAGAGAAAGAATTAGAGAGTGAATGCATTCAATTCTGGCTTGAAACACACTTCTTGCTAGTGTGTCTTTGTTTTCAAAAACTCGATACACATGATTTTTCATCCGGACCAAGATTTTTCATTCTTGACTAGTAACGCAAAAGTAAACAATCACTCCAAATCGCATCCGATCATTTATGTGTGCTTGTGATTGTAAGACTTCTTTGTGATCTTCTAAAGTACACAACTTCCAATTAAGTACACAAATTTTGTTAGTTTCAATTTGAGTGTTCAAGCAGAGATTACAATAATGTCATTTGTCTTCATATTAAGTTATTTAAATTTGAATATTTTGTAAAAAATATCAATTGTGTAATTTATATATGTAAAATATTATAGTTTAAATATCAATAAAATTCATTCAATTTTCATTATAAAGAAATAAATATAAGAGATTTTTTATCATAGAAATACGAGTACTTATGGCATGAAAGCTATCATCAATTCAATCTTTTGGAATAATTTTAAATCATTGAAATAAGTCAAATTAATTTCACACAAAATTTTGATGTTAATCATTTGATAAATGAGATTTTTTTTAAATAAATTTACATCACGATTATTATATTTTTACATCCACAATATTTTTGTATTTTTAAAATATTTCTTTCAATTTAAATATCAATAAATTTTTACCTGATTCAATTGAAATTGACTAAAGATCTCACTTGAGTAAATTCACTAATCAAATTTTTTTTGAAACTGACTATTTTTAAAGCTTTCAAATATAGACTATTTTCAGCACTATGTTAACGATCCAAAAATAAATAGATTAGAACTATAATTTTGAATTGTGAACAGCTTTAGGTGAGATTTATATTATTATTCATTTTATATTTACTAAGTAAGATAATTGGGTACAGTAGATTTTTGCTTAATTTGCACTTTGAACCGAGGCCATTGATGCACATTCAGTTGGTAGATGCGTTTTTTTACTCAATTCGCTATTTAGAATCTTCAATCCAATGAATGGCAACGGGGAACCGTATGAAACATGACGCAAACCACTTGACAGAGGACCAACGATGTGAAATAATTCCAAAGTTGAAGGAGCCAAAGGCGCCAAACAAGCGGGACCTGGAATGGAATTTGTGAACATTTTTATATAGATTTCCATCAAATCAGAAGCTGGACCTATGGATCTATGAACTACGGAAGATTGTTTAGACGTTTGAGCAAAACACTAACAAACTGACATAGAAGGTCCATCGTAAAAAATCCTTGCATTCATGGAAGATTGTACCAGACGTTTCAGCGAAACGTTAACAAACTGACATAGAAGGTCAATCAAAAAAAATCCTTGCATTCCAGGCACACGACTCTGCAAACACGTTGAAATATATACAAAGAAGGCGTGGATTTTGTCAAAAATATTCGCGCAGTTAACCTACATGAGTATTTAAAAAGGGGTGCTTACTTAATTTGAAGAATACTGGAATTCCATGAAACTGTCATCTTTCAACAAAACAAAAAAAATGTGGCAAGCTCGGAAGCATAGAGAAAACAGAAAACAGCCCCAAGAAAGGCCGCCCAGGAAGCATCATTCGGATTCTTCTTATCAACTGTCGAAAAAAGAATGAGATGACCAGAATATCATATTTTGACATGCACACATAAATACTTGATTTTAATGTTTTCTGTCTTTTAATGGCAGTCTACAATTTTTTCCATCACACGAGAAACAATGTTATAATTGACCAACTGAAAACTCTAGATATAAGAATAGAAATTAGATTCTGCACTTCTTTTCTTTCCTTCGACACTTTTCATTCTCTACATGACTGGGTGCAGTATCTGAAAACACTAACAACCTTCATGGTTTCTGCATCCTACCGAAAGCCATGTTCGCATGACAGCAAGGTTGGTATCACTTTGTTGAGCCGAACCATCAACAACAGAATTCATGCAAATGAAGTTGCGTCTTCCAACCTAGCCCATACCAACTGCAAAATACATTCCACCAATGTGTTAGTAATTTTGAAGTCCAATACGTAATAATTTAAACTTATTATCGATATTTGGATTTGTTAGTAATCTTGAATGCCAAAAGTAAATCCTAAAATTACAGTTTGGACCAAAGAAGGTGTGGTATTGAAACAGAGCTAGCATTTAAGGTTTGAGAGCGTAGTGCGCAAGAGCTACATGAAGGTGTTCTTTGCAATTTATGCGTTCATATTTCAAAAAGACTGGAGCATTGTTGCAAAGCGGATAATTGCTATGATTGAAATCCAAGAGGTAGTTGTGCATGATGACAATGTCCTCAATTATGTGATGTGGTGGGACTTAGCGATTGACAAGCAAGTGGAATGGTTATTCCATTACTTATTTCTTGTTTGTGAGAGTGATAAGAATCGAACTAGCCAGGCACGCACATTTTTTACACTCATTGCAAAGCAAAGATCTGATATTCATAAGAGAGAAAGATAACTAGAGTCTTATAGGAACATTATTGTTAGCCGGCTTTGGTACTTCAATGACAAACCGTGATTGTTTGCACATTTTTTGTTGTTATATCTATTTTGTCGTGCAATAAAAGCAATTATAATACAAAAATTACAATTAGGGTGAGACTACTTTTTTTCAGCATGATTCCACATTTTAGTTTATTACGGTTTGGAAACACCGACACTCCATTTGTTCTCTTTTTGTTGATACACACATCTATGACACTAAATTAATTGAAACATGATGCAAAATTTTAGGCTATACAAATGAGTTAAATCAATATCCTTGTGCTCATCGATGTTTTAACGTTGCTTTTGCGTATTTGTGCCAGTGTTGTGAAAAGCTCGTGCTAGAATCTACTATTCTTGTAATTTCAAATGCCCATTGTTGCTTGCAGTTCTATTTGCATGCTTTTTGCAGATGTGATTATAACATGGAACAAGTGATTGTGTAGGATACACCGTGAGATGGTCTTTTCAACTAATTTTATTTGAATTGGTCCAATCGGATAGCCTACATCAAAAGCTTGAGGCTTAAGAATTTTGTTTTGGAAGAGACATCTTGTTATAGTGATACCAAGACAGAGTTTGCGACACGCTGTTCATACAAGGGTGTAGGGGTTAGGGTCGGTTGGGAGTCGTATATAATGTACTATTGCAAGTATGGTACTCAAAAAAGGAGTAAGAAGAGTATGCTTAGCTCAAATTTCATTTAAGATCTATCAACAAAGACAAAATTTGGTCCAAGCAGCATGAATAGATTAGACCATGATTTTCACCACAAGTACTGCTAGTGTAGATTTAGTGCTATTAAACTGCTGCCCAATGATCACATTCCACCAAGAACCACGAAGTTGTTATTCAAGCAATGAACTCACGTAAATGCCACAGGTGTAGCTTGTCATGGCACATCGTGTCCGGATAGTGTTGACTTGCCAACTCAAATGGCGCACAATTTATTTCACGAGTGCAGGTAACAGCATATTTGTAATATTTTTAGTGTTTATGTCATTATTACAGTTTGAGTATTGTTGGCCCGCCATCTAAAATGACACACAGTTTATCGTCAGTCATATTTGTAATATGTACACTAAGTTTGATGTTATTACAGTTTGTAAACTTTGACGCTAAGCTAGCACGTTGTCTAATTTTTTCTACGTGCTTTTGCCAAGGAGTTGATTGAATGCGAGTTAAGAAGAGGTTTAACTTCTCCATAAATTTTCATGCGTGTTGCAAAAGCACGGTTTAAAAATCAGCACAACTTAGGCTATGTGCAAGGGAACTCTATTAGAGATCATTATATCACACTTGTTGATGGCATGTTAATGATAGAATTAACACAAAATTATAAATGAAAGCAAATCCATCTCAAGTTGTTCTTTATCAGGCATCCAAAAATGAAACATTTAAACCATTGAGGCTTGATATTAAAAGACCCTAGCTCTTAGAATGATTGCTAAAACATGAAAATGAAGATGTGTTGCTATAAATGGAAGGCATGACACACAGAAGTATAAAATAATATTCTTCTTGTTTACTCTGATATTCTAATCATCACGCTTCCATGATTATGTATATTCTACCTTGCTATTTCCAATATCTGCAAGTACTTGCAAAAATGTTGGTTTGGAGCTTTGACTAGTCCAGTAAAATGTTATTGAACTTCTCAACTTGCGCTTTACATGTTGATTTATATACCTTGATCATTTTCAACTTATCAAAAAATAAAAAGAGTGAAGCATTCATTTTTATAAAGTTTAGCATAATATCAGTCAAAATGAGTATTTTGTAGACAGCTGCTAGCAACAAACTATAGCTTGTTTTCAAAATGCAAGAATTGGAGTTTGGAACTTTTTTTCCACTTGATTAGTTTATTTTTTCTTTTGTGATGCAGTATTCATTGTACAGCCTTATGGTGTTTGATGATTATGAACATTGACATACTCCTGTTTTTGGATTTTTTGAAAGAGAAGAAACATAAGATCTGGTGAAATTATTGTTTGCAATGAAGAAGATGCAAAAGTAAACAACCACTTCATATCTAAATGTACACCATTCATGTGTGCTTGTGATTGTAAGTCTTCTTTGTGATCTTCTGTGTATTTATATATATGATATAGACCATATATAGGAACTTCATACATCTAGGCAAGTGTTATACTGCACTGAGCAGTCATTGAACTTCTATTTTAAAACTACAATATGTTATCATTGTTTGGATTACATATATTACTATTTGAATTTATTTTGCACAAAATGTGTGCGTTGCCATCACGGTTCACTAAGGAAATTATGGCGTGCGATCGGAAAGTCAAGTCGGTCGAGAAAAAGCATCCACAATTGAAATAAAAACCTGTAAAAAGTCTAGACCCACCGCCAGAGTTGGGACTGTTCCAAGAAAGCATGAAGTAAAGAAGAAAGACAAGAAAGAAACTAGAGATCCCTGACAACTTACAGTACAGCAGTTTTTGTAACTCTTGTCTTTATTCCTCACTTCACGCTTCTTCGACCAACTCCGACTCCAACGATGGGCCCAGACTCTCCACCGGTTTTTATCTCAATTGTGGAAACTTTTCTCGACCTACCCGACTTTCCGACCACTTGATATGATCTACGGAGTTAATTGTGATGGCAACGCACACATTCAGTGCAATATAAATTCAAACTTTAGTATATGTAATCCAAACAGTGATAACATATTATAATTTTAGAAAAAGAGTTAAGTTACGGTCCACTACATGATCACACTTGCCCGGGTCTATGAAAGCTCTATGTAATGTCTATATCTCAGTTTGTGCAGCTAAAATCCACCAAAGAAACACATACCGGACAGGAGGACCCTGAAACTAAGCGAGGTTCTACTTTAAACTTCATACAACACTTCTACTTAATCATATGCACTCTTCTTCTTTAGCAAACGGTACGCCAATTTACAACATAACTTACAACAGCGACAATGTCAACTTCTTCACCCCCAATGTCACCCGCCCCGTCATGTCGATTGGTCTATACATGCAACATGATCAGTGCGAACCATCCAATTCAACAACTTCAGTGGAATCTCTCTCTATAAGTACAAACCATAATTCTGCAACAAATTATTGGTCCATAAGCAGTACACAGAGTTTGTGCTTCATCTCAAAGACCTGCCATACTACTTCTTCACTGTTTCTGGCCATGCATGCACTCCAATCCAAGACGGTCGACAATCGACAGATTCTTCACTCACTCATGTCAGTGAGTAAGTCCGCATGCTCTTCCAACCGGTCCACGACAAAATCCCCCCACCATGAGTCCAGTATCTCCTGCAAGAAAACCGTTGGAGCTTCACTACAATCAAATCAATTAAGGTTCAAAATATTCAGACCCTGAACTTCCTTCTCAGGTTCTATTGTGAGAAGGAGTTCCCATCCACTCACCTCAATCTCTCGTTCGTCCGTCCCGTCCTTCGAAGAGCAATTTCACTCGATCATTGCAACAATCCACTCGCGTCCTGCAGATCTAGAATACTCGACTGACACGATTTCAAAGATTCGGTACCCGTGCGCTGAAGAAACACCATCTACAAAACAACGCGCCGACCGACTGAAAGTGCACGAGGACAAAGTGATGATAATCAAAAGAGAAGAATGGATGAACAAATGTCCAGCGGACAAATATGGACGTGAGTCCAGTGGATTAAAATGGTTATTGATCACATTAGAGTCGAAGGATTATTCGAATGGTCCTGTTCCCGCGGTCTTTGCCACGCTACAATAGGTAGGAGCGGGCCGTTGAGGTAGCTAGCTCTCTAGGCTAGTGCAGCGTAGCGATTATGCACGCCATCCGCTGCTTGCCGCTGCTACTGCGCGCCAGCGAGCCAGCCCGCCTGCTGACTGGCAGCCCAGGCGCGCTTGGAGCAGCCACATCAGCGTCGGGGTTAACGTTGTAACAAAACTAGATTCATCTAACTTGTCTGGGAGATTCTCGAATCTCGTCACCTCATCCAATTACTGCTAAGTGATTGCTTGAATTGATTAATTCAGTGATTTGTCGTTCCGACATCTCTAAGCTGCGCTACTAATCACGGGGTCGATCGGGAAGCTTCAAAGCTTTACTGCTAAATTCAACCGTTTAGCGGCGACAGACGATGCCGCTGCCGCTGCCGGAGCTGCTGGAGCACTCGGCGGTGAAGGGCTGGAGGACATCGACGGGGCCCAGGGACTCGGGGGAGAACTGGTTGGCTTTGCAGTCGGCGTTGAGCAGGCCCGAGGCGATGAACCGATCCTCACCTCCGAGAACGGGCATCTTGACGCCGACCTTGGCGGGGCTCTGGTAGTTGGGCTGGTACGTCTGGCCCAGAACTCCGTTGACGTTGGCCGACAGGTTGTGGAACTTGAACTGCAGGTTGAGGTGGGCGAACACATCGTCGCTGGGCAGCTGGTAGTTGTGGGCGAGGTTCTCCTTCTCGGTGATGGGAACCACGGCCACCAGCAAGGTCAGCATGCGGTCGACGGTGATCTCGACCACGTTGGTCTCGTAGGTGCGCTCGACCTTGACGTCGCCGGACTCAGACCTCCAAATGGCGCCAACCTCTTCCTCCAGGGAGAATGCCACTCCGTCGTACGAGAAGATCAGCTGGTCGACGTTGTCGTTCCAGACCGACACCTTCTTGGCTCCGACGGAGAACGAGTGAGACCCGAAGAGCAGTCCCAAGGCCTGGATCCAGGTGTAGTCCCTGTTGCGTCCCTCGGGCCTCAGACCGATGAAGTGACCGTTGATGTGCAAGTTCCTATCGGTCACCAAGCAGAAGTCCTCGTTCGACGCTCCGTGGAAGTAGAACATGGACCCGTCTCCTCCCACCAGGCGAGGGTCGTAGCAGATGGATCCGAATCCATAACAGTTTGGCTTGCGGTCTGAATTGCACCGATCGTCATCAGTTTCCAACAATATAAGCTCAAATTCACATACATACGAATTCCCTGTACAGCTGTGGCTGCAGTCTCTCTCCCTCTGTACTGGTGGAAGCAGCTCGAGAGAATCCTCCATCCACCATCCAGCCGTGAGTCCAATTTGCTTATCTCAAAAATTTCATTAACTGCAGCATGAGTAACCTTTCATATGTGCATGCAAACCTCGAAGCTCAGTGAAGAGCATCAGATCTATCGATGAGATTCGCTCGAGTCAATGTACCTGCCGGATGATGAGATGCTTGGCTAGCGAGCTATGATGATGTATGCGAGAAATGGATTGATTCAAAATGGTGAGACAGAAGGAGAATTGAGAAGAATTGAGAAAGGAATAAAGGATGTAGATTTTGTTCACGTACGCTTGCATGTGGCCTCGCATTTGACACAGTCGATGAAGCAGGCACTCCTTCCAGCTCCGAGGGTTGAACGCTTGGGGCACTCGTTGGGGCACGTGAGGAGCTTCAAGTAACATTTGCCGAGTCCGATACATCTGGCCCTCTCAGGAGCAGAGGCTGAAGCTTGGGACACCAGAACGTAGTCGTCTGGTTTGGCTGGGGTCGCTGCCATCGCGAGTCCTGCCAAGGCTACAAAAGCCACAGCCACGAAGGCAATTGCCACTGTGGATTTCATCGGCACTGCCATGATTGTGACTGAGGGTGCTGATTCTCTCGACTCTCTCGCTCTTCCACGAGTAGAGAGCGAGGTGAGATGCGAGTGAGGGAGATGAGATGAAAGAGGGAGAGAGAGAGAGAAGATGGAATGAGATGATTGTCCAGCGACGATCCGGTGCTTATATAGCGTATCAGTGAACGACTTTCAGCTGGTGAAGAAGATCCATCTCGCTTGCGCGTCAGATGGATCTTCGGTACCAAGTTGCGCAAGCTCAGCACTCGCAAGTGGTGGAAGTGTCTGTCACGTACTTTCGAATAGACGTGCCATTGTCGCCGCCTGATCCCTCCCTCCCTCCCTCCCTTTGCAGCTACGTTTGCTGGCATCATCATGAAGCCATGAATCCGATCCCATGCACGCAGTGTAGCATGCTTATGCATCATTCTCCTCCTCCTCCTCTCTCCATCAATCGATCCTCCCTCCCTCCATCATCATCATCCTCTTCTGAGACCCGGGCCTCCTCTCCTCCGCCATCTCTCTCTCGACGTGCTCTCCCTCTCTTTCAGATCTCTAGATCGTGCCAACCTTCTCTCCTCGCGCCGCCACAAGGCATCAGACCATCAATCATCCTCGAAATCAATCAATTAATCAATATCTTTATCTTTCTACTCGTCTCAGTCCCTACATTCCCGCGGCTTCCTGAATACATTCCTTCTCAGGCAGCCCCAGCAGCATGTCTGGGTCTGTTTGTCAACGAGATATTTTAATCTTGCGCATCCCGATGCGTCCTTTCTTCGGCACCAAATACTGAGCACCCACTCAGCTCCCTCTTGGACTGCACCTCTTACAGTGAAGTCCACTGCAGCCTCACGGGAGTAGCCGTAGTACACGGGGTCTGAAGAAGCACTCCGCAGAAACTGCATGAAAATTCGATCCGGTGTCAATTGCAGCTACTTCTTTTGTTCGAGTTGTCCGAGGCGTCCGATTCTCAGCTTTCCCAGAAAGGATTTTCCGCAAGTCTGCCTGGAGATAAACTGGACTCGAAACAGCGCAAGATTATGTGTATAGTTCTATTTTCCCAATTCTGTCTGCATCGTGAACTGTTCGTTTCTGGGATTGGAACCTCCAGAAACAGCGGCTCTGCTCTCCACAGTAGGAAGGTCCTGTATTCGTTTGTCTCCGTACGTCCCGATCCTTCTCCTGGGTCGATAAGAATGCACAGAATTACGCTGACTTCATGTAATTTGCTCGTCCTGTTGTAGTAAGAAAATGAAACGCGGACGAGGGGGACGAGGGTGCTGGAAGGAACGCAACGAATGTCGGAGTGTTTTATCGCGTGGCCAGTGGTCAAGGCATCCGTGCTGCACTTGTGGCAGATGGCAAACAAATAAATGCAACTGGATTACTGCCCTGTATTCACCACTGTACTGCACTGTACGTGTCCCTCCGCGTCCAGTGTGGAAAATCCTTAAATGATCCCTCCATAATACAATTAACGCAGCATCTGCTCCATGCTGTACACTTCATAATTCTTCTCAAGCATAATATGAAGGACAACGACAATGAAAGACTTCAGCATATAGTACCACTCCCCAGATTCTTTACTCGCTTGAACACAATCATCGGCAAGTTTGACAAGTTGACCACAGATCATTTAATGAAAGATGCTTAATTGACAGTGTATTCTCTCTAAGTGGACCCTCGTTAATTGGGAAGGAATTTTATAGAAATTCGTGACCTCATGAAATTTGCTGCTCCCGAGTAAGATATGTTACTACGGCTCCACTGCAACTTGAGCATGTGTCCCAGCTTATGAGCATGACAGAAACCTCCTCCCTTATCTGCGTTATATGTGTGCAAATAGGAATGTTGGGAACCTCCCGAAAATGCCCATGACTATTGTCATAATGTCGTAAAGGTTACTAATTGCATTTGGAATCCCGTGTGAGTTGTTTCCATGTGCTGTATATCTTGTTATGAAAATTTCTGTAAACACTAAAAAGCTCTTTGATATATACATGTAGAAATAAAACTGTATGTTCAAAGTCAGCATTTCTTGTTTCGAACAAATGGGTTATCGATCCATCGTGGAAGCAATCTGCGACTAGTGGTTGTTGGCCACGGTGATACTCCACCGGGAGGACTGTATGGAGCTATGATTGCTCCTCCTTCCAGCGTTACTATCCTTGGACACTCTTCTACTGTCCGAGGAAAGAAAATAACATCAGCAGTATATAAGACTCGTTTTGGTCTTGTATCGAAGCTGTCTTATTAAGGAGGGTCCAGTTAAGCACAATTCTTTGATTTTTGTCTTACAATGACTCAAAGGTTATTCTTCTTATTTCCATACAAGGGCCAAGTGGACAAAAGTTGGACGGTAATAACCCTCCCCCATCCCCCTTGACAAGCCGTACAATGAATTGGTACAAGGGCTAGGCGCCAAGAGCAAATAGTATCACAATGATAATAGCGAATAGGATGACAATGATAATATATGCTACCGGATGCATTACCTTTGTATCCATCTTTCTCTCACGATCTTCAGTGATTGCATTAACTTGTTTGGCCAATGAAGCAGTTACTGTACCACGAAAGCAGCACGAGTGCATCTCTTGAGAATGTGTTGAATCATTTATACACGTGCACTTTATTCACTTTTTGATGGTTATGCAATCACGAGGACTCGGATATACAGAACTAGCACCAATCAGTAAAACCAACGACGTTTGCACCTTTCGAAAAAAACCTGAAGCTTTTCAACTTTTTGCAACGTTAGCAACAGCAAAGCAACTCGTATCTTATCGTAGATATTGCCCCTTTCATTGTATCTGGAACAGACCACAGCTAGTGAGTGAACTGAATGGTGGCACATAAGATCACAATTTCATTTGCCCACTGTCAAAAGATTTCGTTGTCTGTGATTCAAAACGTGATTAGGTAAGCAGGCTCACCTCACCAACTGATTCACAAGACCACACACCAAAGATACAAAAAAACTGTGATATCACTGCTCATGTATACGAGCTCACGCTGTAGATTCTCGTACGAAGAGAAGTACAATACACTTCGTGTACTAACTGGCAAGATGCAGACTGTACATGGATATTCCCGATATCAACAGAAAAAAGTACACTTTTATTCGTCTACTGTCTTAATGATAAGAGTCTTTTCTGCACGAGTGATCTCCTTGTACAACCGTAATTATACTCAAAAGTAGACGTTTGACCTCAAAGGAAAGAAGAACACGTGACTGATATTTTTTCGAGGGCAATTCGATGCCTCAGGATCTTCTTTCCGTACTCACATACTGCTCGAAAGCAAATTTAGACAATAGACTTCAAAAGAAAGAATTACAGATGATCTAGTTATGATGTCTAGCTCTGTGCATCGACGCAGATTGTCCACCCGAGCTTTCGTCGACATTATTGGACCTAGTGTAAAGTGAACGCTTCGAATGTAATTGAGCAGGAGCACCAAAATAGAAAGTTCCTGATTTGCTAACTCCAGAAGGTGATTAGACTTGAAGATCCCTTCATCAAGATGTACAAGGACATTATTAGATTTTGTCTCTTGAAAATACCCCGTCTGTTCTGGCTACTTTTCTCCTCGTCCACGTGTGAGTCTATTGACTTTTGGTACAGTACATGCATAGTTTATAATGACGTCCGTCTACCTTTCTTTGCTTAATGGACGGGGATAGAACCATGAGGCATGGATTAATCAGATTACATACATCTGGTAGGCTGAGGGTAATTAGACCTAAGGGAGAGATAACTAGACCCACCCTCTAAAACTATCATTCAATGTCATAAATCGCGTAATACACCTCGTTTAGATATAGGGTTGAGTACTTGTTAGTTTGCAAAGAAAAATGTGGAGTTAGAGCTAAATCACACTACAGTGAACCTCGCATGTCATTGGCAAATCAGCTCCCCTCTTTAACAGACGGGAGGGAGTGGCAATTTGATATGTCCTAGGTGGCAAAGACTCTCCACTGCTCCAAACTACCCGGCACTTCCGTTGGAAATCCGGCTTTTCGGAATTGCTAGGCACACACCCCCATCCACTCGTCCACAAAGCACATTTCTGCGTCAAAACACCAAAAGCTAAACATTTCTGCGTCGAAACATGCCAGCGCTTCGTCAAACAAGGGAGAAAAGCTGTTTACGGGTCCAATCATGCCGGCGCTTCGGCAAACAAGGCGGTAAAGCAGCAATTTTTGTTTGGAAGGTACCTAATTGGGAACACGTTCGAACGCGAGTCGAGTTCTGCAAGTGAGACGGCTACTTCTATCGATCTGAGCGTGCTATTAAGGTCACGGGCGGTCATACCTCTTTTGGGGGGGAGGGGGGGTGTGTGCCTAGCAATTCCCTATATCTACTCCACATATACGACTTCTTGGGTTCCTCCTCCAAGTACTTCTTACCCCTGCATTGCAATTAGTTGAGACCCTACGAAAACTTGGTTTTCTTCTAGCCAGTAGCTTGTTGCCGGCTGCTGCAGGTCGTGTGGTTTGGCACTCAATGTATATCACCCTAACATATGTATGGACTCCTAAACTATATCCAGATCTCTAGTAAACATACGATAACTTTGATCAATCACATTTTTTTAGTTCAACATCTCATGGATTTTCATTTGTCGAGTAATGAGTATTCTTACTTTGAAACTATTGAAATATCTATCTAACATAAGAGAATTTTACTTCAAACTCTTCTCTCACTTCGAATGAGAGGAATTGATATTCTATATAACAACTTGTGCTTAAAAAGTGATTCCATTACCTTGAATATATGGGTGTTACCTAGACTTCAATCTTTCCTTTGAGAGGTAAAGAGAAGTATTATCATCGTTCAAATTAACTTCATAATATTCAAAAACTTTTCAACATCTTCCAAAATTGCATTTGCAAATAATTCATTATGTACATGAATAAATTACTCAAGTTTTTTTGTCTAAAAACAGGATTTAATGTTCCGATAGCTTGTGCAATTCAGTTCACTAAATCCTCCATCTTGTTCATTGTTTACCTATTGATTTTCAATGTAATTATTTTTGTCTTCACGAATCGATATTTGAAGAGCTTAGTGACACGGATTTCCAAGCTTCACTTACATAACTCGCAGCATTGAGCAGATCAGTTCAATGTTGACATGCAATTTTAGCAGCACAGTGTCCTAATATCACTCCTACAATCTTTTGTTTGAAGTTTTAACTCCTCATTCAAATCATAGAAGTTAAAATTATCCTTGGAATAGAATTATTTGGAAAAAATTTCAAAGCTAGGATTATGTTCTTATCGCAAGGTTGTTTACAACTTATGAAATTTGGAATAAACAATAGAATACTAACATTGTCGTGTTCAAAAGTCTTAAAATTTTCTTTGTCATTTTAACCGTATGCGGGGAAACTTGCACGTGCGGTTCTTAGGAGCATTGTGCAATAGAAAAAAACTCAATGTTATTTTTTTTTTACTATGGATGGAAAAATAAACTTATTGAATCACTTCAGCATGTTTCAACGATCATCTAAGATTTCATTTGGTTGAATTATGGAACAAAACATTAACTCCTTGATACATGAGTAGTTTCTTGTTGTTATTACTTTCAAATTTTAGTTACTATAATATATCTCATCATTGATACTCATTAAGATGGTTTTTAAAAAAAAAAAAACTTGACATTGCAGCCCAATTAGGCGATTAAGAAATGATTCTTCTAAGATTTTCTTTTTTTGGTTTTTTGACATTGCAGTTTAATGAGACGAATAGGAAGTGATTCCTCTAAGATACACACAATACTTCAAAGTTCAAGTTGGCATGTTAGGCTGACGAATATTGTAACAAACGATTTCAAATACTTTGAGTATCAATTATCTTGTACCCAAGATTGGATAAAAGTTAATTAAATGTACTAGTTGAATAAATTAGAATTTATTGAAAAGTTTAAATCAGAACAGCAAAATTTTTTACAAAAATTAATATTCATTGATAAAAAAGATTTTTTTGTTATGTACTTGAGTAACTTGGAGAAAAAATCATTATTAATCCAACAAAATAGAATATTTCATTTTTCTTGTGATAAATTTATCTCATTACATCTACATTGCATGCAACTAATGTTGATTAGAGATGAAAAACAAATGTCATCAATTGGAACCAGTTTTCTGATTGATTTGTATGACAATAACACATTTTTTTATGTAGATTTTTTACATGCTGAAATATGCATGCTAAGATATCTACAGGATGTATTTGTATAGAATATACATATTTCATCCCAAAAAATTTTACAAAACTTTGGACTAACCATCAAAAACTTCTTGGATCGAAATAAATTTATTATGTATTGAATTTGAATTAAATTAAAACATATCGATATTGAGTACAAAAAGATCAATGTATTATTTCTTACATGATTCTAATTGATATTACACATTAAAAATATAATAGAGAGATTATTGCTTATTTTACCTAG